GGGGTCAACGTCACCCTCGACGTGGATAATCTCGGCATCGTCGAAACATCTAACGACCTGGAAGATGGCATCGACGGCGCGGATGTGGGACAAGAAAGCGTTACCGAGACCAGCACCAGTAGAGGCACCACGGGTCAGACCAGCAATATCGTAGATGGTAAGGTGAGCGGGGACTCTCGACTTGGGGTTGTACTGCTCGCACAGCCAGTCGTAACGCTCATCGGGAACAAGGACACGAGACTCCTCGGGGTCGATAGTGGCGTAGGGGAAGTTCTGCAGGAAGAGTCAGCGAGAGAAGCGTTGAAGTGATCGAGGTGATACGCACAGCAGGGTTACCAAGAGAACACTTGGTGATGGCCTGGAAGAGGGTGGATTTGCCGACGTTAGCCAGACCAACCTGCAATTGGTGTTAGCAACAGCTTTGTGGCCACGTCGGCGGGCTAATCCCTACATACGATACCACTCTTCAGGTTGTTTCCGGGACGACCCAGAAGGATCTTCTCCTCCTTGACGACCTTCTTGGGAGGCATTCTTCCTCTGGCGTAAGTTCGGACTAAGGTAAAGCTTTGAGCTTTAGTGTTCGCCGACCAGCAGATGCGCAGGTGAGCTGTCGCAAACGCAGGGCCTGCTGCGGATACTCGGGAAAGGAAGGAGAGTGGAGCGAGTGCGGAGGAAATGGTCGCAGAGATGAAGGAGTGGGCTGTGACTGGCCGACCCCGAGAAAATGTAGTAGATGAGAGAGAGGGAGTAAGAAGATGTGAGGTGGGATGGTGGGATGTGCGACCTGCGCTGGCGTTGGACGTCTCATTTTTTCTGCTGTGAGCTGCACGGAGAATGCCGATTACCTAATGCGGAAGGCACGTGCATTGGTATACCTCGACAACTCGATGTATCGTTGGATACTATGGTCTAGAGTAATAGGCTAAGAGCACGAATACTGCAGTGCCGAAATGTGTAACTAGCCGTAGAACATTTCACGAGCTGGGGCAGAGATGCTGTGCAGGGACGCCATGCAGCGCAGAAGTTTATTCCCCATCTCTCCACCTAATAGGATAATGCTCTTGGTCTGATATGTGATGCTACAAGCTATGCTAGTATGTGATACGCATGCCAAAACTGTCCTTGTGAGAAGACTAATGGTGAGTTGTGGCCACACCAGCAGCGTCTGCCTGGGCTGTAATTCTGCGCTTGTAGTCGTTGACATCGCCATCAAAGTGCTCAACACTTCCCTGATCACAGACCCATAAACTAGAACAGACAGCGGATAGGATCGTCACATCGTGNCCTAGCTCGATTTTAGTATATAAGGGGATTGGTGGAAGGGAAAAAACTTACGAGACCATCAAGACACCACCCTGGAAGTTCTTCAAAGCATCTGCCAAGGCGTCCATGGCTTCGATATCCAAGTGGTTAGAAGGCTCATCGAGAACCAGAATGTGAGGGTTTTGAAGGGATAGAATGGCAAAGGCAACACGAGACTTTTGACCTCCTGAGAGAATCTCCATCTTTTGCAGACCAGTCATACCAGTGATACCGAAGGCACCAAGATGTCTACGGTACTCCTCGTCGGTCTTACCAGGGTACATCTTGGACATGAAGCCGACAGCACTCATGTTCAGGTCGAGGGCATCGACGTGATGTTGAGCAAAGAAACCGATACGGAGACGAGGGTTCTGAGAAATGAGACCAGTGGTCGGTTGCAGCGCGCCGATGAGAAGCTTGAGCACTGTTGTTTTACCAGCACCGTTAGGTCCAACGATACCGATACGCGAGTCGAGCTGAACGTCAAGGTCAACATTCTTAAGCAATGGCTTGTCTGGAGTGTAACCGAAAGCTACACCGCTCATTTGAATGATAGGAGGTGACATCTTCTCCACATCGGGGAATGTGAACTTGACTGTGTACTCGCTCTCGGGGGCTTCCAGGATAGGCATCTTCTCCAGCTTCTTGATACGTGATTGTGCTTCGGACGACTTGGCTGCGTTGTAACGGAACTTGTCGATGAAGGCTTGCAAATGCGCACGTTCGCCCATCTGCTTCTCGTACTCTCTCTTGGCAGTCTTTCTTCTCTCCTCCTTTGTGTTGTAGAAGGACTGGAAGTTGGCACCCTTGTAGTAGTCGAGGCGTTCTGAATGTTGGTGAATGATATCCGTGGCGACTTCGTCGAGGAAGGCTCTGTCGTGAGAAACCACCAAGACAGTGCTGGGGTAGGTTTGCAGATAGTTGGACAAGAAGGTGATGGAGGGCACATCCAACATGTTGGAAGGTTCATCGAGCATGAGAAGATCAGGTTCGCAGAACAGGGCACGAGCAAGTGCCAATCTCATACGCCAACCACCGGAGAAGGTCTTTGTGGCGAACTGTTGTCTCTCGTGCGAGAAACCAAGACCAGCCAGAATACTGGCAGCACGAGACTCGGCTTTGTCGGAATCCATCTCAGCAAGTTTGGCTTGAACATCGCTGAGTGTGATATCAAGACCCTCTCGTTGAGTGTCGAGCTTGGCGGCGTCTGTAGAGGTGTCTGCCATTTGGGATCTAGTGGCTTCCAGCTCTGCAAGCTCCTTGGTAATCTTGTCTTGCTCCTTGAGCAAATGCTTGCGCCAGACATCAGCGTCCAACACAGCTTGAAGAGCAGGAGTGTCATCTCCCATAATCTACCAAAGTCAGTAACAGATCATGTTGTATATTGACAGAAAGCTTACCTCTTGCTCAACGTGAAGAATAGATATATGAGTGGGAATGGGAACCTCTCGCTTACTCAAAGCTCGGAGCAAAGTAGATTTACCAATACCGTTCTGACCAACCAGACCGTATCTGCGGCCGTAGGCCAAAGTCAAGTTGGTATCACTCAAAATTCTCTTGCCGCCGATTGTGATATCAATGCCATCAACCTTGATGTCCTTACTCTTGCCTTGGTTGTCCGAGCCAAGTTGCAGAGGGTTGACCTTCATGAAGAATTCTTCATAGGATGCAGCATCATCAGGCTGCTCCAAAAGCTTAGAGGCCTCATACTCGACATTCTTGAATTCCTTTCTGTCTTGCTTTGCGCGAAGCTTCTTTTCAGCCTTCTCGAGCTTCTTCTTGTCAACACGAGATTCAATCTGTCTACCAGTGTGCTCCAAGTTGACACCACCGGTCAAGCCAAGAGTGGATGAGATGTTTCTTGCAGATCCGACCTGAATGGTTTGATCCAGCTTTCGGGCAGAAGGTGCTTGCTGGCGCTTTTCACCATCGAGACCAGACTGTGCCGAGAGCTTGGAGACAAACTTCTCGATCAGGTTTTGAATTGTCAATCCATTCTGATTAGACAGGTCACCGGAAGCGGATAGCAGCAGAGCTGTCACAGCAGCGGCGGCATCGGACAGTGGGTCGCCCTCCGCGCTGTATGCCTGCGAAGCGTGGTTGAGGTATCCAGCGGAATACTCGGACACGACAGGATCGATGCCAGGAATCTGGGCTCTGATCTCGGCTTCCATGGTATCACAGAGAAGATTCGGTGATGTGAGTTTTTGCGTGTTTGGTTAGGGTGGCGGCTGTAGGGACTTCACCGCTATCTTCGTCCTTGTGGATCTTCGAATCCTTCGTGCAGAAGAAACAAAATTCACGCTTCTACTCGGGGAAGGCGTCGTTGTTAGGTGATCCGATACCCTTGCGTGTTTTTCCAGCTCTTGTCTGTCAAACCAGTGAGGGGCGTTACGGAAGAGCTGCGGATGAGAAATCTTGTACGTATTGCTTACCGAACGTCTCTTCACTGCAAAGGAGCGTCGTCTTGTTCCTAATCCGACCACCGCGCAAGCATCCAAGCACGTTATTCTCCTTCGCTAGTATTGTCAGCAAACAAGCAATACGCAAACTACCAATGAAGGTGTTCGGTTCAGAATTGATCGAAAAAGGGTCATGCAATCCTGGAGTACATTCTATCACTACTGCTTGAAACGTGTATCTTTGAACTGCCGTCTGCAAGATAGCCACTTGGCGTACGCCATATGAAATACCTGTCTGGTACCAGATCTCCACAGGACCACAGCCCAGCTGCACGAAAAGTGAGCACTGCCAGCCGATGATTCAATAATCCCAGTCCGTTCTTGCAAGAGGTCAAGCTATTTTTCAAACAGTGACCAATCAATCGAGGAGAAAGGATCTTCGCTAGAAATCGATCCCTCTGTTCCCCAGACGTGTCGTGGATACTTGTACTACCTGAGTAAAAGGTGCGGAAAGCCAAATTACGATTGGGCGGATCAGCAAAGTGCATTTAAAGTGGGATCTTGTGAAATCCGGGTTGAGCAGAGNCATCTGTGCATGTTGCTGTCCGAGCAACCTTCAGTAGTAAGGTGGTTGATCATGTTGAATTGAACTTCNTATTTCTGCATGGCATACAAACAGCCAGGGTGATGTTGAGCTTAAACAAGATCAAGGTTGAACATGGCAGCGGANCTTTGCGTCCTTCTCCAGTTTTCTTTGATCGACNNGAATACATCCTTGTACATTCAGCGTACGCAGTGACATCCGTCNCATTTATCCCCGTCGTCTGGAGGAACCTGATAGCTCGCCAAGCGGTGTCAACCTCCGTCAAGTCCGGATTGGGTTTGCGCGTGAGGACGAAGAGGACCGTGCCGTTTCACAGAGACAAGCCACGCTACAAGAACAGAACTGGAAGGNTTACTGTGCAGTACCAAACTCCCGGAGCTGGCGAGNATAAATTGGCGATCACTTTTCCCCGACCTCCCTCGATCCGGCGTTGCGTCAGACCAGCCATGATCTTCCAAGGCCTGTCTTTCGAGGGATGGTTCGGTCCCTGCCTGTCAGTCGAGGACAATTGTGTAACTTTGGGAATTTGACGTGTTGGAAGATGTACACAGGCACTTCTTCTTCCCGCTGCTGCACACGGCTGGCAACTCATGCGACATCATGGGTCTGTCGTCTTTAACTCCACAGCTCAGGCGGACCGAGTCGATCCAGACGATACTCAAGGCGGGTGATCCGTCTGCCATGCTTGTTAGCGTTTCGAAGTTGCTTGCTGTCTTGAAGCCCGAATGTGTCATGTTTTGGTGAATCGTTGCATGGCTTCTCAGAGTCACCTTCGCACGCAGGCACGCGGTGGATGCATGGAAGTCGAGGTCGGTTTCATTCTATATGCGTACGTATGAGTCGTGTGAGTACATGTGTACCACCATCATTACAGATCTCAGATGCTCGATGCACGGCGGTTCAAAGGTGACAGAACNCCCATTTGATCCAAGCGCTTGCATGGAACGCCTTAGGAAAGACGNCCCCTGCGAGTTGCAACAATGTCCGGGAACCAAGACAAGACGACGCTAAACACCCTGCAGCTGGTACAAAGCAGCATGCAGCTGCTTTAGTGGTGGACATTTCGGTTGTTAAGTTTTGGCTGGACCCACGGCTTTTGCTGGTCAAGGATGNNGGTTTGCGGTTTCTTGACCTGCACAATGCTTGGTCGAGGTCTCAGCGTNCCTGCTACTCTAGGGTTAGATGTTCAATTCGGGTTTCACGGCAAGTGGTCAAGAAGTTAGATCTATAGGATGGCATAATACGGGNNTACATGAATGTGGAAACGGCGTTGCAGGCAAAGGCGTATGGCAGGAGCTATGTGCCGTAAGGATTGATTGCTAGTTGCAAGGNNATGGTGCTCAGTAAAGGTGGGCGATTGGACGAGTCGCACAGCGTTTTGGCGGTTGAGGGCGCTGTGCAAGGAGAGAAATTTGACAACAGACTGCAGNACAAGATGAAACAGAGCGACGTACGTGTAGTCGTGTAGTTAGGGCAGAGATAAATTCGACGGATGGTCTCGTGCATGGCTGCTGAACCAGAATGGCATGGAAAATGGCTCGCGGACAGGCGCTGGACAGAGAATGGCATTGAGTTGTTGTGGACAGCGGCATTCCTTCTCGAAAGGCTTTGATGATGTCGCGGGAGCATTTCAATGAATGTTTGGCGCGCCGTTGAAGTCTGATCTCTCGCTGCATGGGAGCGTTCAGCGGGCTCGTGGTGGCGTCCGAGCTGAGGGGTATTGCACGCTTGAAACGCAGCAAGCGCAGGTCAGCGCTTCATAACAAAAACCGGGCATCCTGACTCCTAAGTTTAGGCGAGACCGAGAGCTCGCCGTCTTGACCAGCCATCCGCTCTTTGCTGTCTGTGCCTGTGCCTTGTTTGTGGGGCTTTGCGCTGCGGGCCTTGACTCTTTCTTCTGAGCAGTAGAGCGACGAGCCTACTCCACTATGAAGACGACTAGCACGGGAGGATACACGTTGAGCAGTCCGTCCAGTTGCACCTTCTTGCTCCTTCCGCCGCCCTCTGGTTGTGTGTGCTATTGATGGGCGCATGGCATCGGCCAAAGCATGAAAACGATCCCCACGGTAAGCTGCACAGAGACCCGCTTGCACTATAATGTCCCCAGCCGCTACGCTGCCTGCCGCCATGGATGCTTGATATGCGCATGCCCTGCCCCTCGCTGTCCAGTCTTCGTCCTTTGCATCTGCTGCTGTTGCTGCTGCTGTCCCCTGTCGCTCGCTCTGTGAAGCCTAATCCTCTTCGCAACGCGGCTGCACTCTCCGTCATGCAGCATTGACCGTCTCTTCTTTTCCCCCTTGCAGTCTCGATCAGCAACGCCCCGACTGACCCCCAATCCTATACAGCTCTGTGCAACGAGCACCGGCATTGGCGTGTCTGCCCTGGGCCTTGTGCTTGCCCGACCCGACCGCGACACACGGCTCGACCGTCAACACCGCCTTCCCAACAACCACGCCCGTCGCTCCGACTCGCATAGATCCTCGACCTTCCTCCACCCTCTTTCCGTTCCTTCTTCACTCGACCCGGTCCGTCCTCGACCGCGGTCCACCTCTCGAGCATCCTCGCTCGTTCCGCCCACGAGTGACATGACATCGACGGCCACCTGCACGGTACAGACCGTCGACACCTACGCGACCCCGGCCTCCTTTTGTCCTTCCTTTTCCTTCTCGGCTCGTCAGGCCCTCCGCTCCGCGAGCACCCAACCCGCTACTGCTCTCCCGACAAGGAATGCGCCGGACCATGCACGAACGGTGCTGAGGAAAAGAGACGGCCACACAATGCCTCGCGGCGCAACCCCATCCTTTCGACACGGTGCAGAGCCCTCACCTCCCATATCTCCCACTTTCGCTCCCCACCAGACGCCGTCATGGCTCAAGAGGTTTTCCTTTTCTTCGCGCGACTCGACGCAATCTTCGAGCTCACGCCCAAATTCTTCCGTCATTTCTGTCGCTCCTTCAGCCTCGGGATCCACAACCCCGATGATCCCCAGCCACACTCCACCCATCAACACAGCCCCGAACAAACTGGTCAAACGCTCCACCTCGGTGAGCAAAGTGCCCACTTCCGCCTCGTATGCCGGCTCAACCACAAAGATTCCCATTCCGACCTTAAGACGTCCAGCTACCAGCCACAAGCGAAGTGCCACACTGCAAGAAAGACGTGCTCCTACCGTTCCGAAAGCAGAAGACGCTTTCAGACACTCGCTCTATGGTTCTCCCTCAGAGTCCATGCCCGAAGACGTGCAATGGCGTAACTATTTTGCTCCCAGGCAGGCCGTANGTCCCCCAGAATCGACTCGGCGTCGCAGCTCGACCAGTATCCCAAACCCTATCAAAAGGGTATATGCGGATAGGAAATACCGACCCGTCTTGGTGTCTGCTAGAGAGAATATTAACGCTGCTCCTATTGAGTTTGATAACGATGCCGATGACCTTGAGCCTGTATTCATTCCGAATGTGGTGTCAAATGTCCAGGGAGCCGACCGTTTTTATTCTTCATCTCAGCAGACGCCCTTTGCGTCGAACCGACTCTCGCGAGCAACGGTCGATTTTCAAAGTACTTCATTCGATTCGAGGATAGATGAGCGGAAAAGTATCGAAGACGCATTAGACAGACAGGACGTGGCCGAAATGTCTAGGATCGAGTCGGCGTCGAGCTCCTTCTCTGTCAGTGACATACTCCCCGCAGAACCACAAATCTGGAAGCAGCCACCTCCTATCAAAGCAGCACCCGTCGTCAAATACCGACGACCGGGTGCGCGAGCTCGATCCAACACGCCCACAAGCATGGGCAACAGACAAAGTCTTGCTCACGATGAACCGTCCGAAGCGCTCGCAAGACATCGTGACTTGGATGACGTTACGCAGACTGCAAAGCCGCCATCTGTTAGCAGCCCCATTACCGAAATAGACCTTAGACTACCATCGCACCAGACGCATTCCGCTTCGAGTGCACTACCCAGCCACACCGAACTATCAAATCCACAGAGCGACGACAGTGTATACTTCGACACATTACCTTCACCCTCACATCCTTCCCATCATGCCGACGCCGCATCGCATCTGGCCGGCTCAGACAGCGACATCAGGTCAGGTGAGGATGAAGGACTTGACTCACAAGGCGACACCATTTATGACTCCGTCCGGACACGAGCGCCAAAGTCGAGCCCGGGCAGGCGAGGGCCTTCAATAGAAACCATTTTCGGCGAGTCGCCGCCATTTCACATCCATGGCAAGCATACCATGCTCAGAGACTATCTTCAGACGCCACCTTTACATGACCAGGCATATTCACTCAAGCCACGACACAGCATCATACACGAAGAAGACGCTATCTCTACTCCAGCTCGCTCTGCTCGGAAACAGTCCCTAGGCAGTTCGCCAGTGCTTCACATGAAGCCCTCATCCGCACAGACTAACGTTCCATCATCGCCGCCCACCATGCCATCTCTTTCATCCCTCTCTGACCTTCGCCAACATGCCGAACATTTCCCAGATTTTGCCGATGCTGACGACGATGAAGAGAGCTCTTGGTCTTTTGCCGAAGACGATGATGAGCCTCAAGTCCCGCGCAAGAATCGCTTTGCCCACCTTGGCATCACTCCCGATCTCTTGTCACCCCACGGACACGCTTCGAGTTCTGCGAATACGACCCCACAACGGCCAAGTATTAGAAGCACGGATAGAGACACACGCAGCAGCATCTTCGACTGGTCCGAACAACAACCCATGGAANAAAGTCCAAACAACCGTTCTCCTCCTCGTCCCAAAACCGTGCACGGCAAGAAGGACGCCGAGACTCGGGGTAGCAGATCGGTCGGAAGAAGAGCTCCAAGCGGGCTTCATGTCCGCAGCCAAAGCGTACCAGTCGCTCAAGAAGGCGATGGGAAACGAACAGGTACCAACAAGTTTGGCACTTGGGGCATTGGTAGCAAGGGCGTGACAGAGGACTGGAATGAGGATTTCGATTTCGAGGATGAAAGTGGTCCGGAAGAGAAGAGGCTCGACAGCGGTGTCTCGATGTTCGTGCCCAAGTCCATTCGAGACCAGCAGGACAACGTGCTTGCCAACATCGGTCTTCTTCGGGACTGGGGACTTCTGATCGAAGAATTGAAGGAACACAAGATGCGGGCTGTCATGTTGGAAGTGCTTGGTGGGCCCAACGAAAAGATGTGGAGCGAAGTCGATGCCATGATTGATCTCGCGGATCAGGAATCAGACGAACAAACAATCGCCCCTCGGTTCTCGCCATCTTCGTCGCCGTCATTCAACTACGATGCTTTCGACGAACCACTTCCAGCACTTCCGGCAGCGGAACATCTGATGCCCCCTCCCTTGTTCGGCCTCCCAGAATCTCCAGCAGACGGCGAGTTCGACTTCTACAATGAAGACGCGGCTGTCTCTCCGAAGAGAAATGACAACGGCATCTTTGTCACGCCAGCAACGCCTCGAAGACCGCGGAAGAACTCTGAAGCCGTCGCTCGTTCCGTCATAGAAGCACTGCAGCAAAAGCGACTCTCCAACGCCGCCCTCGAACTCGAAGAGCGAGACAAGGTCCATTTCGATACAGCGACTTTGAAGCGAATTATCCCTTACGTTCAAGAGTTGCGTGACAGAGTCAAGAAGGTCATCAGGGATGCAGAAGATCTACTTCCCAGTCCTAAGAGTCTCGGAGGCAGTATAGGTTCGCATGGAAGTCGGTCAGTACGCCGAAGAATCCGCGAGGCCCCCGAGTCTCCAACCGTTCATCGTCGGAGTCGACGCTCGACAAGTGCTCTTGAACGTACATCTTCAGATGATGGGCTACCGACTCCCACCGAGGAGCTAAATACCCAATTACGTCTCATGGCCATGACATGAAAAAGCCGATTCATTATTTATGATCGTCAACACACAGCTTTCCGATCAATCAATCAACACGATCATTTTGTCACGTATGCGAAAGAAGGCTGGCAACGATTTCTCCTCTTTGTACTACTAATGTCTCTTGTTCCCGTTTCTCTTTCCTCCACACACACGTTTCTGCGACCACGTCTATTCATTCCGGTTCAGCGAACGGCCTTCTTTACTCTTTCTAAACTTCAAAGTTTCCTTTTGGCAAAGCGTTTTGAGCGGATTTGGAATTTGTCGCACATCTCTCCCACCTTGTCTTTTCTTACTCCCCGGTGTATCCCTTTTATTTGGTGGTTGGAGGTTGAAACGAGGGAGCTGTAAGAAGACAAGAAACATTGAATTTCTTCTTTTCATGTTCGCGCAAGCGTTTTCAAGCAAGGCACACACGATAGAAAAGCGTTTGTGTATCATCACTTGTCTTTCTTCTTTTAGTTTTCTCTTCATTAGCCAGCCACAGACACTGCATAGACATTTGTTCTCCTACTGCCAATCGTTGACTCCCTTCCTTTCTCTTGATCTCCCGCTTCTCGAGGTGTTTGTATGCTTCGTCATCCTCCCTCCTTGATGCCTTTTGGGTGTATTCTCTTAGATGGCATTACCCATTTGAAACCATCGTTACGTTACCTGTCCGGTTTTAGCTTTTCTCTCATCTCAATGACATTGCTTTGATTCCGAAATATTTCATCTGCTCTTTTGAAGTTTCACCAAAAGTATAACAAGATGGGTTGTCAGCTTACCCTTACTGATGGCAGTATTTTTCCTCGATCCGATGTAGCTAGATTATCTTTGTGTTGAAATTTTGGGAAACCAAGTGCCATCTTGATGGAGACGGTGCTTGACTTTGACAATTGAAAACACTGCTTGGCCGTGGTCGGTATTTCACTTTCTATGGCTTCTCCCAAGTCTTTGTTCACGAGAAGGGCAGAGAAGTATGATGGAGATCTAGGAAAGCAAGAGAGCGTCTTGTTTGGACTCTGATAGACCAGAGTGATTATCATCTAGAAAGGGCGTTTTGTTGTCATGGTCATCCTTTGCTCCTTCCAATTCTTTCCCTCATCGACATCTTGGGCAAGATTTGCCTCGAGAAGCAAGCTGGACATAAAAGGAAGCCATCCTGCCGCCCCTTCCTTCCTTGCTCATTATGAGCGTTGTCCTCTCCGCCTTTCTTTGTACACTTTTTTCCTTGTCCCATTACTCAGCCTTCCAATCCAGCAAATTTCTCTCTGATGTCTTCGGCGGCGAGTCTGCGACCTGTCATGCCGAAAAAGGCGGCACTGACTCTGTGCCACATACCCTCCATGTCTTTTGAGATGAGTTCGGAGAGAGCTTGGAGTTCACCAAAGGAGAAGAGATCGTCTTCGGTGAGGNNGGAGGGCATGGTTTTGAGGGTAAAAGCTGTACGTGAAGAGGCAGCGATGGAAGCAGGACGGTGGTGAGCCTTGTGTGGGCGGGATGGGTGGTGGGCTGAGTCGTGGCGGATGTGTTCGTGGCGAGATTCTTTGGTGTGGTGGTGGGGTTTGGGGTCGTTGCTGGAGCGGCGAGGGTGAGTGTCGTGGAGGTGGACGTGATGGTCGTGACGGACCTCGTGGCGATGAGCGTGTGCGTGCTGGTGCTCGAGTTTACCGCCCAGAAGAACAGCGGCGGACAGGGCCTTCTCCTGGTTGTGCTTGTCGATAGCGTTGGACTTGCTCTTGCGCTCTTCGACCTTGTTGTCCTTGTTGCTCATCTTGGCAAGTTGTTTGTCGTTGTGGTCGTTCTTCTCTTCAGCAACACCAGCCTTGTCGATACCGTGCTTGCCTCCCTTCTGTGCCTTCCAGTCGTCAGGCTTGATCTCGCCGAATCGTTTGGTGGTCTGTTTCTTGGTCTTGCCGATGGCTGCTGCGATTTCTCCCCAAGACTTACCTTCAGTCTTCATGAGCAGTAGCTTTGCGTCTTCTTCGGCAGTAGAGACAACCTCTGAGGTGTTCTGGGCACCAGCTCGAGGTTTGTTGCCGTTGGCCTTGGGTTCGTCGGCTGCCTTCTTTGCGTCTGCGGCTTTTTCGGTTGGCTTGCTGTCGTCTTTCTTGCTGCTGGACTTGTTGTCTTCCTTCTTACTGCTGTGCTTGGAACCAGATGCCGCGTTCTCTTTGTTGCTGCCTTTGGCACTAGCAGCCTTGAATTCGTCGTCGTCTTGCTTTGGGGCACTGGGACGTCTGCGCACGCGAACGAGCTCCGTTTTACCAGCCTGTAGAAAGGGNGAACTGCGTGAGTCAGCATTCCCAGATGATGGACTCAAGTGGCGTCGTGTGCTTACTCCTGGAGGGCCGGTGGGTCTGCGGATCGTGCGGCCAGAGCCTAGGAAGATGTCGAAGAGGGAGATGGGAAGAGCTGGCGATTTTGAGCGTGCCATCGTGGTGTCGAGAAACACAGATGTGGAGGCTGGTGTAGGCGAGTAATAGCAGACGCACAGTAGGGTCTTGGGGTGAGACTCAGGAGTGACTATGAAGAGAAGGATGCGGAGCTCTAAGTGCTTCTAGTATCACAGACGAGTCTTTGTAAAGTGTAGGAATGATGCAAGTGAGGTAGTGAAAGTGGTAGAATGTGATAGACTAGAGAAGTGCGAAAAGGTGTTGGTCTCGAGGCGGATTGAACCCACACGCACCAGCCACAACAAAGACGCGTATTGGTGAGCGTAACAAAAGTGTTCAACTTTGTATATGTTACGGTCTGCTCTTTTTGCAACAACAACACCTCTCCCTATACCAACCCCATAGAGGCACACTAGACCAGAAAAAAAAGAGCAGGAAAGGTGCAAAAAATATTGAATGGGTGTCCCGAATGCCGCTAGCAAGCTGATAGTGATGTGAGTGGCCTCTATCTTTCCCACCGTATGCAAAGACCCCCAGCACCGAAGTGCCAGTTTAGTACGAGGTTAACCACTCCACTATCATTCCATTCTGATGAAGGAAATCCAAACTTCATGAATTATATAGCCTGCTCTCACAGTGACCTCCCTCATACAAACCAAACAAGCACAATGTGATTCTGCATTGCAATGTTTCACAACAATTGCATGGTGCTTGGAGGGGCATGACTTACCTACTTCGTGAGGGTGTTGCTTCCTAACCTCGTTCCAGGGATCCGGCCTGTTTCCATCACATCTCACGGACGTGAATCTGTCAGAAGCCGCTGCGCAGCTGATACTGCAACGCTACGGCATCAACAACACTGACATAAAGACACCACTGCCACCATCGAACAATGAGTTGTGTCAATGTTGGCAACGGAGTCTCGCGTGGTGCACGAGCGGCTTTCACGGTGCAGTATGTAAGTGTCGTCCAATGAGACAAGTAATGTCTCTCATCCAGCTTAAGTGCACCTGGGCATTGGTCAACCCGACCGAATTCTTCCTAGAGAACACGGCAAATCCAGTCGCCACACATGGCCATTGTCAATCGAGCATAACGGTTCGAAGGACTGTAGAAGGCTATGAAGATTGTGCAGTCCTGTCTCCATGTCCATTGGATGTTCTGGACTCGACTAAGATTCCTCGAGTACTCTCAGACAGTCTTATCTAAGTTCGGATAATCCGTTTCCAGTCCGGGCCCAAGGCCATTGAGATAACATAGCTTGACCCAGGTGAGTAAGATGTGTTCCAAAACATTGGACGTGCCTCTTCCAATCTCCAGGTCCTGCTTCAATCCCAGTCCAGTTTCCAACCTGGATATCAGGAGGACAGTTCCAGATATGCAAAGCTGGGTCCTGAGCTGTGTCTTTGCACCAGACCAGCCAAAGGCGATCCTTCGACTCCAGCAGTAGCAGTTGCTTTTCGAGATGCTGCAGCGAGAAAAGTCTATTGGTTTCCTGAAGACAGAGATTTCCTAAGGCCAGTGGTATACAGCTATGTACCAGATCGAGAATACTGTCCAGTATCCATGCGGCCTTCCAGTATCTGTAGACCTTGGACAGGCTTCGGATCCGGGGCTGTCGAGATAGCTAGTTGACATGTGTGTATCGTACAAGAGGCAGGAAGGAACAGAGGTATGGGATGAGGTTCGATGAGCCCGGACCACGAAACTTGGCAAGAAGCTTCAGACATGGGAAGGTATGCCGAAGATAATGCCCACAAGCTGCTGTCTTGAGGAGCAATTTTCATTGTCAATGGTCGGTCATTTAGATACAAGATTCACAATACAAGCTGTTGATCCAGATAAGCAGATATATACTACAATTGACAAGAGTAGTCTTCAGGGTCAATCATGTAAAGTCAAAGAAACGGTTCGTGTGTGGAAAGGGGGCTGCGAAAGCTCAGGGACCGTGCACGTCCATGTTCAAGGGACAGCGCAACCTCTCGACTAAACAATTATTGTCGTCGCTCCAAGCCTTCCTTTGTGTGTCACGACTCTCGACAGACAGCAAAAATGCTCGTCCTCGCCTTCCTCTATGCAGCCCTCTGTGGCCTCTTTGCCGTCAGCTCGGCACACAACATCCAGCTGAAGGCCCACTCACGCGAGTGCTTCCACGAGGAGCTGCACTCGGACGACAGAATGACCGTCACCTTCCAAGTCGGCGATCGCGAGTTTGGTGGAAGTGGAAACCTTGACATTGACTTCTGGGTATGAGTGCTCCAGGAAGTGGAAATGCGACACAAACTGACAGAAGCCTCTAGANTCCAAAACCCCGCCAACGCATATCAAATCCACGAGCGCTCCGTCAGCAGCGGCGACCACAGCTTCACTGCCCACATGGACGGACGTTATCTCTACTGCTTCAGCAACGAACACTGGTCGGCCAACACAAAGGAGGTCAGCTTCAACGTCCACGGCATCGTCTATGTTCCCGAGAGCGAGGCTCCTCAGGATCCCCTGGAGAAGGAAGTGCGCACTCTCGGTGAGATGCTGGCACAGGTCAAGGATGAGCAGGGTTACATTGTCGTCCGCGAACGCACCCACCGCAACACTGCCGAGAGCACAAACGCCAGAGTCAAGTGGTGGAGCATCTTCCAGCTCGGTGTCTTGATTGGCGAGGGCATCTTCCAGGTCTGGTGGCTCAAGCGTTTCTTCGAGGTACGCTCATAGCCCTGTTTTCTTGATTCAATTTCTCGAACTTCAGGCGCTAATACTGGTCTTGTACAGGTCAAGCACGTTGTCTAAATGTCCTTGTTCGTCCTCTCAAACCTTTCATATACCCAACAGACCTTCTACGTTTCCAATGAGAACATGTTCTGATTTCACTCTTCTTCCACTCTTCTTCCATTCGTCGTTCTTACTCCCGATCATGTACAACATTCTTCTTTCTCCCCGTATGGAAGCATACTTCCAAGCTTTGAATGCTCTCTATCTGTATTAGGATCGTTCGAACCCGAGACAGTAGGCTAGAACCCAATACCTTTGGTGTCAGCATTCTCTAGGAGGTTGCCAGCAAGTTTGGATTTATCTCAATAGACCGTATAAAAGTCTGATCAGGGTAGAAAATCCGCTTGTGAAGTGTACAATTCAGTAGAACACAATTGTCGATCAGCAAGATAAGAGATGGTCGTAGAAGACTTACGCCATGATCTCCCTGTGCAGATCTGCAGGCAGTTTGAGCTCTGAAACTCTGACGGTGCGATATTCAATTCTTGGAAGGGGCAGATCTCTGGGTGCGTGATTCCTTCCTTGTTTCATCAACACTCGTCTTCGGACGGCCTCGTCTCGAAATCGTCTTTTCCAACCATTGTAAAACTGAGTCGACCTCTGGCAGCCAATACACATCATTGGCGACAAACCTTCACTTCTGTGCGGGTTTCGGATTGACCATGACAGCCAGCGGCCTGTCACTCCCACTGGATTTGTTGCGCATTGGAATCAATGACTGTTGGTCGAATGCTCTCGAGGAGGACATGCGCCTGTCATTGCAATACAACTTGCTGGAACACTCTCGACTCGCCTTTCACTTTCACCCAGATTGAATCTGGAGGGAGGTTGGTTACGCGCTTTGTGTCTAGGCTTGAGTCACTCATGGTTATATTCCAGGAAGAGGACAACCGATCACCAAGCACAAACTGTACTAACAATTGCGCCCATCTTCTAAGAACGAGTATGCTGGATACTGAACTGGCCACAGTTCCACTGACTCGACGGCCGGAGGGTCGGCAACGCCAAAGACATCCGTGTCGAAACAGAATATCTACGGTGCTCACCAATACTTACACACAGGCATGATTCTATGACGCACGACATGCGATATAATATGCCACCATTATAAGAGCCAGAGCGTTGTCGCTGGTCTCCTACTTTCACCACTCTCGACGTCGACCAAGAGCGTCCGAAGTCATGCCTTTGTTGAACGAGGATGAGAATGCTTCGGCGAAGTTGTTATTCATGCATTCATGTCAAGCTGGGCGTCTCACATGCAGCGATTGCCTGGAAATGGCAGGCAGCAGGGCAGACATCCCCAACCAATCCGGGGTTGGCTGTCCTGCGAAGGGCGCAAGACTAGCGGCTCACGGCAAGATAAGCAGGATGCCGAGATCGGACAAATCTCTTCTTGGACGACTTTCAAACAACACTGTATGGCAGAAGGTAGGTCGTTTTGCGTGCTCTCAATGCAAGGAAGACACGAATATTGGAAAGTCCTACTTGAAGGACTTTGGAGGACTGCGACTGGAGAAAAATCCATCGTTGAAGATGGGTGAGTATGAACGAGCGGGATTAGAGTAAGCTAGCGTGCTGCGGAGTTGGGTGACTCACATCTGGTGCACCGTGCAGGAGACCCACCACACCGGGCGATGGTTTGAGGGTGTTCTCCCAGGCAGTATGTAAAGGCTGTTTCCCCAAGCCCTCTTGCAGTTCGTTTCCCTACTCTTTCAAAACGAACACTCTACACACATATTCATTCCAGGTTTACGCACTCAAAATGGCTGCATAAACCCCCCATACCGTCGCCCAGCATACCAGCAATAAGACAACTTCGTCCACTACTTCCCAAACACTCTCAAGAGCAATTGCCCTTGAGTTTCTCCAACACCTCGTCGTCGTCCTCGGACCTTCAGCAACAGAAACTACAGCCAACCACGGCTTTTAAACCACAACCATGTCTTCCTCACCAGAACTCCCCCAGGCATACGCCCCCTCATCCAGCATTCGAACAGGACTTTGCCCTCTTCGCTCCGCCAGTGAAACTTGCTCATACTCCGCGTGTGCAGCAATTGCGAGATTCGACGCAGCAGCTTACGTCTAATCCACGTGGGAGTTTGCACAGCTCCCAGGCAGCAGTGCAGAATCATTCAAATACCGGACCTTTTTCAAACCCAGCCTTTTCATCACAGTTCTCACCACAGTTCTTGACCGATACCAACGAACAACTCTCCGTCTTCCAGACTGAAACTACCACCAAAATAAACTCATCAAACATCACGAATATGTACTCGTACGGATACTTCACCAACGAGAGCAACGTTGCCTACGAGGGCACCGCTGAAGACCTCCAGCTCGGCGGTCCTGGAGCCTTCATGAAGGAGGGAGTCGACATGCCCCTCTACGGAGGTAACGACGACCTCGAAACCCGCCTCTGGTCTGAACTCACCGGCCCTTCCTACAACCCCTCCGACAACACTATCTCCCCTCAGCTACTCTCCATGGGCCCTGCCCAGCAGCCCATCCCCTCTTCCAGCAACCTCCCCGACCTGACCCCTGACACGCACTTTGGCGATTACTCGCCTGCAATGTCTTATGCGCCGTTGTTCTCGAACAACGGCTCGGTCGACNCATCCCCCGTCGTGCGTGACGACATGGCGCCCCACGACTCGGAATACCAGCCTCTGTTCGCCGCTGAGCCTTCTGTGCCTACTGGCGCAGACCTCGGTGCACGTTACACGGCCTCCCTTCCTCCTACTCCCGCCTTGGCTACGCTGGGTGCGTTCCCCTCGGGGGTTCGCAAGAACAGAAAGGCTAAGCCCCTCGCGGTGATCGACCTCGATGCGATCACCGACGAAAAAGGAGNNCTGAAGAAGTCGAGAAACACCATGGCCGCTCGCAAGTCCCGCCAGAAGAGGCAAACTGAGATGGAGAAACTCCAAGCCGAGAACGCGAAGCTTCTGGCTGCGCTTCAGGCAAAGGAGCAGGAGTGCCAGCAGCTCAGGGCCCAGGTCAACGGGTCCTCTGCTCAGCTCATCTAGGGCACTGACCCCAACTCCTCTTGAGGCCTGTCACACCTCACTCTTCTCTCCTTCTCCGAGGCCCGTCACACCTCTCCTCTCCCTCGACATATCCCTCTGGCACTATAGAAATGCACAAACGTATCCTGGTCAGAGCACCGGTCCACCGAGAGAAGCGAAAGCCACTGTCTCTTTGGATCCATCTCTGCTCTCAGATACAAACTGTGCATCTCAGCAACATACTCACCACTACCCTTTCCACCATGGGAGTGACAAAGACTGCCATGCACACGGCACCAACCAAAAAATTTGTCTTTGATTTCCATTGCGCTGTCTTTCCACAAAAGTTGTTAACATACCCATCGCGTTCTTCTGATTTTTCTTTCTTTTTGCTATTCCTTGTGAGAATTCACGGCCAGTTCAAGATGTCCGAGTTTATCCAAAAGACTTGTTGACTCGTGGGCCTTTTTTTTTCTACTGTTAAATTTGTTGTCTTTGCAAGCAAAAGAAAGAAAGGGTTTTTAATTAGGATGAATGCGAATGACTTCTCAAAGCTATAACTATGTGTGTTCTGTTCTACCGTGATTGTGTGAAGATGTGATTTGCAATACAAGAATGTGGATATATGACATGTCAACATGTGAAGACATGACGTGAAATTTAGAAATGTTCTCATATAGGTTCATTGGTATAGACGTTGCTGTCACTGACGATGGAGTATTATGTCCAAATTTCGAAAATGCCTTTGTGGGTTGCTGCCTAGAACTGTTCTTGTTTGGGAAGTCGCAACGTCAGATGGTCGCGTGGTATTCGTCATTTAGTCAACTGCACCTCGAGAAATCTTTGTCTTCTCTCGTTCTGTCCAATATCTGTTCGTTATGCCTGTAGAAATTCACAGGTACCTTTGATGAACTCAGCAACGTCCGGTGGGAGGTATTGTCTTGATGGCTTCCAGTGGGTATAGCTCCAATAGTCAATATTGCTGTGCATTGCTACAGTTGATACTGTTGCTATCGTGTCGCTATAAGAGAGCTAACAGAGATTCAAACATCGAACTTTTAGTCAACATTTCTACGCAAGTATCTCATCGTCACCCTGGCTCCTTCCCTCCTCACTCACAACTCAATCACTACCAACTAACGTCTTGTCTTCACCTTCCTCTCTCCCTACTGTACCGGCTAACCCCCGGCTCGACGTCGATGACCAACCCACCCGCCGACAAACCACCGCATCGCTGCGCTATGCCCAGCATGCCCAGCAAGCAGATCAACCCACAGCACGGTCGACAGCCCAAAGACTGTTTTTCTGGTTGATATCTCTTTCGTACCCGTGTGACTAATTTGTGTTTGCGTTATAAAGACGTAGACGAGTGTTTCGGTTTTGCTCGGCCCATGGCTCATGGGGCAGATGTCGCGATGCCGAAGTCGGGGCTTGGGGAGCGAGTCGTCAAGGTTTGTAGAGTTTTCTTCTCTTGGATATGATCTCGAGGGTGGAAAGGTTGAGGCTGTTAGAAGAGAGGGAAAGGTGAAGAATGAGAAGAGGTAGGTTTTGGGTGGGTGGGATGTGAGAAGTGGATGGTTGCTTGAGTGCAGTGTGTGGAAGTGAGTATGAGAATGGTTATGGTCAGGGTCACTGTAGAAACTTGATGCAAGGTAGGAACATGTCTGTATGGAGCGACGACGGGGGTTAGTATAATTTCGGATAAGTATGGGCGCCACGAGGCTCGGTGAGAATGAGGGAGTAATTGATCTGGAAGCATAGTTGTAAGGTGAGTGGGAATAAATCAATTTTGTAACAAGATTTTGCTTGTACGGTTGAACCATTCTCAAATGCGACACACCAACATTCTCAGATTTGCAATCCCTCACTCGTGCTGTCGATAATGCTCAAAGCCAGACAGTCCTGATGACCTGAATGCTGCTATGTCAAGATAATCTCAAATGCTTATTCCATCAGCGTTCGATCATACCTATCCATTGAAGCCAAGACCCCTACACTCCTCATCCTCTCTCAAAGCACCCCTGATCTCCTCCTCACCGACACCCAACCGTACTCTACCAACCCTTTCACCCCTCCTCACCTCCAAGCCCACGATACCCGCTTCTGCCAGCTCCTCCGCCGCGACACCCATACCTCTCAACCTTGCTACTTTGCCTTCTTTCTTTCCAGCCACTCTACCTCTTTTGCCAGGCGTGGAGGCTCCGGTCAAAGAAGGAATGGGTTGAAAGGTGTCTGGTGCGAGCAAAATGTCATGCAGAGGGACCAATGACGACAAAGCTGCCATGCGTGCTGCTTCGTCAATGATGTCGCCGAGTGTACTCTCCGTCAGTCCGGTCCTGCGGATACGGCCCAGGAGGGCAGCGAGGAAGAGTTTCGAGGCCAGAGGCAGGGAACGCAGGTAAGAGGCCAACGGTGTAGAAGTAGCTTCATTGATGGCGCGTTTGATAGTAGAAATGGTCACGACACCTTTCTTCATGGCTGCCGCTTTTGCTGGCGCGATTGTTGTCGTCTCGTCACCGGGCTCTTCGGTTGGTGTTTCTAGTGCTGCTTTATCGGCAGCGGCCTTGTCTGACTCTGCGATCTCGACTGCGCGGCGGCAGATATCGAGGGCGCGACGTGCATCTCCTGATACAGCTGCCACTTTTCTGCTGGCGAATTGTACGGCGTCGGGTTCGACTACCACTTGTCCGATGCCTTCGAGTCTGCTTTCAATGATCTTGATGAGTTGCTGATGTGTGTATCCAGGAAATGTTATTCGCGTGAGTCCCAATCGCGAACTGATCTTGTTGCTGAGTGTGCGTTCGGGCAGATCCATGGTGTTTGCTACTGCCAGCACGATAAGACGCGAATGCCGTAGTTGAGGCCAGTTGAAAAAGTTGTACATGACACCTTGGGATTTTGTGACGAGCTGATCAAGCTCGTCCATCAGCACGACACAAGGTACTCTTCTCGGACTCGGTGTGCTAAACTCGCGTTCTAGCAATTCGAGAGCATGTGTGGCGCTGACACGTTGGCCTTTGAGCGCTTCCCAGAGTAGGGAGTATGATTGATGTGGGTCAGTGACTTTCATACCATTGATCTCGACGAATACAAAGTCGTCGAGTTCGTCGGCGGATACGGCCACGTTGAGTGCAGCGACCACCTCTCGTACCGTGGCGGTTTTGCCAGTACCCGGAGTGCCAGAGATGTAGATGCAAGATCCTGTACCAGCCGAGATGGCGGTCTCCAAATGTGAATACACTTCGCCGAATTCATCTTCACGACATGGAAGTGCATTAGGTACAGCAGATACATGCAATGTGCTTCGGGCAAGTTGGTGAGGAGATGCAGTTGTATGAGAAGGGCAGAGCATACGAGTACCCAGAGGTGTAAATTCGAGAGGTCTTTTGGCAACAATGCGGCGATGTGTGGGAGTGGTGAGTTTACGAGCTGCAGGGTGCTTGCTCCTTGAAGTTGGTGTGGCAGAGGTCAACTTCCTTCGTTTCCGTGGTGTGGCGGTCTCACCGTCTTCGTCGTCAGGAATCACAAATTCATCTAGATCTCCTGGTGTCGTTGCTCTGACGGTAGACTTGCATTTGCGCGTTCGTACAGTTTGGTTGTCGACCAACTCGCACAGAGACTGTAAATCCTCGACTCCACGATATACATCCTCCCAGATGAACTCCTCGGTGTAGGTAGTTGTGCGGGTGTTGCAACCTCGTCGACAGATGAAAATCTTCCCGTGATCTCTTGAGCCTTTTGGAATCTTGCCGTTCGAATATCTCGAGTTGAAGCCCTCCTCCGAAAGAATAGTAGCCTTGCCATTGATGGTCTTTAATGAGTTTTCGTCCAGACCAGTAGTGATGTACAGTTCATTCTCCAGAAAGTCCTGTCTTTTCTTGTTCTTGTTGACAATCTCCTTTTCGGACGAGAACCACAAGAAGGAGGCTTTCATATCATTGATCATCTCGCCATCATCGTCTTCAATCTCGCCTTCTGCAAAGTCTTGGATGATGGCTACCCAAGCTTCATTTCCGGCAGCTTTGAGCAGGACAGTGTCTCCTATGTGGCATCTGAAGTCGCCCATCTGGGCACCGATGATGGTTTTGTTGGGTCCGTATATCCATTCCCAGGGGAGATCTTCAGTACCCAGCTCATCATCCGAGTCCTCTCGCAATACACCGCCGCCCTGGAGAAACTGCCGTGCTTGCTCGGCTCTTGAACGTTTTTGTTTCTGAGCCATGTTTTGGAAGTGATTTCTGATCAATTGACTAATCCCACCTTTGCTGTCGTTGGAGGTGCACGCGTTGGGCAGACACGCCTTGTCGCGTGGTTCCGTGGTGCAAGCACTCAAATCCCAATGTGGACCTGTATGGACTGGGCCAGGGTGGGGGAGCAACTTTGTCGTCGGTCAATCCGCGCGCGCAACGTCAGAGCCAGAAACATCACAACCAGCCCAGAAACATGTCGGAACCAGCAGAGCAGGGTCAACAAAGTGCGTCAGAGGTGTTGTCAAAGCTCAAGTCTAGCAAACAGAGAAACTGACAGTACTTACTTGCCAGTCGACCTCGGATCCCTCTCGGTACAACAACTCTCCCAAGTCAAGAAACAGCTCGATGAAGAGACCCAACACCTGACAAACTCGTACGCCCAACTGCGCGCCGCCCAGCAAAAGTTCCGCGACTGCATTGCCTCCATCATCGCCGGTGTCGCAAACTCGGTTGCCGACAAGCCGCTGCTGGTCCCCTTGACCTCTTCCCTCTACGTCCCTGGCACATTGGCAAGCACCGAGACCGTTCTGGTAGACGTCGGAACCGGCTTCTACGTCGAAAAGACCACCGAGCAGGCAAAGAAGTTTTACGAGGCAAAGGCCGAAGAGCTGGGAAAGAATGTCAAGGATCTCGAGACCATTGTCCAGGGCAAGAACCAGAACTTGAGATTGATCGAAGAAGGTATGCGCGGACGAGAAGAGCTACTGCTCTACTGGTACATGAGAAATGTCGCTAACACGAGGTGCANNGTCATGCGTCAAAAGGTCCTCGCGAGCAACCAGGCTCAAGGAAGTGCTTCCGCCTCGTCATAGTCGGTTTCCTCTGCCATCAAAAGATACCACCCTCCTCCTACACAATCGGCATGGAGCCGACCACGCTCAGAGCCCGTCCAAGGGACATCAGTTTCCACCATGTTCTAGGCCGGTAGAAGATATCGGCATGAAAGGAACAACGCCGAAGCTCAGCTTCGCCTTGCAAAGAGCATGCACTTCACAAATCGAAGGAAGGAATCTTGTCTCGGGGCGAGCAGTTGGTACCATGGAAGTTCTTGAAATCTCGCAGCAACATCGTTCTCATGTGATTTGTGGTAGCTAGTATCTAGCGGATGACATGTGGAAGTTGAGACTGTCGTGTCTGAATGCCCTGCGCTACAAGGAAGGAATTGATAGTAAGAAATACACAGCCACAATGTCTTCTCCATCCCGTCCTGCTCAATTTCTCTTGCCGAGAACGATATCCTGCACACACTGCAGCGCATGCAAAAGCTCGACATGACCCTTGAGCTTCTCGTTTGTGTCGTTCGATTCCACTGGGAACCAGCTTTGAATGTCTGCCTTCCACTCTGCACCCATCCCAGCACGAAGCTCGTGGTTCTCCGAGAGCAGACTTGACCATTGGCGATGCTTGACATCGACCGTCCAGCGCTCTTCATAAGTGGTGACGGGCTCTCTGCCTCCGATCGGAGATTCCGTGTAAACCCTGTTGAAGACTTTGGCCACCTCCACTTCATACCCGGTGTAGGGTTCCTTCATGTCAAACCTCCAGATAATTTTCTCCCTGATGGCTCTTTTGTGGGCAAGAGGCTTTGGGCTATCTTCGTACGTCTCGAAGTCACAGAACGATTCCGCATTTCGTGCCTTGTCGGGCTTCAGGTTCACGTAGTACTCACCATGGTCTCGGACCCACTGCGGAAGGTGGGATGATTCTGGCACTTCGAGCGCAGAGATGTCAAGCAGCCATGTGAGATTACTGAGTGTGTCCGTAAGATACACCTCAAGGAATCGTGTACGACCGATTTTCTCAATCACCCTCTTGAGTTCGGGGTTGGATGAAGAGAATGAGCCATTCTCCTGGTGCCACGTCTTGGTAATTAGAACATTGCCGCGACCATCCTTGATGTCAACCTCAATAGAAGCTGTATATTCAGGTTTGGTATCGGCAAGATCGTAGATGAAACGATCGCAAGGTTTGAGTGAGTTCGTAGCACTCAAGAATCGAAGGAGCAGACTGTCTTCGATGAGTTTATCGCCGAGTNNCTTGCTCATTGTCAGCAACGATCCCAGTGACCTTGAAGCAGTAGCTTACTCTTCTGTGATCTTGGCTCGGAAGTTGTAGGAGTCTGAAATCATCTCCTTGTAGTCAGGCAGACTCTTTCTGTTGAAAGTCTGGTATGTGATCAGGTTGAGTTTTCCGAGATGCACTCTGAGATCGATGTGGCCTTGGTGCCAGTGTATCTTGCTCAGAGTCTGAATGACAAGATCTTTCATTCGTTTTGCGTTGAGGGTGATATCTTCCACTTTTGGTTTGGCTCCAACACTCTTTACTGTCTTTCTAAGACTTGACTGTGATTGCGCGCCTGCATGGTAAACCACTTTTAGAGGGAGATTCTCCAGGATGAATTCTTGACAATCATTCTGAACCAGATAAAGTCTCTGGACTGGACAGCTCTGAACGACAGCCTTGCAAAGGAGGCCTCTGATACGCAGAAGAGCTTCTTGCACGTCCTCAACATCGCCCTTTACAATGAAAGACGATCTGGAACTATCGTAGTTGATGGTACAGTTGTTCTCCCTGCGAATCGGGTTCAAACTCTCGAAGTTCCGATGACCAAGTGCCTTGGCTGGCTCGTATTCCTCGGGAGGCCACAAAAGGATCCCTGCGNNCCTAGTCAGCAACGTGGGCACGCTGAGTCTTCTAATACTTACCATCGCTTCGAACTGGGCATCACGAGGGGGCCTAACAGCACCCTGCTGGTGTTGAAAGGTTGGATTGTCTTGCAAGATGTTGGTTGTGAGGTCGACTTTCGCACGTTTTACCTTGATGAGATCAGCATTGTCCTTACAAACGACTGTTGGTTGCGAGAATTATACATTATCAGGAGCTCCCCAGAATTTGAAGTCGAATTTACCATCATAATAGATGTGTGTGTTCGTGGCTCTTCCGATGATTGCGATAATCTGCGAGGGGTTCTTGATTGTCATGTTTTTAGCGAAACTCCAGGTGTCAATGGGAACATCGCCTCTCTTCATAGCAGCATGAGCTTCGTTAGCACGAACAGGCGCATTGTGTCGATTGTGCCTTGGCTGAAGCGGAAGTCTGTTGTTTTGTGTGGGCGGCATGGTGGATGTTTCATGTGCGGATGATGAGATCTGTAGGATTGGTAGGAAGGACTGTGATAAAGTAGCGCAGCCAAAGGCGAGAACAGTAATCCTTGGAAGCTTGTGCCGATTTGTCTGATCAAAACGAGCTGAGGGGATTAAGTGAAAGAAAGTTGATCGAGCGCAAGGGAAGCCGCATCAAACCTGCATGTGGCCCCACGGATGGGCAAACGCAATGCGAGTGAAGACAAAAGTCATGCCTTCCTGATAAGGATGCGCAATCACAACAACAAAAGGACACAGCATGTACACGGCAACCAAATAACAACCTGACCAACAAAGCTTTGGGTATCAATCATCGTTCGTTATCTCCGCATTCTACTTGGTTCTCCTAAGTCTTTCAGAACTTGTGTCTTCCTAGCGTGGGCTTCCACTCGAGTGGATGTGTTTCAGGTGTCGCGTTCTCGTCCTCACGCCAAATCTTAATGGTCTTGTCTGCTTCTCCGGTAATAAGACGTAGTCCAGTCTTGTCGAATGTTGAACTCATGATACCAGCTTCAGCGTCAAGACTACCAGGCTGGGCAATAGAGTCGAGTGATTGGTATTTGTAGCCAGTCTTCCAGTCGAAGAACGCAGCCGATCCGTTGTCGCCACCAGAAAACAGGACATTGTCCTCATTGACCGACAAAGTGTTGATGATGGCGTTGTGACCATCAAAGTTCTGCATGAAAGCACCTTCTGGACACTTCCACTGCTTGACCTGACCAGTCGAGGCAGAGGCGAATGTGAATTCGTGGGGTGCTGTGCAGAGAGCTCTCACACCCTTCTTGTGATGTGTCAAGACGCCCATGGTCTTTCCAGCTGCGAGATCGTACATGCGAACGGTGCTATCTAGTGAAGATGAGATGATTTGCGGATCGGCCTCCTGGGTGACGATGTCGGATACGGTCTGTTTGTGGCCACTTAGCACGTGAATGTTCGATCTGGTTCGCATGTCCCACACACGGACGACACCATCTCTTCCTCCGGTGCAGAGCACATCGAGCGTAGGGTGTAGACTCAACGTGTAGACACCACTCAAGTGACCGTGGTAATCGCGAATGACCTTGTTGGTCTCAAGATCCCAACACTTGACCTTCTTGTCTTCTGCACATGAGAAAAGGTATGGATGTCTCGGACTGAAAGCAAGGCCTCGTACGGTAGAGATGTGACCAGTCAGAGTGAGCTTCAATGTGCCGGTGGCAAGGTCCCAGATCTTGATAGTCCTGTCACCACTTCCAGTCGCGAAATATTGGTTTCCCGGTTCCACCGCGAGTGCTCGAACCCATCCCAAGTGACCAGAGATGACACGCATAAGCTTCCAGGGCGCCTTCCACTCGGGCTTTGGCTGGCGTACAACATCTCTGCGCACCAGACTCGAAGAGCCAGGCAGGTCTCTTTGTGGTGTAGGGCCATTCGCGTTTGGTGGTAGCTTTCCAGCGCTATTTGCGCGCAAGGCAAGAGCGGTTGAGGTTCCAGCGGCGGCAGATGATGTTTGCGCAGAGACTCCCTCGATCATCTTGGCCATCTTTGGATTCGATGCTTGCTCCTCGGTCTTGGGCTTCTTTCGTAGACTTGAACGCGATGCGGCAGCGTTTGCTTGCTTGGCCGCAAGCACTGGGGGCAGCTCTTTCACGTCGGCATATTCTTTGTCGATTCGCGACCTTAGTGCGATCTTCTGGGCGCGTTCTGCAGGCGACGCGATGGGAGGAGCGATGGCGGGTTGTGAAGAGTTGTCGAGCGCTGTGGGTGCGCCAAAGTCGGCGGCGAAAATTTCTCTCGTACGTTTGGCCGATTTATGCACCAGGTCAGATGGCGTCGGTTCTGCTGTGGTCGTCATGGTTGGTTGTGTGGGTATGGAAGATGAGTTGTTGCGATGCAACTTTCTTGTCGACTTGGGAACTTCGAAGCTTCGGCGCTCCGTCTCATGATCCTCNCCACATTTCATCATTGAATTATTCAAGACGGGGACGTCTATCAAGAACGGACTTACCTCTCACTCTTTATTGCCAAATTGTAATTCACATCGAGTACCCAGCGGTAATAGACAGTGATCTTCTCGTGAGCAGTCATACTCCTGAAGACAGGAGCATGCATCAACAAACAACAAGTTCAATCAGGTAGCGATATTATCTATATAGTCCTTCGTAGTAATCAGACTCTGATCTTATAACGTCAAGCCTTTAGTCGTCCGCAGCATTTCTGGGAATATGGCCACTGCATCTCTGGCTGAATTCTGAGGCGCGTTCTTGGGGAGCTCCACCAGCACCCTCCTCAACGCCGCTATGCCTGCCTGTCCGTAGAATTTGAGGAACTTCTCAATGTGCGTGTCCACCAGTGCCTTGAGCACGATCCAGTGAGTCGGCTGTAGGTTTGCCGGCGGTGTGTTGGCGAAGTAACTCAAGGCTCTCCAGTAATTTGGTGGTGGGAAGGGGTTGTTTGACTTCGACTTGCTAAAGTCTCGCAGGGATATGCAGCCATATCCTGTAGCGAGGCCCAACATGCGATTCTTGTGAACTTCGGAGTCAACCCAACCGTCGCTGTTCCTTAACCAACCTATCATTGCCCTTCCCCCTTCGGTCTTCTCGTTACCATATATGCCAAACAGGACGGGGCAGACCTTGTGGTATTTGGCCAAGAGAATGTCGATGAGTGAAGTGGTACCGTTGAAGAGGTACTCGGATTTGGAAAATACCGTGACTAACACGATCGCGAGAGCATCTACTGTCGCTATGTTGTCGTTGCAGAATTGACGAATGACCAACTTGGCTATCATATGGAGTAGATACACCAAAGCCAATGGCATGCGTCTTTCCAAGTTGTCTGGCGGTATGGCGAGAAAAGGAGTTATGTCGATGGCCGGCTCAGAATATCTCAGGACGTCGTTAAGGATCTCGAGAACCCTCTTGAGNCTGTGCACAAACAAATCAATTAATGTTGTACTTCTGTCATCCACGCCGCTCATTCTTACCGTGGTCCTGTTTTTGACCTTGTCAGGAGTGAACTGGCCCATTACTGTATTAATCTGGCGACGGTAAACGCTGATGTCTATTCCGGAAGCTTTCAATTGCTTTGAGGCAGAATTTCTCATCTCCTTCAGACTCTTGTGAATGGCGAGGTATCGGTCGTGCTGTGCTTTCAGTTGGTTTGGTGTGGACTTGAGTGATGATTGTGCTGCAGATGCTGAAGAGGACGCGGCTGGCTGAGTTGCGGGCTTGGAGACAGACTGAACTGTCGTTGCAGGTATAGCGCCAGGTTGTGCAGTAGGGATTGACGCAGGCGGTGGTTGAGATTGTCGTGCTGTTTGGGCTGGTGGAGCAGCAGCTTTAGTGGCAGCAGCGGCAGCAGCGGCGGCAGCAGCAGCATCGGCCTCTTCTTTTGCTTTGCGCTCTGAGGCCTCCTGCTCTTGCTTCCTTCGCAAAGCATCTGCTTCATGCTGTCGTTTCTGTTGTGCAAGTCGGGCCTCCTTCTCCTGTATCTCTCTTTCCTCGGCCGCACGTTTCTGCTGCTCCTGCTCTTGTCGCTCAAGTTCCTCCCTTTTCCGCTGCCTCTCCGCAGCCTCTCTTGCGGCTTTTGCTGAACGCTCAGCTTCAAGTGTGCGACGCTCCTCCTCTTCCTTTTGCGTCCGCTCGCGTTCCTGCTTCAGTGCTTCGGCCTCGGCGGCCTCGACAGCATTGCGCAAGATGCGGTCGTGTTCGGCTTTAGCTTGCGCAAGAGCCTGCTGATGGAGACGTTCTTGTTCCGCATCTCTTTCGTCTTGTCTCTCTCTCCAGGCACGCTCCTCGCGGATGTGAAGCGCACCAATCTCGTCGACTAACGTCTCGGAACGGCGAGGACTATGTCGATATGGAGAATTGTGGGTCTTTCTGATGTAAGTATGGTCGGCTCGAGGTGTGCGCGATGCAGGGCTTGCTGTGCCAGCTCTATCCCTATGAGGAGATGCCATCTGAAGTATAGTACGCGGAAGCGGAAAAGCTGCAAAAACGGTGTCAAGGCTGTGTCGCAGAGAGCTGGAAGCTGGAGCACAAGACAGGAAAGAGTGGCTACGTTTCAGCAAATGACATGCTCAATGCTGTTACAGACAGAGAAAGGAGTGGTTGAGCGCGCGAACAAGGTCCAGCCGAAGCATCGAAACACCTCACAAGCAAGCAGTTCAAGTGACGGTTCTTGCTCCAGCTTTTTGTCGCGAGTCATGAAACAACCGAGTTCCGAACCAAGAAGTGACGGGAAGGACCGACTTCAAGCTGCCCATGTCAAATCGAGCTATGCTTCAGGAGAGCAAAGGGACAATGATGAGGGCTACACCAGAGTATGAGATGATATTGAGCAATATATGAGCAATACGACCGATCTGCCTGCTATTATTGTCCATCGGTAGTCCAACAGGTTTAACAAAGGTTTCATCGCGTAATCCTGCTTTGCAAACGGCCTTGTATCCGGTCGTGCTTGGCAGGATAGGAGCTCCAACATGAGCTGGAGAATATGAGATTGGATACCTGTTGTCAGATGAAGGACCGCATGTCGATTGATTGAGCGATTGACATGTTGTCCGAGCAGACGGAACGACCAACGAGTTGAGTGCTCCTAAATGTTGTAGATAGATGGAAAGTCCGCAAGTGGGCACGTCTTTGTCCAGCTGTCCACGAATCCAAGCGGCATGACGCAGTAAAAGAGGTAGCCCTCTCCACGTCCAACACCACCTCCCGCCTTTCTCCTTGTGCTTTTTCTGGANTCCATATCTACCTCGCTCTCTGCCCTCCCTCCTGCCCTGCCTTCCCTTTCCGTAACACACTGCTACTGCCTTCGCCCGTCTCTTCAATCCTTTCGAGACGTGCAAGTGGAAAGAGCCTTGATCCCGCCTGCCCAACGCTTCTTGCTTTTGGGGAAAGCACGACCTCTGCTCGTCAGCCGAAGCCGTCCCAGGCTTCACCAGTCTTTTCGTCCANNACACGCACGACCAACACACACTTACACCCCATACCATCATCTTGCTTGTGGCACCCGCCCTCCTTTAGAAGCAGCTCATCATCTGGCATCTCAACTCTTCCTGACTCTATTGCCACCTACACTAACAGAGGCTCGCTCCTACTTGTGCCGCCGTCGTCGTCGTTGTCATAGCTTTCACGCTAGCTCCGAGGTCCACAGCACCAAGTTTGGCTGTCCAGCACTCTAGACTACCATTCTCTCTCGCGTGTCAGGTACCTAGCCTCTGCCCGCATAGCCCGCACTCATCTCTGACGCCTATCCTGCAGATAGCTTAGCATCATCAAGCTTCTGTCGTTCACCCCCACCACTGTCGTCTGACATCCTTCCGCCATCCTTCCACACCGTCTAGTCACCTTTTCGACCCAGCGACAATGGATCAGCACGGACAGAATGGCCCTGCCGGCCCTGGAGGTCGTCGCTTTCACATCGCACACAGACGTAGCCCTTCTGAGCTCACCCCCCTGATGAGTACGTTGTCCTCCCGTCTTGCAATCTGCTGCGCGTCTCCGTCACGATGAAATTGCTGACAGTCTCACANNGTGGAGCAACTCGCCCTTGCCCAGCAGATTGAACTCCTTCAGCAGCAACAGCAGCAGATTGCCGCAACCCACCAACAGTATGTCAACCTGGGTATGATTCAACCCCAGCAGCAACTACCCAACCAAGCCTTCGCCCAGATGCAAGGCCAGATGCCCAACAACAACGCTTTCCAGTTCCCTCAACAACCACAACAGCAGCAGCAGCAGCAGCATTTGCAGCTGCCTGGCAATATGGGCCCACCTGCAGGCCACCGTCGCAACCAGTCCGCCATGCCCACCATGACCATGGGCCCCNCACCTGCTCCATCCGCCGGTACTTCTGGTACATTTGGCGAGTTCAGTTTCCCTGGTGCAAAGTCGGAGAACGTCAACCCTAGACCTCGTAACAGTGGTTCGGTCAGTGGTGCCAGTGGCCACAGCAGAAGACACTCGCTCGCCCTGCCCGAGGCAAAGAAGGCTGCCGAGATTGCTGAGCAGAAACGCAAGCAGTCAGGCTTCCAATTCCCCATTCCCGGTGCTGCCGGTGCCGCACCCGACCGCTCTGTGAGCCCTGGCAATGCCAACACTGACATGCCACCCCCTGCTAACAACTTCTCTAACCGTAATGCTGGCCGTGGTGGACACGGCCGTAGTCAGAGTCTTGCTGTCGGCAACCAGAGAAACCAGCGTGGTGGTCCCGCTTTCCAGTTCCCACCTCCTGCTGAGATTAACAATATCCCTGAGCGTCGTGGTAGCCAGGGACACGGCAGAACCCAGTCGCGTAACTTCGACGGCAATTGGCGCCAACAGCAACCGACGATCCAGGAACAGCATGCTACCAACATGGGTAACTTCCAGATGAACCAACATGCCGGAGCTCAGCCATTCCAGCCAGGCCATCGCCAGCGCGGCTCTGTTAACAGCCAGTCTATCAGTTCGATAAGCAACTTCCAGTTCCCTCAGCAGCCGCAGCTTGTTCAGCTTCCTCAGGGCCAGGTTCTCATGCAGCCGAACATGTTCGCTACCCAAGGCTTGAATGCTCTGCAGCTTGCTCAGATCCAGGCTTACCAGGCCGCTGGACTTCAGCCCCCAATTGCAGGTCTCCAGGGACAACAAGGCGGTCAGCAGATGACTATGCAGCAGCAACAGCAGCAGCGCAAGACTCTCTTCACTCCCTACCTCCCTCAGGCTACTCTCCCTGCTTTGCTCGGTGATGGACAACTCGTCGCAGGTATCCTTCGTGTCAACAAGAAGAACAGAAGCGACGCCTACGTCACCACCAACGACCTCGACGCCGACATCTTCATCTGTGGTAGCAAGGATCGCAATCGTGCCTTGGAGGGTGATCTCGTCGCTGTTGAGCTCCTTGACGTCGACGAAGTCTGGGGTCAAAAGCGCGAAAAGGAGGAGAAGAAGAAGCGCAAGGACATGACCGATAGCCGCGGCACGTCCATGACCGCTGTCAACGATGCTACCACTCAGCCAGAATCCGCTGCCGCTGAGGGAGGTATTCGTAGACGTGGTAGTTTGAAGCAACGTCCTACTCAGAAGAAGAACGACGATGTTGAGGTCGAAGGTCAGAGCTTGCTCCTTATGGAGGAGGATGAGATCAACGACGAGCAGAAGCCTCTCTACGCCGGTCATATTGTGGCCGTCATCGAGCGTGTTGCCGGCCAGATGTTCTCTGGTACCCTCGGTCTCCTCCGTCCCAGCAGTCAAGCCACCAAGGAGAGACAGGAGGCTGAGCGTCAAGGTCGTGATGGTGGAAACCAACGCAACCAACCCGACAGACAGCAGGACAGACCCAAGATTGTCTGGTTCAAGCCCACTGACAAGCGTGTGCCCCTGATCGCCATTCCTACAGAACAGGCACCCAAGGACTTCGTCGAGAAGCACCAAGACTACGCCAACAAGATCTTCGTCGCGTGCATCAAACGCTGGCCCATCACCTCTCTGCACCCCTTCGGTACCCTCGTTGAGCAGCTTGGTGACGCTGGTGATCTTAAGGTGGAGACCGACGCCCTTCTGCGTGACAACAACTTCGGCCCTGATGACTTCTCTGATGCTGTTCTAAAGAACGTCGGTTACGAAGACTGGTCTGTGGCCAAGGATGGCGAAGCCGCTCTCGAGTCTCGTCGCGACTTCCGCAACGAGCAAACCTTCACCATCGATCCCAACGGAAGCGAGGAACTCGACGACGCAATCCACTTCAAGACCCTTAGTGATGGTCACGTCGAGATTGGTGTACACGTTGCTGACATTTCCCACTTCGTCAAGCCTTCTTCTATGGTTGATCGCGAGGCGAAGAAGCGCGGTAGTGGCGTCTATCTGATGAACCGCACCGTCAAGATGCTTCCTCCCAAGATCAGCTCTGAGATTTGCTCCCTGAGCCCTGGCGAGGAGAGATACACTGTTAGTGTCGTCTTCAAGATCAACCCTGATACTGGCCGCGTCCTTGATGAGGATACCTGGATCGGCAAGGCAATCATCAAGAGCACTGGAAAGGTCTCTTACGATCAAGTTGACAGTATCATCAACGGACAAGGTAACTCTGGTCTCGACGATGAACGTGCCAGCCAGATTGAGATGCTTCACAGCATCTCCCAGAAGCTTCGTCAAGCCAGATTTGGTGATGGTACATCCAACAACCAGCCCCTTCGCTTGATCTACCAACTTGATGATGAGAACGTGCCCGTCGAGCACAATATCTTCGATTCTTCGCCTGCTCACGAGCTGATCGAAGAGTTGAGCCACAAGACCAACTCATTTGTCGCTCAGAAGATCTTCGCTGGCTTGCCCGAGAAGGCTTTGCTGCGCAAGCAGGCACCTCCCAACCCCCGTCGTTTGGTGACCTTGAGCGAGCGCATGGCCAACATTGGTGTTGATGTGGACACTTCCAGCAGTGGCGCCCTTCAGAACAGTCTCTTCCAGATTGAAGATGCTGATGTCCGCAAGGGTGTGGAGACTCTTCTTATCAAGGCCATGCGTCGCGCGAAGTACTTCATCCCGTCAAAGGCGCCTGCCGACCAATACTCGCACTACGCACTCAACCTGCCTCTGTACACCCATTTCACCAACCCTTCGCGTCGCTATGCAGACATCGTTGTTCACCGTCAGCTCGAGCACGTCCTCACCAACGGTGCCGTGGAGTTCACCGAGGATGTTGAGGCTTTGGCAAAGACCGCTGAGACTGCAAACACGAAGAAGGACTCGGCCCATGCTGCACAGGAACAGAGTGTGCATATTGAGTCTTGCCGCGCTCTCGACAGAAAGAGTCAGGAGCTTGGTGGCGATCTCATCAGCGAAGGTATTGTCCTTTGCGTCTACGAATCAGCCTTTGATGTCTTGATTCCCGAGTACGGTTTCGAGAAGCGTGTCCACTGTGACCAGCTTCCTCTCAAGAAGGCCGAGTTTGACAAGAACAAGCGTCTGCTTGAGCTGTACTGGGAGAAGGGCGTCCCATCCTCTGCCTTCGTTCCCGAAGACGAGAAGCCCAAGGCTAGCCGAGCTAACAACTGGTCTGCAGCCGCCGCTGCTCGTGACTCCGCTGCTACTCGCGCCAAGGAAGAAGAGGCCCAGCGCAAGCAAATGGAGACTGCAACCATCTCTACCGACGACGCCGACGCTCTCTTCGATGACGATGATGATGCTGTTTCTGAGATCACCGAGCAGACTGCGGGTGTCTCTCTTAACACAGACCGCAACACCCAGAGCATGCCCCCATCGCCCACTCGCAATGGCATCTCATCTCAGCAAGGTCCTCAACGCACAAAGTCGGATTCCAAGATCCTTCACACCACTCCTGAGGCCAAGCTCAGCAACAAGGATAAGTACCTGAAGCTGTTCAGCCTTCGCGAGTCCGATGGCAACTACATCCAGGACGTCAGAGAGATGTCGAGAGTGCCGGTCATCCTTAAGACGGACATGACCAAGAGTCCACCGTAAGTTTCGTCCCGTACCCAAGCATTCACAAAATACTAATTCGATCTGCAGCNNTGCTTGACTATCAGATCGCTCAATCCCTATGCCCTGTAGATTGCTAGATGTTATCACCTTGAACGGCTCAGTATGAGTAGCACGACAACCTTGACGTTTGCTGTAACGCAAACATTGACTCCTGTCAGATGCCACTAACGCACTTGCAAGCTTGCATATGTATCAATAACACTCGGGCGGAAGCCCGCGAATAGAATGTCAAGATGGGCTGAGGACAACAGAACGGAGAAGATTCGCACACAAAAAAAAGAACCAGGAGGCAGGTTGTAACACGAACTTGTAGATGGACTGGGAATCTTTGACGGTTCCGAGCGATGTTTCATTTTTGTTATGGTTAATTTTTCTTATTAGAGTACTCTTCCACCGCTTGCTTCCGCTGAGCATATTGTATTAGTTGCTAGCGAAAATGATATACATTAATCATCAAATCTTGATTTTGACCATGGCCACTCCCATCGAATGTATGGCAGGGCTCTTGTGGCGATAGGCTTCCATTGATCGATCGGCTTGCTCGTATCAACCAAGACGATGCTGCCTCCATTGGCGACAGTTCCATCATCATGAGCTTCAATGCTGCGTCCAGCCTTACGACAGTCCTCCTGTATCTCAGAGACGAGTTTCTCGACGTCGGACTTGGGCAAGTCGGCGNNCTGAGCAGGTCTCAGCATTGTTATCAGTTAGGAAAAGCACAAGACTCACTACATGAGAGAAAGATGAGGCAGATAATAATCATGAGCCCATTTCTCGGCCTTTCCCTGGTCACCTCCTTCGACAGCCTCGGCACGGCAGGCGGAAGCCAGCTGCAACAGCTGGGCAGTCTTGCCGGCTCTCAGGGTCAGCTTCTTGACAAAGGCATCGCCAGCTTCCAGCACATCTAGCGTTACAAAGACAGGGTCGTGCTGGTCTCCAGAAGGCAGATGCAAGCTTGACAGCCAGGCTTGGGGGTCAGTGCCAAATAACGACTGATCGATGTTTGAGGTTATGGTGACATGAGGGATGAAGTCATGGGTCTTTGTGTCTGGGAAGTGAGGGGGTATGGTTGTCGAGATGAGGGTTTGGAGAGCTTGGGAGAAGGAGCTGTCCTTGGGCGGGATGATCCAGAGCGATGCGCCGGGCATGTTGAATAACTTGGAACAAGTGCAATGGGTAGTTTAGAAGTCGATAGGAGCTCTAGCAGTAAGGGCCTCGAGCAATCGAGGTTCAAGAAGTGATGATGATGATGATGATGGTATGACCTTGGAAGAGGCATGACACGTGATCTCAGCGGAAGTTCGCGAAGCCGCGTCCTTGCCTGGAGACAGATCGTACAAGTTTATTGTTCGCGCACAAAAGCACACTCCGAGTGAATACAAAGCGAATTGGACTGGATGATCACGGTCGCGAACGTCTCTGGATGAAGCAAGCGTGGTTTTGAGTGAAAGCGACGCTCAGCGCATGGATTGAGACGCGACACGACAAGACGCAACACGCCTGGCTTGTTACTCCTCCACACAGCCCACACAGCACTATACCAACGACATCATGTCGGCCTTCTCATTATCGAGGACCGAGAGTCCACAGGCTTTCGTCTCGAGCTTCGCCCCACGCGTTCGCACATACCAGAACTCGCTGCTAACGCCAGCCATCCAACCACAAAATGCCATCGCTCCTCTGCGCACGACGAAGCGCGGTACCACGGCCATCAACTACTCCGAGGAGTTTGAGAACGACAGTCTGGTTGAAGATAGCGATGCACCCCGACGACCCACCGGTCTGCGCAGTCTGCGCCAAAACGAGTCTCAGACAGTTGTCACCACTGGAGCCGTACAATCGACCGAGCTGACGAGTGCCGTCGACGTCCAAGGCATCTGGCGCGAGTGGATGGGCAAGCCCAAGAAGGCCATGACAGAAAGACAGGTCATGCTGCAAGCACAACTTCCCCTCAACCTCGTCCCCATCCGCATCGACCTCAGTGTCAGCCCCTTCCAACCAGAGGCTCCTCTCCCCAAGCCCAACAATGCGCGCGAGCTCGGTGTTGACGAGAACTCGCCTGCATACAAGGCGCCCGACGTGACTCCCGAGTTCCGCATCAAGGACAGCTTCCTCTGGAATCTCCACGAGTCCCTCATGACGCCCGATCAATTCGCAAAGGTCTTTGTCGACGAGCTGGATTTCCCCTTGGAACGTCGTCCTGCTCTGGCCCTGCAGGTCTCACAGCAGATCCGTACACAACTAGAAGAACATGCTGCTGTCGTCATGCACCCACTATTCAACCCTGCCTCCAACCCTACCGAGACCCGCAACATCTCGATGCGCCCTCCCATCTCGCGCGAAGTCTCTTCCACACCCTTCGCACACACCCCATCTGCACAACAACCGCAGACGAACGGTGTCAACACTCCCAATGCCGCCCAAACACCCTTGCCCAACGACGCTAATGTCTCCGCCGTTGCTCAACCTCTACCACCCTCCTCCGTACACAACCCCGACGACGCCCACCGCTGCATCATCTCGCTCTCGATCAACCTTATGAATAGACTTTATACCGACAAGTTCGAGTGGTCACTCATGCACCCGGCTGGCTTCCCTGAAATCTTCGCTAAACAGACTTGCGCCGATCTTGGTCTGTCAGGAGAATGGGTACCTGCCCTAGCCCACGCCATATACGAAGCTGTCTTGAAGCTCAAGAAAGACTACTGTGAAGCCAACGGCACACTGCTCGGTGTCATTGGCAGTGGTGTTGATGCCTGGGGTCAGATCGATAACGAGGCCGCCGAAGTACACGGTGATGGCTCGCTAGCGATAGGAGAGGCCGCTGGCTGGCGCTTCGACAACGATGATCTGGGAGCCGAATGGCAACCGCGTGTTGAAGTGTTGAGCAAGGACGAGATCGAAAAGCGCGAAGGTGACCGCGAACGCCAGATCCGCAGACAGAGACGTGAGATGGCTGCACGCGCTACAGCTGGCTTTGCACCACCGCCTGCTTTGGCAAACGATTACTTTGGGTCTCAGGCAGGCGCTGGTGACGAGGAGAGAATGGGCAGAGGAGAGAGAAGCAAGAAGAAGAGACGTTTCCGCAGTCTCAGTCCCTCAGGCCGCGAGACACCTGACTTTACTGCTGCCTTTGGTGGTGAGCAGGGCAAGTTGACAGAGTCGGAGCGTCCTGCCTGGCAGTGCAGTCACTGTCGTATTGGCGGGAGTGCTGTCTGGGCTGTCCGCGACGGACCCAGTGGACCTAGAGTAAGTGTTTATTTTCACTTGAGTGCAGTTCAATATGCTAACAAGCTCTTTCAGTCACTCTGCAACAACTGCGGTCTTCTCTACGAACGCGACAAGCGTCTACCACCCTGGGCCAAGGATCTCTACCTGATCGAACAGCCCAAACCCAGCAGGTAAGCCCTTCCCTTCTTAGTTCTCTTCATGTTCACCTGAAACACCTTGCTAACTCCATCACCTCTAGGCCCGAACCACCATCACANNCTCCCACTCCCACTCCCACGCACCCATCCCCNNCACACACCTTCCGGCTTCATCCCAAACCCCCACCGCCAACTCTCCATGCAAGCCTCCCAAAACGGCGGCGGAAACAGCCCCCACCTGCGCCACCAACTCTCAGATCTGCCAGACGCATACGCGGCCACAGTGCGCGGAGGCGGCCCCAGCATGTTCGAAGACTATGCAGTCGAAGGCGAAGATTTGGACTGGACCAAAGTCACGGACCCGCGCGAGAGGAAACGCCTGCAGAATATCATCAATGGCCGCAAGTATCGTGAGAGGAGGTTGGCTGCCGAGGCTGCCGCTGCCGCTGCCGCGGGTGCGAGTCCGGCGCCTATGAGGTAGAATCTTTCTCCTGCGTGGATTTTGCCCAAGACGGTTTGAGCGAGAGCAGACGCTCTTTATGGTGGATTGGGTTGGCGGGTATACACGTCAGATATCATCCTTCACGAGTGAGCAAGAAGGAAGGGCCGGAACAGTGGGCCTTTTTCTGCTCTCTTTGGTAGCGTTGTGGGAAGGAGGCGACGGTTTTTATTTTTGGGCGAAGACGATAGACATTATGGTGAAATTCCTGAAGTTCTGTTTTCTACGTCGAGGCATCAGAATACCAAATTCCTGTTCCCTTTGTGTGGGAGACCGATACGTCCTTTCCAACATGCTACCTTGTGAAACATGTCCCCTGTCCCGATGTGCTATGCATCATTGTCTCGTGCTCTCATGCCTTCGTTTACTTGTCGCCTCGGGGGGCTCCTTTCTTGCGAAACCGCATCACGCGTGCCTGGCCACAATGTCGTGTCGTATGCCCTGTATCCAAGTCTGCAGAATTTGTCATGCGTTAATCCGAGCGTGAGTGGCTGCGTCCTGACGACTCTTTATTGATCTTTCCTGCCACACCAGTCGAGGCACCGTCATCTCTTAGGCATCGGTGCTCTTTCACTGGCAGGCATCTCTCTACCACTGGTATCTTTGACGGAAACGAGTCGTGGTGGCGGAGTCTTGTCTCTGGAAGTAATGCGCTTGTTGCTAACTTTGTCGCGTTTCGTTCGTTTGTCACGGGGAAGCATGGCTGCTGTTTCGTCGTCGTCGTGTTCTTCCTCTTCCTCGTCGATCAACTCTCCATCTGCAGTCTCGTGGTCGGGAGGGGTGATCCATTCTTTGGGGACCACGCACGGCAGCGCAAGACCAACGCTAGCAGCTCGGTTCAACCACGCAGGACCCGGTCTGCCAGTCAACCTCTCGCACAAATACGAAGAAAAGTGGTTGCAATTGTTGCTGAGCAGGTTGTATCGTGTGCCTTGAAAGACCCTCGAAGCATCGTTGATTATATCGGTGATTTCTTGTGGAGAGAGCACGCTGAACCCATGAATGATTTCGCAGCGAAAGGTGCCGCCTGGAGGTTCGAGTTTTGGTTTTGTCCAGTAGACTCCGCTGACGCCTTTGCGGTCGTGGCCGCCGTATGCGTATTCTCGTTCGTTGATTACTACGCCGGAATGTAAGAGGGAGCCGCCGACGTGCCAGAGGAGGTTGGAGAGACGGCCAGGCNNTGGATTCTGTTAGTTTGATTGAGGGAGGTATTGCAGATGAGACGGTCTGACTGGTAACAGGTCATAAACATGAATCTTGACTTCGGTCTTTTGGGCGGCCAGAGATGCGCGATGCACTGATGACGACTGTCGCTTGTGCTTAGAAGACGACGGCGTCATGGCAATTAAGCGCTGAATGCGAACTCTTGGATTATGTGATTGCGAGGAGCGATAGAGAAAGACACACTACTGGCGAGCAATCGAAATAGTCTGGTGCGAGTCGTCAACCAAGGCGGTAAGTTGGCCAGAGATTAAAAGAGGCAGTCGCGCCCAAAGGGTCCCATCATGGTTGCTGCCCCGCACTCGTTCAAGTCAGCCGCGACGGCAAGGGCTGGCCATCCTTCTGCCATGTCATGAACAGAGTACAGATTTGACTACTTGCAGGATTCTCGATGTCGTATTAAAAGTCTCGTTTCAAGAAACATCCCATGCAGGTCATCACGTGTGTCTCGAGGGGAGCAGAACTCTAGCCGCATGGATGGTGCCTTGGTGGACGCCCGATGTGCGCACAGACAGACGGCGCAACAAGACAACAATAGCAAAACAAAGCCGTCTCTCATTGACAATAGCAAATGCCATCCTTCCAACCACACTCGGCACGGTTGTACGGCCATCGGCTTCTTCTTCGGCCCGAGTGTCAATAGAGCTCGACAATAGGAACCCCCATTTGCTGCTGGAAGGCTGACAATACGATAGCCCACCTGCCAGATCGCGTCATGTGTCCCTTCCTATTGATGCACCAGAATGAATAGACTTGCAGTAGGTACTCTAGTAATTGTCTCGTGTTGGCCTTCTATTGTCCACCCACTCCGTTTGTTGTTTGAAACCATCTGTCTATCCATAAACAAGAGACTTCAAGAAGTTGCTTTCCAACAACAAACTACCATCTTCCACCATCCATCCTGTCCAGAAGCTTCTTCCTCTCCCCAGCAACATAGTATTGCGCCTTCTCACATCCTCCCACACGTCATCTTCTTTCCTCAGAACCCCACCCTCGTTTGCTTGTGGAAGTCCTCCTACACTGCCATCATCATGGACTCTCTCATACACTCCTCCCACAAGATCATGCTCGAGCGAGCCTGTGCAGAGGACGGCGAGCACCACCCCCAGCAACTCTCGGACATTCCACCACCAGCCTACTCCGCCGAAGACAACTTGACCGACTCCGAGAATGAAGACGAGGACGAAGACCCATCCCCAGTAACCCTCATCCTCAACGCCGAAACAAAAGTCCATGGTACTGGCAACATGATTGCAACACCACCACTCGCCGACGCAACCCGTCTATCAGCACTCCTTCTCGCTGCAGTACAAAGTCTCAACGCTACAAAGACCAATGCTACAGAAGTTGGCCTGCCCTCGCCTGTCTTGCAGGTCAACCTTACCATCAACTGCGGTATCACTGTCAATGGCGACAAGAACGTCATCGGCTACAAGACACAGGGTGTTCTGCCATCCACCCCCAAGAGGAAGGCCGCTGAAGAGGTATGTATCTCAGCCTTCATGGTGTTCTTGGTTCGTCGTTACTGACATATCACCATCTAGGGCCCTGAGGATGCCCCTGAAGCCAAGAGAACCAGAGCTCAGTGAGCAGCTTCGCTTTACGAAACACAATGCGACAAAGAGACATAATGCTTTCCTTTGATATGTCCTTTGAGTTGCCATGAATGAACAAATTGTTTTCCTTTGACCATTGACGTTTCTTCTTGTTCTCCAAGCTCGTGTATTCCCTCTCTATGCAGCCATATGTCTAAGCTGGTAGTCAAGCGACTCTCGAGTCGTTACATAAATAGCCCTGGAGGGTTCTCAACCCAATCTTCCCACTTACTCGCATTCCCAAGGCGACAAAGAAACAACCAATCAACAAGCAACAACAACACGATAGAAAATGTCTTCCACAACCAAGACTTCAGGTAAGTCTACTTTTGGAGTCGAGCTGGAGTTTCTCGCCCTCGTGCCTGGTGACTACAACTTCACACCTCACCATGCCATCTATGAATTCCTTCAAGAAAAAGTCACCCTTCCTTGCCCCTTCAACTGCCAACAGGGTAATCACGATCTCAGGCTTCCCGTTGACGCCGAAACACCAGCCTTCTGGGCTCACAATGACGATCTCAATGAGTACAAGACATGGGTTGTGACCCGTGATTGCAGTGTAAAACTTACTAGAGATGAAAAACTTCTATACCCTGACGACTCTGTTGTCAGCGATGTTGAATTCCCATCTCGCATCCTCGATTTCCACAATCCTAGTCCTTGTCCTCATGGTCAGGTTTGGCCTTGCAATGGGCAGCCTTTGATGTGGGATTGGCGTGATGAAATTACCGTCATTATAAACACTCTGAAGCAGAGGATGAACAAGCCTGGCTACAGAGTCTTTTGCAATGACACTTGTGGTATGCATGTCCATATCGGTCGCGACAAGGTTGGATTCAATCTCAACACTACCAAGAACATTATGGGTATGTTTGCTGCTTGGGAACGTTGCTTCGATTCTGTATTGACTGTTGACCGTATTGCTGGTTATGAAAATGATCACGCTGCTTTGCCTGCTCTCAAGATGGACGACACAGATGACTCGATTGATCCATGGCAAGCCTCTCCTGGTTGGAAATACAATCTCCCTCTCTCAGTCCGCCAATTCGAACATCTGGGTCATGATTTGATGGTTGCCTACAGCGCAAACGACTACTTCCAATGGGACAAACTAAACAGGAATGGTGCCTCTATACCTTACTGGCTACACAGAATCTATGAGACCACTAGTTTTGCTTCTCTCGGTGAGTACAGCACCGCCCATCAATCTTCCGTCAATCTCGAGCACGTCGTCCACAAAGACACCAAAAAGCCAACCATAGAAATCCGTCTTCACCAAGGTACCCTAGAAATCCCCGAGATTTGCTCTTGGATAGATGTCCTCGTCAACATTTCCAGCTACGCAGAGACCAACTCTTGTGCTTCCGTCCTTGCTACCCTCGAATCCTCTTATGCCAATCCTTCACTAACGATAATCGATATAGCAAAACTGGTTTCCGCCTCTGCATCCACTATAGCACACTATACTTGCTTTTTATCACCAACCTACTCCTTTGACCTCTTTGACAAGATCGTTTCTTCCCAGCCAGAGGACTCGTTGTCTGCTCTGTATGCTTACAATGCAAGAAACACCAGCTCTCGGACTCAGGCTCCCGCCATCTCCACCCGTATATCTCAAAAACTGGTTTCCGGTCGCTATGGCCAATTCCCAGTCGACTTTTTGAGCGCCGTTCTTCCTGAAAAGGTCAAAAAGGTTGCGAAAAAGGATGTGAGGTTCTTGAGTGATGAGCTGGATGCTAAAGGTTTGGAGGAGTGGAGTGCAGAGGTTGAAAATGTGGTTGGCAAGGTTGTGGAGAGGAAGAATGGGAGTGGTGGTTACTATTAGCATGTTTGCTTTCTTTACTGTCATGTCTATACACAAAACTTCCATGTATTTCGAGTTTCCCTCTTCGTTTTTTCTCATTCGTGACTATCCTATCAGTCTGGAGTCTCACGCGCGCTTCGTGTACAAAGTGTAATCTGTTATGCTTTTTAGTCCATTTTCTTTTTGTCAAAAAAAAATCTTTATATCGTTGTCTTGAATACTTAAAGGGTTGCCACATCAGCAACTCAGCATCCATCATTGTACGCTGCTCTCCTTCCGCTGATTTTGTTTCGTTTGCTCAACGTATTCTTGAATTCAGGCTCGCAAGAAGAGAAACTCAATTCCTCCTTGCGAACCCCTTTTTCGTTCGTTTGTCTTTCTTGTTCTCCCGTAACAAAGTCATCCCCCCCTTCCTGATTAGTCGACGCCTGCTAAAAACATCCCCCATCCAGCACGAAGCATCCATTTTTGTAAGTAACGCCAGCAAGCAAAAGAAGAAAAAAAAAGCAAAAAGCAAAGGCAAAATTTGAGGGTATGCACGGGAGAGTTGTTGGTACAGCAAAGTGGACCGCAATAGAGATAAAGGAAAAGCGAAGACTCAGGGTCGTTTCGCCGTGTGGTATCAAGAGGGGATCCGTATAAATGGAAAATGATAGAGTTCAATGGGCAGAGTTGGGTCATGAGCTTTTGACTCCAACACCTAGCATGCCATTGTTGAAAGTCGAGGAGCTCCCGGAAGCTTCGAAGTTCGTGGGAAAGTCCTTTGTAGCATAATCAGCAAAAGTCGGGAAGATTTGTAGGATCAAATCATACTTTTCGGCGCTTCTTGGTGGCAGAGTTGCGCTTGTCATCCAAGCCACCTGTCGAGTAGCCATCATCTTCTTGATAGCTCTCGTTGTAGCCAGTATAGCTACTCTCATCATAGCGGCGCTTCTTGTTGGAGCGATCGGGACGAATGCCATTGGGATGTGAGGCGCGTGGCGAAGCAGGAGCAGATGCACGCATGGACGAGGCTTGAGCCTTGAGCATTTGAGGGTGGGCGGCAATCTTGTTCACGGGCTGAGAAGGAGTCTTGTTGCCGTCGTCGAGACCGAGAATGGCTTTCCACTTGTTATGTTCATCGGCAGGGAGGGTGCCAGGGTTCATAGTCAAGGCGCGACCGAGGTTAGCCATGAGGGACGATGAGTCGGCCTTGTCAAGTTCTCTGCCGTGTATACGCTGGTCATACCACGAGCCTTCGTCCCATTGCATAAAGCCTCGCAACTCGCCTTCGACATCGGTTGGCTTGTTCTTTCCGCTGAGGCCGAGAGTCTTGACCTTTCCCTCGTAAGACTTGCGCAGCTTGTTGATCTTCTCGCCGGAGACGGGATCAGTTCGGCGGACCGAGTTGGCGATGCTTTGCAGGCTGTAGAGGTTGATGAGATCTTCATTTGGATGAGGCCGCGAGATAGGGTGAGCTATCCGTGGACTTTGTGTTAACCAAATAAAGCACATTTTCAAAACAACAAGGGATCAAGCCTTACGGGATTGACAGAGCAGCGGCAGAAGCGGCCGCGATGACGGAGGCTGAGCGTCGGGCATGTCGGTATCCATGTCGTTCACGGAGTGCTGTGGGGTTGAGTTGTGCGTGTTCACGTCAACGGTAGGGTGCGAGTTGGTCGGGGCGTAGGACGACGGCGGCGTGGGAAAGGATTGGTCTTTGCCATTATGCGCCGACGAAGACATGCGCACCGACGCAGGCGAGGGCGGAGTGTGTGGTGCGACGGAGACTGGCGCAGATTTGAGATTCACGGGCTGGCTCTGGTAGTAATAAGGCGGCGAGACGGGCGACGTCGGCATACGGGCGACAGAGTCGTCGGCGGGGAGTGTGTCGGAGGGAAGACGATGGGAGTGTCGATGGGCGGATGATGATGATGATGATGAGGGCTTGTTCGGGTGGGTCAAAGGAGGGTGGTTGCCGGCGTCTTTGTTTGCTCGCTGTGGGCGTGGGCGTGGGCGTGGGCGTGTGTTCTTCAGCTAGTAAAAGCCTGCTTTGTTCGACGACGCCCTGTGTTTCATGTGCTGAACCGGCCGGCGATCCGTATACTCGAGCGTGTGGATGGCGTGAAGGGGGATGTGCTTCCTGTCTGTCACTCGAATGCCGCTTCGCTCTCTCACTCGCAGCGGCCAGCGCGAGAACCGCGGCCCAACCCGACGCCAAGCCAATGAACCACGCCTCGTCATACTCGTTGCCGATCACTTGCTCTGGAGCTCGCGTGTGCTTTCACCTTGACATGAACTATTCACCCTACAACAAACATCACCATGCCCGACGAGTACGGCGACGAGACCGACTTGTTTGAGATTGTTGATCGCACTACCGCTCCCAGTGCTCGTCCACCTCCAGCTGCTTCTACAACCGACAGTGCGCCCAAGGTCGTCCAACCCACACCCCAAGCTCTACCTGCTCGCAAATCCGCTTCGTCCATCCTCGTCTCTCCACGCCAAAAGGGCAACCCCATCTTGAACAGCATCAAGTCCCTACCCTGGGAGTACTCGGATATCCCTGCCGACTTTGTGCTTGGCCAGACAACATGTGCTCTCTTCCTGTCTCTCAAATACCATCGCCTGCATCCTGAATACATCTACTCGCGCATCCGCCAACTGGGCCAAAAGTACCTGCTGCGCGTCGTCCTGGTCATGGTAGACATAGAGAACCATCAAGACCCTTTAAAAGAGCTGTCCAAGACCTCTCTCATCAACAACGTCACTCTGATCCTCACCTGGAGCGCCAACGAGGCTGGACGCTACTTGGAGCTGTTCAAGTCATGCGAAAATGCTGCTCCTACCGGTATCAAAGCTCAAAAGGCTGCCACCTTTGCCGACAATCTCGTCGAGTTCATCACCGTCCCTCGCAGCATCAACAAGACTGACGCTGTCGGCATCGTCTCCAACTTTGGAAGTGTACGCACCTCAGTCAATGCCCGTCCGGAAGACTTGTCTCACATTGCTGGCTGGGGTGACAAGAAGGTCAAGGCTTGGTGTCAATCTGTGCGCGAGCCCTTCCGTGTGACCAAGACTAAACGTCGTCTTGGACGGGAAGACTCGAGACCTACACAAACCAACGTTGAACAAGATAGTCGCGTGGCTGCGAGACTCGGCATTGGTGCTTCGCTTCCTTCTGTCGACATTCCTGCAGAGGCTAGCACTTCCATAGGCACGTCTGATGCAGACAGGAGACCCGATATCAGACTTGCCGACGATTACGAGCCCGGTGCTGACGAAGAAGAGGCCATGGCAGAAGCTTTTTCACTTCCACCTCGAACTTCTACTGCACCGAAAGCAGCACCTCCCACTGTCAATAAACCGCAGACCGATGAGAACCTCAGCGAGGGTATGATGGCTGCGCTGGCCAGGTTGAGACAGACTTGAAGCGTTTTAAGTGAGTTGAAAACACCATCATCATCACGGCCCTTCACCGGAGATCCCACTAGTTCCAGCTCCGGGGCGAGTGCTAGAATCTTAATTCTTCTTAGCTGAAGTCGAAGAGGTCTACAAGCTTCTTCGCTTCACGTGCCAGCATCAAGCACATTGGGTTATTGTTATGGTCGTGCATATCGTGTCTTCTTCGAGCCGGGTTTGGGCAATCCTCGGTTGGCTCCATGATGTGCCAACGAGCTTGTCTCTCCTCCAAACTCGTCAAGACTGACACAAAGTTAATACGGCTGGCAACAGAAGTGCCGTAGACTTCGGCTTTTACCACTCTGTTTGCTAGCTTTCTCCATTCTAGAGGCGGCAGTTCAAGCACCAATGGCTCGTTGGAATCGATGCCTCCAATATGTTCGTGCCTTGGCCTGGGTGTTTCGAGACCACCAATATGCAGAGTCTTCATCTGGGCCGCTTCTTCGGCTTTGGTCGCGTCCGAGGCGATGTCCTTGAGAATCCTATCGTATCGTTCGGCGATGGAGATTAACAAAGTCCCAATGAGCTGTGCGTTTTGTGTGGCTGTAAGGTATTGAACTGGACAGACCTGACAATCAATACACGATTTGCTTGTATGCAGCGCATCGCGGAGACATTGTAGGCTGGAAGGAAACTCGATAGTAACCATGGAACGCAAGTTCTCCAGTGTCAAGTATATGCTCGACAGGCAAGCACATGACTGGGTTGGCAGAGGCTTAAAAGCAGATGCAGTAAGGAGACTGACATCAGTGATGGTATTTAGGTCAGGCAAGTCCATATTAGGAAAGTTGATCTGGTCGACGAGCGAATCGAATTCAATTGCACTGTCAAAGAAATTTGACCCGGCGGAGGATGTCCGTCCTGATATTTCTTGGGATTGTTCGTTGGTCGACTGATCGGTCTCACCTATCTTGCGTTTTCTCGGCCTTCCCATGGCTTTCTGAGTAGAGTATACACAGGCGATGTTATCGTTTATGCATCGCGAGCATTCGGGTTGTTCGCCGGAGCACTTGAGCTTACGAGTTCCTGATCTGTTAGTATCGAGGAAATGCTATAGAACATATCTCAGGTCATACTGCACTCGTCGCAGGCAATTCTTCTACGCTCCATAACATTCATGATTGTGTTCAGAGTTGGTTGATGGTGAAGTTGATAGGCATGCCGGTAAAGCGGAGCGGAGAAAGATCAAAGCCAAGAACCTAATCAGATAAGATAAACCTTAAATACCTCTTTCGTGAATCTTTTTCTCTCCAAAGTCCGACATTTTCTTGTCGCAAACAATAATCAATCAAAATGGTTCTTGCAACTCAGAGCCGCAAACGCAAGGCTGCTTCCCGCGAGGAGCCTACACTGCCTCCGCGTGAGGAGCTCGCAAATGGCAACCTCGAAGGAATTTTATCTGAAGGCGACGATTCCGACGACAGTGAAGAGGTGGAATTTGATGGAGAGGATGAAGATGAGGAGGATGACGAAGATGAAGAGGAGGAGCTAGACAGCGACGAGATCCCCTCTGAAGACGACGAGCAAGACATTCGCGACCAACTGCGCAACCTCAAAACTACCGACTCGAAACGATCTGTCGACGAAGACGACGAGGACCTCAAGCCCAACTACACCGTCACCACAGATGCAAACGGCAACGAGCGATACGTCTACCGCGAGATTGATCCCGTCTATGACTCGGACGACTCGGATGCTGGCGACGCCAAAAACACAATCGGAGACATTCCTCTCTCTTTCTACGACTCATACCCTCACATCGGTTACGATATCAATGGCAAGAAGATTATGCGCCCGGCCAAGGGCGAGGCTCTGGATGCCCTCCTCGACAGCATCGAGTTGCCCGAGGGCTGGACTGGTTTGACCGACCCTCAGACTGGCAAGCCCCTGGAGCTTAGCAGAGATGAGTTGGAGGTTCTCAGGAAGTTGACAAGAAACGAAGCTCCTGGCGATGGCTACGACCCATACCCTGACATGGTCGAGTGGTTCACAAGCAAGACCGAGATCATGCCCTTGAGTGCTGCTCCTGAGCCCAAGAGAAGATTCGTGCCCAGTAAACACGAGGCTAAGCGTGTCATGAAGATCGTTAGAGCCATCAGAGAAGGAAGAATCAAGCCCTGGAAGGAACCTAGTGAGGAGGAACAAAAGGACGACGACGTGCAGACTTACGATGTCTGGGCAGACGAGACGCCCAGAGCCGACCACGCCATGAACATGCCCGCTCCCAAACTGCCGCCACCAGGATATGCCGAGTCTTACCACCCTCCACCGGAGTATCTCCCCGACGCCAATGAGAGAAAGACCTGGGAGCAGGCTGACGAGGAGGATCGCGACAGAGAGTACCTGCCCACTGATCATTCCGCTCTCCGTAGAGTCCCTGGTTATGAGAAGTTCATCAAGGAGAGATTCGAGCGCTGTCTGGACTTGTACCTTGCTCCTCGCGTTCGCAGAAGCAAGCTCAACATCGACCCTGAATCTCTTCTTCCCAAGCTTCCTTCTCCCGACGATCTCAGACCTTTCCCTACTGTTTGCGCCACTCTGTACAGAGGCCACCAAGGTCGTGTGCGCTGCGTCTCGGTCAGCCCTACTGGTACCTTGATTGCCAGTGGTGGTGATGACGGCACTGTCAGGGTTTGGGAATTGCTTTCTGGTCGTCAACTCTACAGCGTCAAGCTTTCTTCCGAGGAGGCTGTCAATGCCGTCAAGTGGAGACCTACTCGTGACACACTCATCATTGCTGCAGCTTGCGGTGAAACCGTCTACTTCATCACACCTTTGTCACTTTGCTCGCCTGAGATTGAACAAGCCAGCAAGGATGTTATTGACGCTGGATTCGGATACGCTGCCAAGCCTGCCACTACTAATGCTGGTGCTGAGAAAAAGATCCCCTCATCTGTTTGGGCCAGACCCGAATCGCAAAAGCTGCAAGATCAGGGTGTCCTCCTTGCTTGCACCATGCGTTCCATCATCAAGGTTATCAACTGGCATCGTCGTGGTGACTACCTCAGCACCGTTTCGCCGGCTGCCACTTCTACTGCAGTAGCCATTCACACTCTTACCAAGCACCTCACACAACATCCTTTCCGCCGCTTGAAGGGTATCGCCCAAACTTGTTCGTTCCATCCTACCAAGCCTTTGTTCTTTGTTGCCACAAGACAGTCTATCCGTCTGTACGATCTCCAACAGCAGAAGCTCGACAAGGAGTTGAAGCCTGGTGCTCGATGGATCAGTTCCATCGATGTACACCCCGGTGGTGACAACTTGTTGGTTGGTTCTTATGACAGAAGACTGTTGTGGCACGATATGGATCTTGCCGCTACACCATACAAGACTCTGAGATACCACCAGAAGGCCATCAGAAGTGTGCGCTACCACCCCAACTCTGGCCAATACCCGCTGTTCGCAGACGCCAGTGACGACGGTAGCTTGCAGATCTTCCACGGCAAGGTTGTGGGTGACAGCTTGGAGAATGCGCTGATTGTGCCTCTCAAGGTGCTCAAGGGACACAAGGTCACGGGAGAACTCGGAGTGTTGGATGTTGAATGGCACCCTCGCGAGCCATGGCTGGTCAGTGCAGGTGCCGATGGAACCATCAGGCTATGGTGTTAGGTGGAACGTCTGTTCATGTATATCATTCAGTCATTGGGAGGAGTTTGGCGTAGAAAAACTGCAGCTTGAATCAATCGCTTCCCCAACAGCAGGTTTCCCTGACAAGGATTCGTGGTGATGTTAGCCGAAGCGATCCACTGTTCTGGCAATATAAAAACATGGTGCTCGATATGAACATGTGAGACAAGCGTTAATAAGCTCCTTGGGTCTTCGCAGACAGGGTGCTCCCTCTGGAGATGGTACGGGCGCACGGACCACTTGATCTTTCATGTTTCGATCTTTGAGCTTCGAGAGGCAGCACATTTCAGAAGCTATCTCCACCAAACAAGACACTTTTCCAACTACACTCGCTGGACTCCGGACCTCAGGAATTTCAATCGCGCCTCATATATACGATCACTTGCCTTCTGTCCCTGCGCGCATCGACCCAGAACGAAAACCGTAGCCAGGCGCAAACGCGCTTCGGCAACCTGCCACCACCATGTCGCTCAACCAGTATATGAACAGTGAGCAAAGCAGCGTTTCTTCGACTGTAGCAAGCGGCTGACGAGTATGGCAGAGAAAATCCTCATCATCACCGTCGATGGACGCACATTGATAGGCACTCTTGTGTCCTGCGATCAAGTCACCAACCTCGTGCTCAAGGACACCGTCGAACGCGTTATCAGACCCCAAGACGACCCGGAAGAGAGCTCAGAAACACCGCATGGACTCTACATGATTCGAGGCGACAACGTGGTGGTTTGCGGCTTGGTGGATGAGGCCATGGATTCAAGCATTGACTGGACAAAGGTTCGAGGAGAGGTCATTGGTTCCACCAAACACGTGTGATGGAACCCTCTGCAGGCAAGAGATGACGACGAACAAAGAGACAAAAGCCATCGAAGGTTGAGGTTGCTATGGCCAACCTCGAGATCGGATCGGACCCTTTGGGCACATGGGACGGTCACATCAAGGTCGCGGTCAAGGCCACAGCGCAGAACACAGCGGAATGAGGCCAACCGGCACCATCAAAATGAAGCGGTGGAAGAGATGCCCAGGAAGTATTTGCGCCCCATTGCTGGCGCTCGGGATGACGATGGCCCAGCTGCGTATGTTGTTATCTGTATCTTACAAACAGACAGGCGCCCTAACAAGAATTTCAAGTAAGCTCATTAGTAGCTCCAAGCTCATTCTCCACACGCCGCACACAGTACAGTATATACTACTACCAACTCAAGGAAACAAGGAAACCGACATAGAGCTCTTGCGGTTCCTTCCAGAACAAGTACAGTGAGCCTCCCGAAATAAAAAATCCCTTGAAGCTTGACGGAACCGGGCCAGATGCGGCCATCGCAGCCATTCTTAGCCTTTTTGCCGGTGGTGTCATGTCGAGGCGGAGGTAACTGGGCAGTCAGGCAAGAACGGGCTGCCTGATGATGAGCATGAACCCGTCAATCAGTGCCCGCGTCCACGGAGCATCGCAGAGGGGACTGTGATTTGAGAACATGTTGGATCAACAAAGCTTAAAATGATACAATGATTCCTTTGACCGAACGATGTTTCCATGCAGTCATGCACCAAGCATTCCCAAAACTGTGACGCCCCGAACTCGCCCGTTGACCTACACGTACCTAAACCACGGCTCACCTTCCGAAATGCCGTATACGGCGGTTCCACGACTCATATAGATGAAAGGAGCTTGCCGATTCACACGTTTGTGTCTAGCGCCGCTGCCGTCAAGGGCCGGCAGTGCTCGCAGCCGTGCACCTGAGAATGCACGCAGAGATGGGGAAAGAGGCATTATTAATCAAACCATGCTGCCGTCACCGAGCCTTTTTCGCCATGCTGTTGGGTGACTTTGTTGCTGCTTGAACCTCGATCGATCAGTGCGGGCCTCAACTTGATCCTACGCTTCCAAACTTAACTAGGTACTTGACTTGTGCGAGGGGTCCCTGACTGCTTTAAGCTCAGCTTGGATGCCGTGATATTACAGCCGTCGAATGGCGCACGGGGTATGTTACTTTGTTATCGCTAAGGCCTTCTGTCCTCAACATTAAGTACACTTGGATGCTCCGAGGGTCTGCTCTGTCAGAAAAATAAATCAAACCCTTGCCGCGCGTAAAGGAACGCCAAAGGGAAACCCCAACTTTCACACCAAAAAGACCATCATGGCGTCTCAATACGGATCTAATGATGGTGCCGAAGCTTCGAGGAACCGATCAACTATCTCAAGGAGCAGTGAGACTCCAACCCAGCAGGACGACGCCGAGATGAAGAAGGCCAGGAAAAGGGAGCAGGACCGACTTTGCCAACGACGGAAGAGAGAAAAGGACCGCGAAAACCTGCGACGACTCGAAGCTCGATTGAATGGATTGCAGAACCCTGATGAACCCAAAGTCGTGCTTGACCTGATTCTACGTCACGAACAAGACCAGGAGAGATTGAACCGTCAAGCGGAAAGACTGCGTCAGATCGAATCTCTGATCCGCACTTCTCTGAGCGACATTGGGAATGAAATCACTTCTTCATCGACGCCGAATGATAGCGTTGTTGATGCAAAGCCCGATGTCAAAGAGACTACCAGCTTGCCGACGGCAGGCATCCCTACGACCGGGGTGCCAATGTACACGTCTGTGCAGGGCGCACCTATGCCGACAGCTACAGCGACTTCAATGATCATGCCCGTCAACAACCCTGCCCTGTTGGCATCTCAATACCCGATGACGATTCCTCTCAACATGCCTTCCCAATCACAACCGATCATGCCGCCATCATCGCCTCCGAACCAACAAATCAGCACGATTACAGATGCCATGTCTGCGGTGCCAGGCGTAGCAGCGGCTTACACAGATGAAGCGTTCGATCAGCATATCATTGTCATGGTTCTGATACACGGCTGGGACGCTGTTGCTGCATACATGCAGCTCGATCCGCTGTGGTCTCTCTTACGCCAGATTGATGGAAGTGCCTGCTCACAATGGGGAAAAGTGGACCGCATGGTAGGGATGCTCTCCTTCCGCCGTATGATGAAGGGCATGGCCATGGGTCCACAAGCAATGGCTTCTATAGAACCAAAGTTCATGCGACCACGCCCGTCTCAGCTACACGTCCCTCACATACCCAATGGCGACTACTTTCCCTGGTAAGTCTGATATGACACCCCGCTAAACAAACACAAGAATCAACAGGCACTAACAGCAACGTGTGATCAGGNNCCTGGTGTACGCGAGCGTTTCGTCTTCGAAGGCCCCAAGTACGACAACGATACCTTCCTCAATCTCTTCAACTCCAGCACGCGCTTCATGTGGAACGCGGATTTCGCGAGCGCTTTTGTTCAGAACGACAAGCAACTCTTCCAATTCTCAGACGAGTTGTTCAGGCGCTTCTGCAATCTGAGCTGCTGGCGCATCGATGCAGCCTTCATTGCCACATACCCAGAGTTCGCCGGCGACATACCCACATACAACTCGGTGCCCAAANAAGTCGACGACAAGCCTTACGAAGGAGAGTTCGTCTTCGGCAGTGAACTCGACGATGGTGTCATACACAACGGTCCTGGTGCCGCCACTGCAGCCGGAGGACAATGGATCTACGACCAAGGAAGATGGTACATTGCAGGAGCTGTGAGATGAATGAGCCATCCTAGCAAGGCGCTGACTTCGACAATACGCCGATTCGCACCTCTACCTTACGCCATCAACCAAGACTAGCATGTTCTTGGTGCTACAAGGTCCACGACGTCTGCAAGATAGCGAAGTGCTCCACACAGCACTGGAGTCGATACAACAACGTGCGAGGACACAGCGATACAAACAGTCCCAACCTCCACTAATCCACACTCGCTTTAATCAACCATCTTCAACAGCTCGTCTTTGTGGATACCGCCCACAATCAGCCACACGCCATCCAGACCACGATGAACCACAAAGCCAATCGACACTCTCAAACCCTCGATTTGCTCATCTCATGGCAAGGCATGGCATGGCTTGAGAAACGGGTTTCCAACAACGGCCACCACCACTTCCACTCGCTCCAATGTTCTCTGTTATCTGCAACTATTGTTTCGAGTGCCTTTTTTGAATTTGTCTTGCCAGACGATCGATACCAAATATCGAAACCATTATCTGTACTCTTTGCCTGGGCAGAGAATATCATTTTGCATCCTTGTTTTCTTTGCTTTCAGCTCTTGTCTCGGCCGTCGGGGCGGCGGCCTCGGGGGGGGGGAGGAAGCTTTCGGGGGATCAAAGCCGTATTTCGGAGGTCGTCCGCCGAATATCCCTAACGTTCTGTTTTGCTTTCAGAGTTTTCTTTTGTCTTTCGAGGTCTGGCTGGTAGGAAGGAGGATTGCCAAAAAATGAAAGAAGGGGGAAAGAGGAAAGAAGGAAGAGTACATAACACTGATACCACGAGAGAGCAAAAGGACTGACGAAGGAATTATCTTTTCTTGCAAGGCTTAAAAGGGTCACTTCATTTCTCTCTAGCAAAATCCAAGACAAAAGATGTCACCCTGCCCATATCTAAAAAAGAAATAACAAAACATCTCTCAAATGCCAACCACGTAGCCCAGCCGCTTTACTTCCCAACACTCCCCGATACGAGGAGTCCTTCTCTCATCTAGGAACAGATCTTCCCACTCTTGTTCATTGGACGAAAATTCGAGTTAAGAGATCCCTGGAAATGCAAACCCTACACGTGGGTCAACGCTGCGAGTCATGACACTCCACAAGACAAAGCATGTCAAAGGTAGAGTTTTGGTGTGGCATTGATTTGCCTAGAAACTTTAATCTTTTCAATCCCCCCTTCTTCAGCCACTGCGACGTCCCTTCGCACATGCAGCTACATCCGGCCTTTATCTATGCCATCGGACTTGGATGTAACATCCTTTCTAGATATCGTCGGTCCGAGAACTTTGCAAGTCAGCCAAAAGAAAGAAAGAAAAAAAAATCTCAACAGAATGATAAAAGATGGTTGAAGGGGACTGTCTAAGAATAGAAGCGAGTGTTTGTCCAGTCCCAATCGGAAGGGGATCTTACAGTCCAACACCAGAATCTTGACGCTTTCTAATGACGAGTTCCTCTCCTCTGATGACTCTGACAATATCTGCTCCATCAAGCGTCCCTATCCTTTCCAAAACGTTCCACATGTCTGTTCTGTTGTCCTCTACACTCGTCCCTGAACACTCAGCCAAACGACACCTGCACTCTGCGATCAATGTCCTTTCGCTTGCCTTTCCATCTTCTGAAGGTAGTTGTCTGGCTTCCATGTTTTGGACTTCCGATTCCAGAAGCGCGATGGCGTGAGGGCAATGGCAGAGCAGGGCATCCAGAAAGCCAGGGCCGTGGTGGAGGATGAGTTCTTGACAGCAGACTTCGATTTCGAAACGTAGCATGCCATGGAGAAGTGGTGAGGTAGGGATAAGAAGGCTGGGGCCGTCGGCACGAAGTTGTTGAATACAGAGATGGAGCGTAAGCAAGAGAATGGCGAGGGAAGTGCGAGGTAATGATCTGATGATCCGGGATTTGTTTTCGTGAGTTCCTAGCACAAAGCGTCAGTATGATAGCCTGACAGATGTGAGCAGACAGACGCACTCACCAGCATCGTAGAGACGGTACAGTAGATGCATTCCGGCCTGTTGCAGGTTTATCCATTCAGGTCTCATCCAGGCTGCCTCTTTGCCTTCACGTCTTCGAATGTTGTGACAGTTTCGCTCTACACGGGTCAATGTACGAATTCGTGTGTAGAGCTCATCAAGAGTCTTGAAGCCGATGCTTGTCTTCGGTTCGTAAAGGCCAGGGTGTTTGGCGAGGACATCTGATGGGAACTGTAGGCGGATGATCTCGACTGCCAGACTGTGTTCGTATTGCCGTAAGAGTTTGTTGAAGTTGCGGCATACAAGGCGGAGATGATCGAGACAACCTGGTGTGTAATCTATACGACTGAGCGAGTCGAGTATCAGCTCTGGGGGTAGCGAAATGCATAGAATTCGTAAGCCGCATGGTGATTGCTGTCCATCTAATACAGAATCCATCCCAGAATCTCTACCAGGTTACAAACGTCGCAAAACCAAAGAAAGATACGCATGAGGATAAGACTGGCCTTGAAATATAGTACAACGATGGGTGGTATTTGTGGTACCTTGATGGAATGATGATAGTGGAGAAATTCAAACACGATGCGGTGTCTGAACACCTTGATGGTCAGATGGTGCAACCGAGAAGTTTTGCCCACGTGCCTGCTTATTGTTGTACAATCAGAGGTCAGTTTTATATGGGTATCAACTGGGAAAGAAGGATGCGTTGTCTCAGGGGAACCTTTTGCCTTCAGTGGCAGAGAGAGAGGTATGTGAATGCATCCCACTATGGTCGCAAAATATTAGCTCCTCCGAGCCCATATTGTAGATACTCGGGTATCGTCTGTCACGACCAGAATTCGCATGAGGCCTCAGATGATAAGGTAATAACACCTTGATGGTCGAATATTTGAGGAGTCCGGTATCGTAGAATTTTCGAAGTTCTTGAGCACCGATTCTACTCGCGAATCATTCTTCGTCTGCGGTTTTCAAGATCGAACTTGTTGTACGTGTCTTTGAACCCTGGAAAAACTCCTCCATTCTGTCACTTTTGTGCAGGTCGTGAGAATCTGAGATCCTTTACCGGACCAAGGCGTGTTCGACGAGTGCATATCAGGCAGCACGTCTTTGTGACCTGCCTTGCGTATCAGGAAGGCATTGTGTATCTCGAGGACTGATGCATAGAGGCAATACAGATACGAGAAGACCTGGGATTGGAATTAAACTGCGGTGTGATGTACGGCTCTGCGTCAAATGACCCATTGCCCCGGTATAGCAAAGTCTGTCACTCGCTCCTCCTGACATGGTGATGAACCTCATCTTCTCTTCAAGAGCAAACTAGAATCTAGCTCGCGTATGTATGAAAAGCTACTCTTGAAGAGAAGATGAGGTTCATCACCATGATAGTTATGACAAACTTGAATTCTAGAGGGCAGATCCAAGACCAAATTATCACAAATTTGCATGGCTTCATCAATCACAATGAGATCAGCTGCATATCATCTGGTGTAGAGTTTTACCCCACCGACAAGTGTCGGACTCCTTACCTCACCTATCGCTTAGCTGAGTGGTTTAGCAGAAAAGTCTATGATGTTTCTCTAGATTGCATCTTAAAGTCACCTTTCTTAACTGAAGCAGTCTTTCTGATGACTTCTTATATTCTCAGGCTATCCTTGCTTGGAGCACCAAGCATCGTCGATTTGCTTGATTTCCCCGACAAGTCTCGGAAATTTAACCATCACAACAATATCGGACCTATTTCGAGATGCTTTGAAGGGGTAGATAACCCGATGGCTCTCCGAGGACAGATTGTTGAAGCAAGCAGAAGAGGAAGATTCTTCGAAGTATAAGAAGTACCTCAATCGAGAGAGATTAGCGAACATGGCCAGATTTGATCAACCCAGCATGTCGGAAGTTTAGGACAATCAGAACCGACCACGACACAACTCACAATCACAAGTAGGTTCTGGTAGCTCTATATCTGTACGTTGTAAGCAATGGTACTGAAAATGCCGACCATGCATTGTGTCCATCCTCAACGTCTACATTGCTCTTATGTATAGCCTTCTCTACGTATGGTTCGCTCGGCAGTTTCGTGATTGTCTTCATCGACGTCTACGGCCTGTACCTGGAAAACGAGGGACTGGCACATCTGGGTATCCTGGTTAGAGCATTCGCTAATATGCCGCCTGTCTTTCTGTCTCTCTGCAAAGTCCTTGAGCCTCAGTTTAACGACAACGAATACTCAAAGCCATGGAGACGTTTACCGCCAGCTTGTGTGGATACTTTCATAATTCCTGTCTGTGCGTTCTGGATACGTTCTTGCCTTTGGCTCTGCACTCTTCTCCACGGGTTCTGTTCTCTTGTTCAACGTGGTACTGAACCGTCTGCCTGATGCATATCTGAAGTAAGCCTTACCACCTCAGATCAGCGTTGCAGCTTTGCTGACAATCAATTAGTACGGCGAGACACTACGCAAAAGGTATAGCGAAGAATGTAGGAGTGACATCTAGAGTGTTGTCGGTGGCTCGAACGAGGGAGCACGAAAACTAGTTCTACTGCCTTTTGAGTTAGTATACACACAACTAAAAGGCATGCCTTTACTTATGTCGAAAACCACAAGAGCCACCTGTCTCCAGGCAGATGAACCTCAAGCAAGTTCTCAAACTCTTTTGGAAAGAGGTATCAGTATGCGTACAATGCACATACCAATTTCCGTGCCCCTGCGAGAATTTGGCGCATGATTATTCAGACATTGAACACCTTCTGAATAGAGACGTGCCGATTCATGGCTGTTACACATGACCATTAAACACAAGCTTGAGCACTGAAAACCGCTTACGTATGATTTAATGGTCCGTCGTGCAGAATCACTTGACTTCTGTAGGCGTTTGAAAAAGCCATGGTCGTACGCTTTTGATAGTAGAAGGGAGAAGAGATCAAGCGTTGGCTGTAGATGAATCAGGCGCCCTAGGGCGTGCAATTTCATCGCATGTAAGATGTCGTATAGGCTGTAGGGAGCCTTTCTGAACGGGTCACATGAGCTGCTCTCTTGTTGCTGTACAGGTACGATCTTTTGCATCCCAATCGAACTCGCGACCTAAAGACAACTTTGAAGCTGGAGGTCTTCCTCAAATAACATGACAAGCGGATACTGCGGATAGAGTGGCCCGGTGCTGCCGAGACAGTTGCCGTGTCTGCGGAGAGTCGGCTGTGCTTGCGCAGCTCGCACCTTTCGCGAGTGAGACCAGTTCACATGCTCCCGGGATCCGGTGCACTCGCGAGAAATGCCCGACTTGGTAAGGTATAAATCGGAAGGACGCGGACGTCTCCCACATTCGTATGCGCTCGTGCCCGTTTTGCAATCTAGAATGCCCCAGACGGACAAGTCTCAAGTGGTGGAGTTGGCTCGCGGCGTCCTTCCGTCATGGCTCAAGATTGAGGGGTACTCGAGTCTGTACGGACATCAAGCCGCGTGGTTCATGAAGACTTCGACGATCTTCTAATCGTTGTCTCCTCGTGGAGTTCTTGACAAGATGTACTCTGTTCACGAGCCGCTGGACCGACGATCGGGAGAGGATGACACATTGACGAATCAGCAGGGCATTCTAACGAGTGTAAGTTTGCGCCATCCCTGAATGTTCCTAGTGCACGCGGAGGTTCACTTGGCGGACGGTTTGTCACCGTGCAGCAGAGGTTCGTGGAGTCTCCACACACCGTGGGGCGGTGGATCATGGGGGAAGGAGAATTGAGGGCTGATTAACCAAAAATGCATTGGTGGCCGCTGAGTAGATTAAATACAAAGGTAAGCAGCTCCCCCGCGACCTCCGCGCGAGTGATTCCTACCCCTTGACCATAGACCCTCCACCATGTCGGACTCATCTGTCAATGGCGACCTACTTGCTCCGGCCAGACCCTCGAGCTCTCCCAACTCGAAGCGGAAAGCCAGCGACGCCGGCCTACCAGCCACTGGCACCAGGATCCACAAGAGTGTCAAGAGACGTGCTTCGAAGGCCTGTCAGTCCTGCAGAGCTCGCAAAGTACGCTGCAATGTGGTCGAGCAGAGTCCTTGTACCAATTGTAGACTCGATGAAGTCGAGTGTATAGTCTCCGAGAGCAAGCGCAAGAAGTTAGTGCCATGTATGGATTATCTTCCCAAACCACCCTTGCTAATTGATCGTGTGAAGGNNAAATGGACAAAGGCAGACGAAGAAGGACATGCTGCAGGAGACTGTTCTCCGCCTGTTCCTGCCTCGATACAACATCCCAATATCAGCTTCCATGACTCACCAGGGCACCTACCCCATTCGCTTNTGTTCGTAGCTTTCAAATCGAAATTCTTTTACAAACAGCTGATTCTCTATCCAGATCAGGATCTAGATCCTCAATCGTTTGACCCTGCTCGCCGTCAGAGCCTGGCAAGATCGATCTCCATACCTCACGATCCGACAGATAGTATTTCTCTATCCGGGGTTGATCCCAATTCTCTATTCGGCCTGCAAACTCGTTCTCCACCGCCTCCCCATCACGCACTCCCGGCCTTCATTAGAGCTTTTCCCTCGACCTTTGGTCCGGAAGATATCTCATATCTGGCAAAGAAGGGTGCCCTCACATTACCACCACCCGCTTTGCGCGCCGCTCTATTACGATGCTTCGTAGAGAACATCCATCCATACATGCCGCTACTGGACATCCATGAACTCATCCACACTGTGGACAACAATGATTCCTCCTCGGCAGTTAGTCTCTTGCTATTCCAGGCTATCATGTTCGCAGGCGTGGCTTCCGTAGACATGGCATATCTACAAACTGCCGGATACACCAACAGAAGAGTCGCTAGACGCGATTTTTTCCAAAAAACTAGAGTGCGTTACTCATAACTATCTTCCTTGATTCTGATACTAATCTCAATACAGCTTCTATACGATTTTGATTATGAAGCTGATCGGATCTCTCTTATCCAATCTCTGCTTCTCATGACTTTCTGGTACGAAACACCAGATGATCAGAAAGACAGCCACCACTGGATGGGTATCGCAGTATCTCTTTCACACACTATTGGTCTACACCGCAACCCAGAACGCTCCAGTATGATCCCCAAGCAAAGACGTCTATGGAAACGTATCTGGTGGGCAACATATATGCGCGATCGCCTCATCGCCTTGGGAATGCGCCGACCAACAAGAATAAAGAACGAAGATTTCGACGTACCCATGCTAACGATAGACGACTTCGAATTCGCCGTTCTGTCTAGTCAGTCATCATGTATTCCGCCCAGCTGCAAGATCATGCAGGATATATCCATGCAGAGGGAGTTGGCAATCATGTGTATCGAGAAGGCCAAGTTGTGCATCTGCATCAGTCATGTCTTATCTACGCAATACTCTGTTTTGCACAACAATCATGGTGTGCAGAGTCAAGAGGGAACCACGCGTACCACTATGATGCTCGTAGCACGCAAGGACGATCCAGAAAAGTGCTCTGTCAAGGCATGCGACGAAGAGCTCAAGCAGTGGAAAGCATCAATCGCACCCGAAGCAAAGTACAAGCCCTCGTCATTGTTCGACCTCACAGCTGGTAAAGGAGCAATCGCACTTCATCGCTCACTTTTACATATGATCTATCTGGCTACGCTCTCGGCTCTGCATAGACCGCAAGTGCTTCCATCAACAGCGGCGCCATCTCGAAAGATGGCCTCCGAGGTCCTGGATACCTCGCGAAGGACCGTCCGATTCGCGGCCAATCGACTTACTGCGGTTGCTCAGAATCTAAACGAGCTTGATCTCATCCGCTGCTTACCCACCTCTGGTATCACTGTTCTGTTGCCGGCTATCATTATTCATCTCCTCGACATCAAGGCACCCGATGAGACAACCCGACGTGCCAGTTTGCAAGGGTTCTGCCAATGCATGCAGATTCTCAATAAGCTCCGCGACATCTATGCAGCCGCAGATTACTCTACTGCGTTCCTGGAAGCAGCGATTCGCAAAGCAGAAATTACACTTCCTCCTCCCAAGATGGGCCCACCACCTCGACCTGCGCATTTGGCCAACATGTCCAGCGTAATGAAGGCAGCAAGATTGGGACATGCAAATGTCAGCCGCCTCACACCACCTCCCGAGCTTGCTGCCAGCACAAACAACGACCTACAATCGCAATCTCGTCAACAGCAAGAGAAGGAACCACAAGTCTCGGAAAACGATTTGGCCCAACACCTGAACGACTTCCTCGCCTCCACACCTCCAGGCTCCGAGCACACGACCGACAGCCAGATCGACGAAACCACAGCGGCCGCCTTCAACATCCCCGCTCTAGATGCCGATTTCGATACCCTGATCAATCTAGATGCGGCTGGAGAATCGTTCACTTTCGACGATGGCACTTTCCCCACCATGCCTGCTTTCGACTCGACCGACGGCGGGTTCATGGACATGGACTGGATGAAGCACATGAACAGTAACGACGATGTTTCCTTTGGCATTTGAGCGACATGGAAATTCTTATAGACACGGCATACAGTTACGGCTTTTTTCGTTTTTGATGTTTGGGTTGGGTGTATACTGAAGAACCTTTTTGTATGTGTTTTGCTAAGTTTTTGATACCTCTTAGACTGTACTAAACAAAAGTCCATCTTGCAAGTACTGTTGCCTCTATATCACTGTTTAACTCGTTTCCTATTATAAATAAATATGCTCTGCTCCTCTCACTTGAGGTCGGTGTGATTGGTGTCAGCGACAACATCCTGACTGACAACTTGACCCCTGATAAAACCATCCAGTCCACGTCAATAATGATTTGAACGAAGGACTAGCTCAGCTGCTTCTGGATGCTCTCTTCGATGTTTTTGCGACTCAGTGACTCCTGCTGTCAACATGATGCTTATTGTCAAAACAATCACACGCGATCACAGCAACGTCGACAGCATGAGATGGGGAGGAACACGATGGATTGAAAACTAAAAATGCTTTTCTGGCCTGCATCACTAAAAAAAGACCTATCACGTCCTGTACACCGCGAATCATAAACTTCATTACCCGTCAATCCCCTTTTCTCATGCAATTTTTCAAGAACTCCAGTCCACAGCAGTACATCCATCAGACAAATCAGTTGCTCAACAGATCTTGCACACTCATAGCGCGGCCAGATCTGTCCTTGTAGGTTCTTCTGTCGGAGTTCAGCATCAGGAGAGCAGCCATTGCTTCTCGGTCTAGGTCCTTCTCTCTGCGTTCGCGGACTCTTGCGTCTTCGCCCACGACTGGTGGTCTTTGATGCATGGTCGAGTCCTGAGCGCGCAATGCAGGACTTGTGAGTGCGAATGGAGCAGGTTCATGTAGTCCTGCAGTGGGCAGGAAGAACGGCGATGCTTGTTGTGAGTGGATGTAAGGGGAGAAGGAAGGCTGAGATGTGGAAGAGATGCTGTAGTGTCGAGAGGAGGAGGCATCAGAAGGTGCGATGGCAGGCGACTTGTATCCGAAGTGGGACATTGATGGTAGAGAAGCTAGAGAAGGGATGGATTCTCGAGATTGCGTATGCGAGAGGAGTGGGCCGTTGGGTGTGGAGGCACCGGTGGAGTGGTTTGTGTCGGACATCTCTTGATCGTCGTCTTCTTCAGGCTCCATGGGCTCATCGACGACAGTAGCGGGCTGTGGAGTAGGAACAGCAGTAGTGGTGGGCTGTGATATCGAGCCCTGTCTCACAGCTGTGTTGTCGGCTTTGAGGTCGGTGATGCAACGCTCGAGGTAGCGAAGGTATTCGATGCTTGCCNNTTGGAGGGTGGTTAGTGTCGTGTCTCGACCATGCATGGGCGTATTGCGACTGACCTGAAGGATCGCCAGCTTGTGCATCTCTTGACCTTGACAGGCAGGGATCATGTCCTTCAGCACGCCAAACTCCTCGTTCATCTTGGAGCGTCGTCGTCTCTCGATCAAGCTGTGTGCTGTCTTGCGAGCCACCTTACGGCTAGCGGCTGTGCTGCTGGCATTGGCGCCCTTCTTTCTACCACCAGTGGCCTTTGCTGGGGCTGCCTCGACCTCAGGGTCTGGCTGCTTCTCACCAGCAGCAGCCTTAGGCTTCATCTGGATGATCTTGCGGTTACGTGTCGGCGGCGGAGGAAGAGCGAATGTGTCGTCTGCTTTGGCCAAGGTTGACTGAGCAGCAGTAGACTTGCGTCTTCCATTGTTATTCAGAGACACAGGCGAATGTGGGTGGTACGAAGAGTCGGAGCCATGGCTTGAAAGAGGTGACGAGGTGGCTCTATCACTGCCATCGGCATAGGCCGAGGGAGGGAGGGTGAAAGCTGGAGCAAGAGGCACAAGCTTCTCTTTGCCCCGAATATCCGTCGACGAGGCCGGGGTAGGCGGCAGGTGTGAGGAGGCCATTATGTGAAGAAGGGTATGGGTATGACAAAAGCAGCACCCTGATGGTATCACAGACTACAAGTACGAAGGCTTGTTGTACAGGCAAGGGGATGGACGTGGACGAGAAAAAGGAATTGGAGGCTTGAGCTAGGAGACGACGACATATTTGTCCATACTTGCAAAATGGCACCTTCCCTATCAACAGGTGCACGAGGGGCACGTCGTGCGGTGTCGTGTGCCTCAACTGTAAAGCTCAGAGTCGTCGACCTGCCCTCGTGCGCTCTCTCCGCATCGTTCATTGGCTGCTTTGCAACCGCCTATGGCTGTGAAGCCCACCACCTCCTGCCAGAGGCCAGAGAGGAAGCACGTGCGGTTCCAGTGAGAAACTGACTTTGCTTCGGTCTTGCAACTGGTTGAGAGGTTATCTCCACCTGCCCCTTCATGTGATTCCGTCTCGTCAACACGTTACCGTCTTGCAGAGGCATATACGTACGGAGACAAGTCCCGCTTCTATAAAGAGTCCAAGGAGGAAAATATCTCATCGTACCTATATCCCGTTGTCGAGAGCCGGGCAGACATCTCGTACTCGGGCATGACCTAGCTGGAAGAAATCGTTTGTGGATAGATGAAAGATAGAGTGAAGACTAGAAGGTTCAAGGTCTAGAATTTGGGAAGAAATCGCTCACAAAATGTCGGTCTTTCTGACGGTGAAGACCGCGAAAGAAAGACCAGAAAGACGACTCATGTACAAAAGTGAATGCCGCTTCTGTGGATCGAACACAGTGCCTCCAGAATACTCTTGTCGGAACAAGAAGGACAGAAGTTGACTTCAGTCTGGCGCTCTCCCAGATGAGCTAAAGCGGCGGTGTGAAAAATTCCGATCATGTACAAATATAATCTTTTGAATCAGGGTGTACAGCAGCACGATGGGACGGGCAAGCTGCTGCTCGTCCAAGGTGCATCTTAGACTCAGGCTTAATCCGAGTGTTTATACCAGGTTCGCTGTATTGGAAAGCATCAGCAAGCATCTCCGTTCAGGATGTGCGGAGCCCGCGAACCCCGACTGAGGCGACATGTCTCGGAGCACATGAAGCTTGGGGTCTGAGAACGAGCTCTATGTTTACATGTCTTCAACTACCATAAACCTGTCATCATCTCCGCCATATCCACAAGAGCTACTTAAGGGCCATTTGCTCCAACATTTCCCAGTTCAGTGCCGAACAATACACTCTCTCTGATCAAAAGTCGCCATCATGGAAGCCGTACAAGGTAAGGCACACGATCACATGCAATCCACCACGACCACCACTAACAAACACACCGCAACAGACTGGGCAAGCTACCTCTTCCGCAATGGCTACCTCACTCCCGGCCTCTTCGGCCCTCTCAACACCCTCAACAACATCTTCCACAACTACCTCCTCCCCACCTTGCAATCGCTACTCGAAAAGCCCGACCTCACAAAGATCGCCCTCATGCTCGTCATCCTCTACATCTCGCTCAAACTCGTCAACATGCTGGTCCAAAGCGTGCTCTTCTGGGTGCGACTTGCTTTCCGCATCACCTTCTGGGGTGGCCTTGTTGTGCTGGCCTTCTGGCTTTCGCAGAGAGGTGTCGATGGTGCGGCTGAGGATGTGGGCTATTGGATCAGGATGTGGAAGGGTGAATTGCAGCACTACAAGAGTCAGGCGGAGCAGATCGCGTACGAGCACAGTCATGGTTATGGAGGCAGACATGGCTATGGCGGTGGCTACAAGCCTGCCGCTTCCAAGAAACAGTGGCCCCTCTAAGAGAAGAAGGATGTGATGCGGCAGAACATGACAGCATTTTGGGAGTTTTACGGCTGGGTTGCATCGATTTCACGAAACATCATACGTTCGAGGCTCGAAATCGTGTTTGGGGTTTGAGAGACGAGTTACTGCAGTACTGTGGCTGGTATAGAAGATACACATTGCCATGCACGCGTAATTTGTGCTCATTGGACTTTGCGTTCATGATCTCTATCGCTATCTCGCCATTTCCACTACCACAACATCCCATGGATATCTGATTGTTTCTGAGAGCTCACATTCCATTTGTTCCACTGCACGCGCGAGCAGAACATTGTGTGGGCAGAACAAGACAACTCCGTCGGATATCTTCTCAGGTCCGGACCAGTGCCCTTCGCTCAGAAAAGGGACATTGCAAATATTTTAAGCTCGAAAGAGATATTGCCATGAAGTATCGGGCTCTTTAAAATTGAACCTCGGTAGAATGAAGAAAAAACGTTAGTTACATCCAATCATGAAGAAACGATAAAGGAAGCTCGTGATGTATCAAAGCAAAGTCGTAGCAATATGCGGGGCCGGGTGGCTGAGAGAGCCTCAATGCGGCAACCTACCAGACAATGCAAGGACAAGACCATATTGTATTGGCTACCATCAGCTCTCGGTTAGCCCGATGGCTTGAAGACATGGACAATGTTACTATGATACAGGCAAATAATGTGCTTGACATCGCCATGAGTAACCAGTTGTTGAAACAGAGTTTCTCTTTAGCCAAAGTAGCTACAGTGCAACAGCTTGTTTTGGTTCGAGCGTTTGTTATTCCGTGCATCCAGAGAGGCCGAGAACAAGAGTTGAAAAGACAAGATGAGTCAGCGCAGAGCACAGTAGTACGCGTCATGCACGCGATCTTCGCGCGTTAGACGCAGATTTTGGGGGTTATGACCAGCTTGGAGCTCAGGTGCATGGGCTGCAGGAGCGTTAAGCAAGCCTCCTTCGACGATATCAGGCTGGCTCAACAAGTGCTGATATTTGTCGACTGGAAACAGTGTGCGCAAAAAGTCCTGGACGTTTAAAAGACTCGAGTCTGATCATTACCGCAAGAGGTCGTGGCTTGTGGTAGCAAGGCTTATAGCGCTCTTCAGAGGCTCTTGAAGAAAGTGGAGGGACACATGGCACCGCGCAACCCGACGTGTGTCGAACCACGCAGAGAGCGCAGCGGATACGTGCAGTAGATCCCGACACTGGGGTAAAGAAAGGTGTGAAAGGACAGAGAGAAACAGACTTGATGAGGAAATGCAAACAGGAAGCGGATGATTATTTTGAGTTGACAAGAAGCGAGACGGAGATTGAGGAGATTCCTATCCGTGACTAGGGGAATTGAAGGATCGGAGTTGGCAATGCAAATATAAAAGACTTACGAGGCTGGTGCATACGCGCGGTTGCCGGCGTTGGATGATCTTGGATAGTGGAGAAAAAGAGCTCGAGTCTTTCGAGTTGGAGGAGCATGTCCTGGCCAGAGTAAAATGATATATAACACGAGAAGGGTAGAAAGGCGTGTGACTCTTCACAGCTCGCAGAAGAACCGCGGACCGCATTCTCGGGAGGAAGCACTCTGGCTGAAAATTGGTGCAGGTAGACTCGGAGCACATGACGTGAGCGAGCGGCGGAGGCGCGTGGTTGGTCGGGCATAAGTGCAAGAGGCAGCAAGATCGCCATCCGACACGATTCTGTCGCTTCATGACGGGCGCATCTGATCCTTAAGACTCTGTTTGGACTCTGGTTTACTCCTTCCCTTCGGACAAGCAACTAAAGTCTCTGTGCTACGCGTGGCCGCGTCCGTCCCGGTGTTTCGTCCTTGTACAGTTAAGCTTGCTTACCCAGGTACTACTGCCTCGGTCGCCATCCCTTGCTTGAGCGCCGAGCTGACATACATTCCTAAGGCGAATCGAAAAAGTGAGTTTAACGCTGTTTTATTGGCTGCACTGGCGAGAGTGGCGACGCGGCATTGATGTTGGAGCGCTCTGTCTCGCGTCTGTTTCCTGTGCTCTCTGCGAGTCCGACGCTGACTGGAACGCTTTTCTGTAGCCGAACAAAAGCCCGAGCCAAGTCTTCAGACTGAGATCGATGCGCTCGACCAGGCCGACCTCATCGCATCCAGCATCGCCCTCCACACACAAAGACGCGTCGCTCCCTTGCTTCCACCGGCCAACCACTGCCAGATCTTGGTCCGCTTCCCGACACGCAGGATCCGACAAGCAAGCTTATCTGGAATCCCTGGGCTCAAGCGACTCCGCCGACCTGTCTCGCGCCGCCAATGAGTCTGTAACTCTGCACATCGAGTAACACGGCCGACTCCCATTCACCGCCCCTGCGCCAGTCCGCAACAGTACCCATCCTTGGGGCATGCTACCGTACCATGGACGGCCATGGCACAATCAACCCTGCTGCGCTCAACTCAAGTACGTCGTCGCGTCCGCCCGCAGCCCAGCTCGAGCGCTACACCACCACACCTGCCCCAGATCCCAAGTCCCAGAACCCAGAACCTCCGCTGACTCAGTCGCCTANNGCCCTCGACAACTCGGCATATAACAATCGAGGCGTGAAGCGCAGCCGCTCCCCGGCCGAACCCGCCGACACCGGTACGTCCGCTGCCAACGTTTCCATCTCCTTTGCGCGTCCACACGCTGACGTGTTAGACGACCTCAAACCTCGAAAGCGCGGTCGCCCCCCAAAGCAAANNAAGACTGCCGACAGTCCACAAATGGCATCTCACCCCGTCCACCTGTCGTCGCCGCTTGCCATACAGACTCCCCAGATCAAGCAAGGCGCAAACCAATCCTCACCTTCGCAGGCCTCACCCCAGCGACAAACTCCAGCTTCTGGCCAAAAGACAACTGTCGTCAAGGCCTTGCCTACCGTCAGAGACCACACCACGGACCAGCTCGGCGCCGAGGGCGATGAATACATCCCGCGCGAGATCGACGAAGCCGGCGAGAAAAAGGTGTCAAGCAATGGTTACCCGCTCGAAGGTCGCGAGTATCGCATCAGAACCTTTACCGTGCCTAACAGGGGCGAAAAGCTATTTATGCTCGCCACCGAATGCGCGCGCGCATTAGGATACCGCGACTCGTACCTGCTCTTCAACAAGAACCGATCGCTGTACAAGATCATTGCCAACCAACCCGAGAAGGACAACCTCATCCACCAGGAGATTCTACCCTATTCGTACCGCTCCAGGCAAATAGCAATTGTAACGGCAAGATCGATGTTCCGCCAATTCGGGAGCCGCGTTGTTACGAATGGAAGACGAGTCCGCGACGATTACTGGGAATCCAAGGCAAGAAGCCAGGGTTTCACCGAAGAAGATGCAGCTGGAGAAAAGCGACCTGGTGCTGCCAAGCAGAGAGAAGCTGCAGCCGCCGAGGCCAGCACCAACACGACCGCCTTGACTGCCATGCCTCACACGGACATCATATATACTAATGGTCCCGGCCTTGACCAACCCACCGTCCCTGCAGGCATTCACCCTGTGACGCTTGCACCCCTCAGCATGATTAACATGCCATCCGATGATCCCAGAGTCGCCGACTTCCGTGGCATCGCACGTCCTAGACAGGAACTCACCGGACCTGCCTATCAAGATCGCACTCAATCCAGCAACCCTCAGGACGTCTTCAACCAGGCAAACCAAGCGGCTGAGTTTAACAAATCCTTGACTCAACAGCGTGTCGTGCGCAATCAATACTACGAGGATTACTGGAAGCGTCCCCACGAGCCCCCAACCCCTCCACCTCAGCCGCATATGCCCGACACCACCGACATGGGCACTGTCGCTCCTCACAACCTACAGTCGCCCCAAAGCCGCTTGCCATCTCTTTCGCAGCCCTCCATGATGGCACACCAACAGGCCGCCGCTCACATGATGCCTTCTCAGTTCCACCAGCCCAACCAACAGAATCCCATGCAGTCACCCGTCCGCTCCATGCACCAGCAGCTTCCATCGTCGCAGATGCACCAGACATCGCCCGCCATGGCCATGGCTTCTATGCGCCAGCAGACTCCCTCATACGGCTACCAGCAGGGCCAGATGTGGCCGCCTTCGCAGCCTCAACCTTCTCCCTTGTCTCAGGCCCACAACATGGCCCAGTTCCAGCAACCAACTCAACAAGCTTCCATGCATCCTCCTCAGATGGCTGCTATGGGTGGGTACCCTTCCATGAACCACCCGATGAGCGCCGCTGGTGCCTTTGCTGGCATGAACCGTAACATGTATCAAGCTAGCCCGAGCCCACAGCACTTTGCCATGCAGCAGCAACAGCAGCAACAGCAGCAAACACCCGGTCCACCTCAGCAACAGATGCATGGATGGGCGCCTCCATCTACCAACCCGGCTGCCGGCATGACTCCCCAAGATTGGCAACGCTACCAATAAACTGTGCCAACTTGACCATAGAGCAAAAGCCTCAGCTTCGCATAATGCCCTCCGTTCCCGCCAATTCCCAAGTCTTTCCACCTCACTGGCGGATGTCTCTAGCCCTTCTGCCGTCTTTGACGATGGTAGTAAGGCTACTCAGTCGTCAGCTTGTGATGACAGCTTGACACCAGCGTCTGCTTGGTCTGCAGCGTATGTCCCGCTAGCTCTAGGGCCTTATTCTGGCGAAGACGAGAATCGCAAAAGATCTGCTTCGTCATTTGCATGATATTGGTGGGACCAACACTTGTTGAGCGACGCGCATTGTCCTCGGAAACTGGCTGGCTTGATGTATTGCTCTCTCGTACCCTTTTCCTTGTTTGTTTTGCTGTTATTTCCATTACTCAAGGATTCCCCTCGATGCATCACTGCATTTGTCCTGCACCTTTTGTCCAACACCCCCTGTCTGTTTACTCACCTCACGAAATTTTGCTCAACCCACTACCCACCCTGCCCTGGCATTCTCTCGGTCTCGTTGTTCCTGTTCTTCACCCCGCTTTATACCTTTTCCCTTTGCTTTTTCCCTATTTTCCTTTTCTGTCCTCTCATGATATCGGGTTCATTATACCAAAGACACGCCGCCGCTACGAAAGAAGGAGAATTGTTGCGTTTGGTATAAAACCACTGGCTGCTGGTTGCTTTGTTGGGAGAGCAAGACACAGAAGAGCACAAACGTTGGGTCTGACTGCTTTTGTTAACTTCTTACTATCGGGCGGCTTTCGATGACAACTCTCTGGAACAATACCCCTTTTTTGTTGTTTTTTGACCTTTTAAACTATTACCCCCTTGTGTTGCGAGTCCTTTAAACCTCTGTACTGATGCGTTGGTTGCTATTTCTCTTCGAAACTCTCTTCACCTTCTTTGTCTTTAAAAACTTTCTAGTCGAATTATTGACGCCACCTCTCTTTTGCTTTCAAGATTTGGTATCAATGGGCTCTTCATATCGTGATTATTTTTCCGAACGGTGACTTTGGTTTTAATTCTTCGGAACAATCGCAAACACCCGCCAACTCAAAGACACGTGTTTCGAAGCGGTGCAACGCGAGATGGAAGAAGAACAGAAGCGGCGAGAGACCCTTTGACCGACAAACTGTTTTTCTTGCATCCAAGTGTAAAGGCCCACAAACTTGCATACCGACAAGACCCCCTTTTTTCTTTTGCTGTATCATCACAGAACTAGTGAGAATCATGCAGAAATGCTCAGTCTCTTCTCGGAAACCCCAATGCAAAAACAAAAAAATTGCTCGTTTCAAAAAGGTTGCATGCAGAATTTTATTTATGCAAGTTCTGCTTCTTCTTTTATCGGCCACGGGCCACGGCGTTCCTTTACAAAAATCAAGCGGGAGCAACAGTGATGCCGCATTTCTTCAGCGTCTCCCTTGCCGTGGTGACTTTGAGACCGACCCTGCGGTGGAAAAGATGAAAAGATTAGCGACATGGTTACCCGACTGACCAAAACAATGGCATGTAATAAGGTTAAAGAGGTAGGGAAGAGGTGGGGGGGAAACAGGAAGCAAGAGACCAAACCGGGTTCTCGGGAAAAGCTCGCCAAAGCAACCTTTCAGAAGACTGAGGGTGTGCGGGCGAAACAAAGAGGTCAACCAGGTAAGGGGGGGAACAGGGAAAGGAAAGGGGAGCGAGCGAATGGGCTTACCTGGCATCCAAATCATAGGCCTCCCACTTTGCGGCCTTTTCCACCCATCGCGAGCAACTTTCCAATTGCTGTCTGCTGCCTCTCTCACCACCGGCATCCAGCCATTCGATAACGGACATTTCGTAGTGCGCCACGGGCAACGACCAATTGTCTTTGTTTCCGCCCTTGAACTCGGCCCACTCGTGTTTCNNCAGCACCTGCGTCTCCAGGATTTGGCGAGCGGTTGCCGTGTCGCCGAGCCATCGGGTCACCGTGGCTCGCAGAAGTGACAGTGTGGCTAATTCGTCGGTTGCATTGTCGTGGCAGCCGTTTTGCTCGCTCCAGGCCAGGCGCTCGAGACTGTGTGTGAGGTGCTCCTTTCTCATTCTCTTGAAGCCGGCCCAGAAGTAGATGATCTCTTCCACGGGGGCGATGCCTACAGCATCGACGAAAGAGATGCCGCGGACCTTGGATCGTTCCTCCCATTTTGCAATCTTTCGAGTCACAAAGGCATCAAGGGGNAGTTGACGCGCCATGAAGCGTTTCTTGCCTGCGTGGATGGGCACTTTTCGCAAGAGTTCTGTTGCTCGAGAGGCGTATTTCTCTGCTCTGCCTGCATCGACTGACTTGGCTTCACGGTATAGTTCGACATAGCAGGCACCAGCGATGTAGTAGTACAGACCATGCGACCAGTTGTTGAGCTCAACGCANCTGTTCAGACACGTCAGTCAATCCTCTTGGTTCATGCGTGACACAACACTTACTGTCAAGAATGAAGTAGCACATTCTTCATATCTGTGCAGATACATGCAATTGAGACTCTTCTCGAACCACTGCAATGCCTCGACTTGCTTCAGCGGACTCTTCTCATGAGTGCCACACATGGTAACGGCATCTTCCAGCCGTTTGTCAGCAGCCATCATTCTTGCCTCCTCAAGTCTCCAGAGGCGGGATTCAGGATAACGCTTGCGCATCTGGACCAGCAGATTCGTCAAGCGTTGCTTGGGATAAGCGTCTGAGGTGACAATATCACAGAAACCAACGGTCACATTATAGTATCCCAGTGTGATTAGACCGGCCATAGCACCATTGATATTCGAGTAGTGGGTGGCTCGCCATAGCATCTGGATACCGAGCTCGCGATCGCCTTTGAAGCCGATGATATAGAGAAGTTTGGAGAAGGCTGGAGGGATCAAGGAGAGCATTAGTTGCAACAAGCCGAAGCAAAGGTTAGAGCCAGAATGGATGAAGAGGTCGATAGGGTGGTTGCTGAAATCACTAAAGTCGTCTTCTTCTATCACGGGTGCCGCGGGNGTCTGCGTCGATGATGGACCAGGACGAATAGACAAATTTCCTAGCTTTGATTCCAGCTCCTTGGACTCCAAGTGGCCCTGGTAGGTTGTGGGGGTCGCAGGTGCAGCGATACTCTCATCGGCGTCCACAAAGTCATCGTCGTCGTCGTCGTCTTCGTTTTGAGCGACCAGAGTCTGGCCGGATATGCTTGGAGCTTCCGAAGCAATTGAGGGAGCCGGGTTTACAGTCGACCTTGTGCTTGTTGTGGCCACAGAAGCAGAGCTCCGTCCCTTCAAGTATCTCTTCTCGGCATCTGCTATCTCTTGCAAAGCCACATATGCCTTCCTCATCTTGTAGAAACCCTTGATGCTCTCTGAAAGACTCTCGTTCAGGACGGCAACGACAGCACTCATAAGCTGTGCTTCGGCAAGGCAAAGGGCGTACTCGCTTCCAGCAGGGTAGATCTTTGATTGGTAGGCATTCTTGTCGGCATGGCGTTGGTGTTCGTAGGCGGCAGATTCGGCTTGTCCTAGACGTTCCGAGGCCTCTCTCATGATGTCCTGTTCGAAGCCGAGGGCTGCTCGCAAGAAGGACACGACACCTTGGCCCAACTACTTGATATGCAGTAAGCCGTCTGTTGAGACGCAAGATGATGCAGGCAGTAAACGCACCTTGTGGAAAGGCGAGTTGCCCTTGGACAATTCTGCTTCGGCCGTCTCGACATCNTGGTCATGGATAAGCTTAAGTGGGTGGCTATCATGCAGTGCAACAATACCGTCGTTTAGTATATATGACATAGCAGCCATAGCATTCTCGACTGAGCATGTTTGTCAGCCCACGTGCCATAGATGATATGCATCTGGTTACCTACGTGCCTGAGGCTCTTCAAGAGCACTCAGCGAGTGAGTCGAGCTCGAAGCACTGTGCTTTGCAGCACCCAACCATTTCTTCATGTCTGTTGCCTGCCAAGTGATGATGGACAAGAAATTCAAGACAAATCAAGCATATGCAGAGGAAAAGAGACACAACAGCTCATGGCACGACAGATGATCCACCAAAAACATGACGGACATGCACTGCCATGGCCGCACGCGAACCGTGATATCATCGCTTTTCGTACTCGTATGGCTCTTTGCGGAGGAGCGACCGGGAGCTTGGTGTTTGCTCTGTTTGGCCGCATGATGGCAACACGGACAGCCCACCAGTGACACCAAGCACTATCACCATCGCCATCACTCAATCACCGCCGCTCAACACCGCCATCGCCTCGATAAACCCATCGCATACACACCCTCTGACTTCCACGCGCACATACACACACACCCGCAATCATGTCCGGCGCAGCACAAGGAGACGCCAACACCACAAAGGCCGTTGTTTCAGACCGCAAGGACGACTCGCAACCACTGGCTCCTCAGAAGCAGGCCGCTCAGCTCGAGGAGGATGACGAGTTCGAAGACTTTCCCGTAGAAGGTGTGTGTCCCCTGCGCACCCTCGCGCTCTAAAAACACAAAAACTAATCATTGCGACAAAACACAGACTGGCCCGCAGAGGAAGAGCTCGGTTCATCCGGCGCCGGAGCAGGAACCACGCATCTGTGGGAGGAGAGCTGGGATGACGATGACACGAGCGACGAGTTCTCGGTTCAGCTCCAGTATGTGAAGCCGGCTCACGATCACGCCCTCTCTGGACGCATGCTGACTCTACAATCAGAAACGAACTCAAGAAGATGGAGAAGCGTTGAACACATATCGCCTTATGAAATCAAAGCAAAGCAATCAGCCCATACATCACTTCAACGAGTGGCTCAGATCAAAGCCTCGACACGGAAACGGCATGGCACGGCGTCTCGGAGTACTGAATATACATCCATCATCAAGAAGAGAGCGGACAAAGCATATACAAGCAAATCAAGCTCATTCTCAACTCACTCGTCACAAAGCTCATATCTGAGTCGTAACATAATGCATTTCGGACGTTTCTAAAGACTCGCTCTGCTTGCCTTGCCCGTGGTATAAATCAGATCCCGGATATCTCCCATTTTGCGACTTGAAAATAGAACACTCTAGTGAGCTTACTTACTCGAGAGAGCAGTGACACCAGGAAGCTCCTTGCCCTCGAGGAGCTCGAGCGAAGCACCGCCACCGGTCGAGACGTGGCTGAGCTTGTCCTCGACGCCGTACTTTGCGGCGACGGTGGCAGTGTCACCACCACCGATGATGACGACCTTGCCGGCCTGGGCAGCGGCAACAGCGTTGTCCAGAGTGGCCTTGGTGCCGTGTGCGAACTTCTCAAACTCAAAGACACCGGCGGGACCGTTCCACAGAATGGTCTTGGCCTCGTCGATGGCCTCCTTGAAGAGCTTGATCGACTCCTCGCCGCAGTCGAGACCCTGCCAGCCGTCGGGGATACCCTCCTTGTCGGTGGCCTTGCCGGTGTTGGCGTCCTTGTCGAACTTGTCGGCGGTGATGAAGTCGACGGGAAGGACAATCTTGACGTTGTTCTTCTTGGCCTTCTCGACAAGGTCCTTGACGGTCTTGCTGCCGGCCTCGTCGAAGAGCGAGTTACCGATCTTCATGTCCTCAAGGGTCTTCTTGAAGGTGAAAGCCATACCACCGCAGACGATGAGGCTGTCAACCTTGCCGAGGAGGTTGTCAATGAGCTGAATCTTGTCCGAGACCTTGGCACCACCGAGGATGGCAAGGAAAGGACGCTGGGGCTTCTCAAGAGCCTGGGCGAAGTAGTCGAGCTCCTTCTTGACGAGGAAACCGGAGGCCTTCTGGGGAAGGTCGACACCGACCATGGAGCTGTGGGCACGGTGAGCGGTACCGAAAGCGTCGTCNTTTAAGAAGCTTTGTTAGTATGCGCAGCTTGAGGGACGTGTGAATAGCTGCAACTCACTAATGTAGACGTCACCAAGAGCGGTCAGGCCCTTGCGGAACTCCTCGACCTTGGCCTTGTCGGCCTTGACCTTCTTGCCCTCAGAGTCCTTGCTGCTGCCCTCCTCCTCGGCGTGGAAACGCAGGTTCTCGAGAAGGATGATGCCACCGTCCTTGGTGTCGTTGACGGTCTTCTCGACCTCGGAACCGACACAGTCCTTGGTGAAGGTAACCTTCTTGCCGACGAGCTTCTCGAGCTCAGCGACAACGGGCTTCAGCGAGTACTTCTCGTTGACCTTGCCGTCGGGACGGCCCAAGTGGGACATGAGGATAACGGCCTTGGCGCCATTGTCGACGGCGTACTTGATGGTAGGGACGGCACCGGCGATACGCTGGTTGTTGGTGATGTTCTTGTCGGCGTCGAGAGGGACGTTGAAGTCGACNCTGTAGGGCATCAGTAAAGCTGAGAATTGGAGGCTTGGTGCCCGACAGCAACATACACGGATCAAGACACGCTTGCCCTTGAGGTCGACGTCGGAGATGGAAAGCTTGTTGGAGAGCGACATTGTGACTGAATTGATGTGTTAGACAGTTTGGTGTGAGAGATGGCAGCACGGGAAGACGTACAGAGTTATATACAACAGTGCTGGATGGAGTGTTGTGGTGTGAGGGGCTTGAATCTTTCCCCAACAGCTTTCGCCGGCCGGGACGAGGGGCAGCTTCAGAAATCTGCGTCACGTCCGATGTGCTTCCGAGATTCTGACCATGCCCTCTCGTGTTTTGCAAGCACTCTACCCACCAAGGACACGCCGTTTCTGTCTCGAATTGCCATGAATCACCTGCTTCACTTCACAGAGCACCACAAGCCCTCCTCTTCAGGCCTAAGATCTTCTCAATCGGTGTGTTATTCAAGATGCCTCGCACTAATCACTTGTTTATCGATCGGCCCGTAAAGTCGCCAAAACGCCAGCCTTTCCCGCTCTATGATGCATGAAGATGATCAACACATTCTCTCTGCCTGCTCCTTGTAAATCGCTTTCTATGCTTCCTCGGCCGAGTTGGTCAGGGAAAGGTAAGCGGTCCATGCGATACCAATAGTAGACACGAACGGNCTGTGAATCGTTAGCCATCAATCTTTCCCTCCGGATTGGATATCACTTACAATCTGGAACTGACGCGGCATCAATCTGAAGTTGATCAACTGCACAGCAGGCCAGACCAAGTAGTTGGCCTTGAGCGAGGGAATGTAGATATCCTGGAACTTCTTCTGAATCTCCTTGCGACCACCTCCCTCTGCAACTGTCATGAAGGTGAAGAAGGCTCCGAGACCGACGGGTGCGAAGAGGAGTTGGTCAAAGGCCGTTCTCTTGGCTGCTGCGCTGGTGCCAGCTCCCTTTGCAAGAGGGAAGATGCGGTTGAGGAAGCCGAACCACTTGTGCTGGATTGGGGCCATGATAAAACCGTATGCCATGAATCTTGTCAATCTNGCCCAGCTTATCAGCACTTTCGAACCTTTGTGTCTTGCTCTTGATTCTTCGTACCTCTCAAAGTCGAATGGTGGAGGCAGGACCTTGGAGTCGGGGATGAGCTCCTCCTCAGAGATTCTACGGTCGACCTCATGGATTTCGATGGCCAATCTGTCGGAATTGGGGTCGGGGCCGCCAGGTTTGCGAACGGCGCGTTCTCGGACTGCTGTAAGAGACTGGGCGACAGTGTCGGCTACACCACCAAGCACCNNTGGAGGAGAAGTCAGAGACGCATCTTAGCGAATGGCCATGGACAGACTTACGGCGTTGGTGACCATAGTCGTGAGCACTNNGATATCCGGGTCAGCGCACGTTCGCAAAACTCGTCGCAATAGGTCAATCATACCTGGCCTCGCAGCATAGTAGCTGTTGAACTTGGATACCAGGAAGGAAACCATGATTAACTCGGTGATGAATACTAAGGTGTGTAGGAGAGGCNNTGTCGCGAGCACAAACAGGTCAGCTTCACGGCTGTATAGGTGAGGCAACGACCGAGTGAAACTCACATAGCGCCCGTAAATATATCTCGAGTTCAAATTCCACAGGACCTGCCTGCGTATGCTTTTGAAAGAAGGCATTATCGAATGAAGGAAAATGTGAATGACGCCCGCACTCTTCTGGGGGCTCTGACGTCGATTCGAAGCCGTCGATCGGGATCAGGTTGTCAGGGTCAGCTGCAGTGGGGCTCGCGCGAGTGGACGTCTTATCGTCAAAGAGGCTCTCGGCGCTTTGTGTCTGTACTGCGGTGCTCAACGGATGCTGTCAAAGTAGGAGGCTGGAAATGTTATAGCTATTGGCGAAACTGGCCATGTCGAAGGATGGGTCTAGGTCTGTCTCCATCCAGCCGTCGTCGGTCGCCATCGATCAGCACCCTGCGTCCCGCGCCTGTTTTGGTGGCCGGCCGTGGCATCCGAGAGGAGCAGTTGCCGCGAAGCTTTCAATCCTCCGAACTGTCTGTCAGCCAATGCCCGCCTTGTCTCGAAGCAGTTTCACCCATGTCGTGGACTTTGTAACACATCTTCAACGACAGACAGCATATTGTGACGAGTCAATCTCTCCATTATTGTAATATTTTTCAGAGCCAGTGCTAGCAAATGACTTCTCTGTCTCTCAGAACTCCATGTGGCACGCTTTCAGCGAGCGGTAATGCACAAGATGGGCAATAGCGAATGTAGCAACATAACTCCTGCTGGCCGACCCATGCTGAGATTTTGTCCCCCTTCGACCCATTGTCGATTTGTAACGCCTGTCGCAAAAGAACAGCTTCAATAATCCAATGCTCCCCACGGATACTATAGTATCGCTTAATGCATGTATCGTCGTGATTTCGAAAATCATGCTCCTTGACGCTTCTTCGTTCACAGAACTCGTTTCATCCTTCTGTTTCGTGATCATGTATGTTGTTCGATCAAGGCGTTTGACACAGCTCCAGGTCTAGGTTGCCTTGTTGGCGGCGGCAATCTTCTCATACAGCGTCCGGAGCTTCTGACCTGATGTGCGTTTCTCGACATTCTTAGCCTGCGGCCACCATGTCTCGGCAAGATAATCCCTGTTGGTTGTCAGCATGTGTCGTCGATGATGATGACGGTTCAAAACCTACCATAGTTTGTCCTCTACCGTCTTCCCCTTCTCGACCGCCTTCTGTTTAAAGAACTTGCCAGCTGTCTGCAGTGACTCCTTCAGACTGTTTGCGCGCTCCTTGTCGTCTGGAATGTGGCTTTTGGTGGCCTTTCTGATACGACCCAGACAGTCACGAATGGGCTCAACAACACGCCTCATATGGTCCTCAGATGCTGGACGGTCTCCGTTGGGGGCAGCCAGAGGAGAACCAGCATGACGGGGCAGCTTCCTGGTTTCAGAGTCACGGTGGTGTCTGTTCCTATCAACACGCTCGGCTCCGCCGGGCGATGCTCTGTGGCCAACGTTGTTAGATGATTGACGACGGTCTGAAGAGCCACGGTGGTCGTTGTGGAGACGCGAGCGGTAGGAGTCCTCGCGATTCATCTTACGAGCCGCGCCAGGAGCTGGACTTGCCGACACACTTGTAGGACGACGACTGCTAGATGCGAGAGCTTTCTTGTTGTTACGGTGATGGTTTTCAAGTGCTCTCTTGGCTGCAAGATTGGTACCGTTGCTGGTCTTGTCTTTGAGAACACTGAGGAGGTAGTTTGCACGTCTCACAAGATGGACGGCACCTGGCGACTTGGCGTTCTTCTCATCAGCCTTGGTTCGTTCCTCTTTGGTGCCCACACGGTGCTCCTCAAGGTAGAACTTGTCGCCCATACCAAGATCGGCATCATCGCGAATGGCCACCCAAGCACCGTAACCGTGTTTTGCGATACCGATACACAGCATGCCATCCTCGCGAGCTCCCCAGGGGCAGGTGTAGTGAGCAGGCTTGGAGGCTTCTGGAATGCGGAAAGTGCGCCAGTTGTCACCCAGCTGCTTCTCGACATCCCGAAGCATACGCATCTCCAGAGGACGCTCAGTCAGGGTCTCGGCGTTCAAGCGTTTGACACCCTTGAAATCGAACAGAACGGCCTTCTTGTCTTTCTTGGTGATGGGCTTGTTAGTCTCACGCTCAAGGGCCAAGACACGGTCCTGCTCTTCCTGGAGAAGTCTCTTGCTGATGCCTACGACTTCATCAAGAGTGCCTTTGAGAAGGTCAACGTTACGACCGACAAGTCTTGCTTCTTTGATGATCTCAGTCTGGCGTTCCTCAATCGAACCATACTTTTCGTAAGCGCGGATCAAGTTGCGGATGTCCTTCTCGCTCATTGGACGTTCAGGGTCTGCACCAGCATTGGACTCATTGTCAGACTCGATATCAGCGGCTGCTTGAGCAGCAAGGTCTCGGGCTCTCTTCTTGGCGGCACGTTGTTCCCTGGCATCGTCTTCCCTGGACTTTCGCTTTGCGTTTCTGGGTTGATTCTCTTCGATGACAGATTCAAGATACTGCGCTTCGTCTTTTGCTTTCTCTTCAGCCTTGATGGCTTCCAGGTGCTCTTTGGGAATGATATCATCCCATTCCAGGTCAAGCTTGACATCAGTATACTCGAAACTCTTCAAGAAGTCTGCGCCTCCGCTTGCTGTAATGCCACCACCAGCCTGTTCGGTTTGGTGGATTTCAGCATTCTCAAGAACAGCATCAATATCGAGTTCTTCAAGCTTCCTCTGGTTGCCCGACTGCTCGAACATTTTTTGTCCGCGACGCTTGAGAATACGAGAAAGGTCGTCATGCGCAACTGGCTCAGCGGTCGAGACACCGGCAGAATCAAGCTTGGTTCGTAGAGCCTTGGCTTCTTTCTCTGTCATTGCTTGGTGAATGGTGATGTGTTCCAAGATGAGCTTGTTACGAGCGCGCTCCAAGACCTCTTCCTCGACAGTGTCTTTCGACACAAAACGGTAGATTGTGACAGGGTTCTTCTGACCGATGCGGTGAGCACGCGCCATGGCTTGGAGATCCGCTTGAGGGTTCCAATCCGAATCGAAGAGAATGACCGTGTCGGCCGTCATAAGGTTAATGCCGAGACCACCAGCACGAGTGGAAAGGATGAAACAGAAATCTTTGCTGTCAGGAGCATTGAAGTGGTCGATTGCCTGACGTCTTGGGCCAGCTGCGATTGTACCATCAAGACGCTGGTATTGATGTCCACGAAGGTGCAGATAGTCGCCGACAATATCAAGCATCTTGACCATTTGACTGAAGATGAGAACACGGTGACCATCGGCCTTCAGTCTGGTCAGAAGACGGTCTAGGAGCATCATCTTTCCACTGCTCGTCACGAGAGCCTTGAGCTGATCTTCTCTGCCGGTCTTGCCCTCGAGAATGCGATCCTCAGCGTTGGGGAACATGAATGGATGGTTACTGGCTTTCTTGAGTTCCATCATGATGTTGAGTAACGACTGCTTTTGTCCCTTTGTGCCGGAGTTCAGAGCCGCATAGTTGCGGGTGAGGATGTTCTTGTAGTACTCCAGTTGGACATCTGACAATTCGACTCGGATGATTTTCTCAGTCTTGCCTGGCAGATCGCTGGTAACATTCTCTTTGACACGACGAATCATATATGGTGAAATGGCTTTCATCAGCTCATCGAGGGCTTGTCTCGTGGCTTCAGAATCATCGATCGGAATGTCATCATTGATGTTGATCAAGCCCGGCATGAGGAAGTCCATAAGGGCAGACAGCTCCTTGAGCTCGTTCTGCAGAGGCGTACCCGTGATGAGCAGGCGACTTGGGGCGCCAAAGTCCATGAGCTTGACATAGAGTTGTGAATCTCGGTTCTTCAACCGATGTGCCTCGTCTACAGCCATAAACTGCCACTTCATCTGAGATAAGAAGGCCGAGTCGAGTAGAATGTATTCGTAAGTCGTGAGCATGACGTTGAACTTTGTCTTCCGCGGGTTGCCATCTACAAGGAGTTCATGCTCGCGGAGAATCTTGCGAGAGGCCTCGTTGCCGTTGTAAACAATGTAGTTGATGTCCGGCGTCCAGTTGTTAAATGTGTCGGCCCAAGCAGGCATAGTGGACAGTGGCACGACAACCAAGAAGGGGCCTTCTTGACGACGATCATGAATGAGCCAACTCATGAAAGAGACTGACTGAACCGTCTTGCCCAGACCCATCTCGTCTGCAAGGATGACATTGTTGCCCTTACACCAGTTGTGTGCAAGAAAGTTTATACCTGCCAATTGGAAATCTCTCAACTGACCAAACTTGACGTAATCGGGTTGTGTACGGAAAGGCTTGTACGGCGAGCGGGTAGCCAAGTTCGACTCGCGTTTGTCAGAGGTAGGTAGTCGAGACGAGCGGTCGAGGTAGCGGTCAATCTCGTTTTGAGCCAGCTCACTGACGAGAGATTCTGGTTCCCATGTGCAGGTGTCGTAGGGAAGAGACTTCCACTTGACATAGTACTCTCTGCCGTCATTACCGACTTGTTCTCCGATGACTCTTTCAACCTTCATGTAGTCGTCTAGAGCATCAAGGTATGTCTCACGGTCGAGTGTGTACTTTTCCCGCTCTTCAGGGGCAACATCAGGGTCTTGAGCCAAGAAGTGTTCGGCCTCGACGACTTTGCGGTAGTAGTTTTCGAGACGGCGGAAGCCACGGACGGAAGTGAGCTCAGTCCAAGGCTCCCATGTAGCATGGTAATGTGCTTTTCCCTGCCATTTGATCNNTGAGAGGATGTCAGCAGAGCCAAGTTATGATTGACGTAATATACTGACGAAAAATTCGTAGTCGTTCTTTTCGGGATACTCGGTGTCTGCGGAGCGATGTTGTCAGCGCGTGCTCCAGAGGCATCGAGTCACAAGTGCACAAACCTTTNNGCCTTCGCCAACTCTGTGGTTGAGCACAATGTCTATGCCAGGAGAGTTGTCTTCGGCAGTGACCCAGTAGTTGGGTGTCATGTTCTCCGTGTCCTCCTCGCTAAAATCGTCGCCATCCTCTTCATTGTAGGTCGTAACTTTGCCGGCTTGGCGTGTAGAGAAACGAAGGTCGCCCGCAAGCCCTGAGGCAGAGCGAGATGAGGCTCCTTGCAACCTACGGCGGTGCTTCTTTGCGAATTCTCGACCTCGTGCGCCACCATAAGTATCGCTGTCTGAGCCGGACTCGGAGTCAGACCGACGGACTGAGGCNTAAAAGCGCGTCAGGGTCAGTAAAAACAGGAGATATACGTCAAGGATAGAGGTACCATTGCGAGAAGTGGCCGGCCGTAAGCGTTTGCGGGCTCGGCCGGGGTTGACGTCTGATCCAGAGTCATTGTCGCCTTGCTCTTCATCACTGCTTTCGATCTAGAGATGAGGGTCAGTATCATACGCGCTATCAGAACGCATAGTGAGACACACGATTCGGCGAGTTGGGCGGGCACGACCNCTGGAGCATGTCAGCAAGAGCAAGATGAGCAGGACGACAGCTCGACTCACACTTCGGCGGAGGCCATATAACTCTGGGTTTTCTTGCATGTATTGGTCATCGTCTACATCGGGCTCGGCCTTGCGCTTGCGGGGCACCGACGAGCCATCTGAGGAGACGCTGCTATGGCGGGAGTCGACGCTGGCTCTTGAGGGAGGTGATGGAGCGTCATAATCGCCATCATCAGAACCATCGGCATCTTCATCTTCATCCGACCGAGGACTTGCGACATCGTGCATGACATGGTCTGCGGACTCGGGGACGGCTTGGTCGGGGATGTCATTGACATCTGAGAGTTCGCTTTCGCTACGGGATGGTTTGGTGTGCAGAGTCGCGTAAGTCGGCTCATCAACGGGCGACAAATGGCCGTTCTCAAAAGACATGGTGGAAGAAGGTATGTGGGTGGGTAGCAGATATGTCTGGCCGGCTGCATAGAGTGAGCAGTCAGCAAGATTGCTCAAGACACAAGCGTCGGACGGAGTGGTGAGCTGGAGGGAGTGAGCGCCTGGTCTAGGCGACCGGTTTCCCCCAAAGATGGTGCGGTAGGTCTTGTAGAAGGCTTTGAAGATGGATCAAGATGATATCTTGATGGAATAGATCGAGGGTGGACGCGAGTCTTGGATGATGAGTTGACGCGATGTAGGCCGTAGGGTAGGCAGTAGAGACGTTGTAGACGCGAAACGACGGCGGGAGAAGGCAGACGACGTGGTCCGAAGGTGATTCGAGCGACACAGGCGACGGGAGACTCGCGATATCGAATGGTATAGGCGATCGGCTCCAGAGATGAAAGAAGTGCCAAGACTAGTCTTGCTCACGCAAGGTGTGGGAAAAGCGACAGAAAAGAGAAGATGAGCTTACCGGCCATGTGAGACCATGTCCAGACGGTGCGAGTGGGGATTTGGTCAAGTGGGTGGTATGGTGCAGGTGATGTCGTGGTGACTTCTTGCTTGAGATTGAACGACGCTCCGACGGACGAGTGAGTAGCGACTGCCCGCTCTGCCTGCGGCTTCACGCCCAACAGCCAATCAGAGCGTCGGGGATAAGCTTTGGGCAGCACATTGTTCCGCCAGACTTCGCTCCTGCCACTTCGCGCCGCCTTTGTGTCTTCACTCTGCGTTTGACGACCTCGTTTGGCATTCACCGTCTCGCTGCCCGCTGTCAGCTCAACCGACACTCCATAACCGCCCAACATGTCGGACAAGTTGACTCGGTATGTCTCTGCGCTCGCTCCTGCGCGCTCGGGAGAAAAAATCTGGTAAATTCAATTTCTAACCTGATGTCTGTAGTATTGCTATTGTCAACAGCGACAAGGTGAGTTTGCTGCTTTCCCTGCCTTGAAATTCCCTTACTGACAACTGCTCTAGTGCAAACCCAAGGTACGCTCCAATCGTCTCATGCGACCAACCACAAAATCCCCCTCTAACCGCCCGCAAAGAAATGTCGTCAAGAGTGCAAGAAGTCTTGCCCCGTCGTCCGTACCGGCAAGCTCTGTATTGAAGTCACCAACGAGTCCAAGATCGCTTTCATCTCCGAGCGTCTCTGTATCGGTTGCGGTATCTGCCCCAAGAAGTGTCCCTTCGATGCCATCAACATTATCAACTTGCCCACCAACCTCGAGTCGCAAGTCACCCACCGTTACTCGGCCAACAGCTTCAAGCTCCACAGACTGCCCATGCCCAGACCCGGTCAGGTCCTGGGTCTTGTTGGTGGTAACGGTACCGGAAAGTCTACTGCCCTGAAGATTCTGAGCGGCAAGCTGAAGCCCAACCTCGGCCGCTACGACAACCCTCCTGACTGGGAGGAGATTCTCAAGTACTTCCGTGGTTCTGAGCTGCAAAACTACTTCACAAAGGTTCTCGAGGACAACCTCAAGGCTGTCGTCAAGCCCCAATACGTCGACCAGATCCCCAGAGCCGTCAAGGGCGAGAACAGAACCGTTGGCTTCCTCGTCAGGCAGCGTGCCGAGGTCGATGAGGCCAGAGTCGAGGAGATCATCAAGACTCTCGAACTTGACGCCATTCTCGACCGTGACATCGATCTCCTCTCCGGTGGTGAGCTGCAACGTTTCGCCATCGCCATTGTCTGTGTGCAAAAGGCCGACGTCTACATGTTCGACGAGCCTTCATCCTTCTTGGATGTCAAGCAGCGTCTGGCCGCTGGTCGTCTGATCCGCAGTCTGCTCGGCCCTACCTCGTACGTCATTGTCGTCGAGCACGATTTGTCCATTCTCGACTACCTGTCCGACTTCATCTGCTTGCTCTACGGTAAGCCCGCCGTCTACGGTGTCGTCACCCTGCCTTCCTCGGTCCGCGAGGGTATCAACATTTTCCTCGACGGTCACATTCCCAGCGAGAACTTGCGTTTCAGAGAGGAATCTCTGCAGTTCCGTATCGGTGAAGCTGGAGAAGAGTTTTTGGTCGACCAGTCTCGCCAGTACGGCTACCCTGCCATGAACAAGACACAGCCCGCTTCTGGTTTCAAACTGAAGATTGAGCCTGGTGAGTTCACCGACTCGGAGATTCTCGTCATGATGGGTGAGAACGGTACCGGAAAGACCACCTTCTGTAGAATGCTCGCTGGTGCCGAGAAGCCTGACGGCACTAAGAGTGTCCCTCCCATGAACATCTCCATGAAGCCTCAGAAGATCACCCCCAAGTTCAAGGGTACCGTCCGTCAGCTCTTCTTCAAGAAGATCAAGGCCGCCTTCCTCAACCCTCAGTTCCAGACTGATGTCTACAAGCCTCTGAAGATGGACGACTTTATCGACCAGGAAGTCCAGAACTTGTCTGGTGGTGAATTGCAGCGTGTCGCCATTGTCTTGGCCCTCGGTATCCCTGCCGACATCTACCTCATCGATGAGCCTAGTGCCTACCTGGATTCCGAGCAGCGTATCATTGCTGCCCGTGTTATCAAGCGTTTCATCATGCACTCCAAGAAGACCGCCTTTATCGTCGAGCACGATTTCATCATGGCCACCTATCTTGCCGACCGTGTCATTGTCTTTGACGGTATCCCGTCCGTTGACGCTCGCGCCAACAAGCCCGAGTCTCTCCTGACTGGTTGCAACAAGTTCTTGAAGAACTTGGACGTCACCTTCAGACGTGATCCCAACTCGTACCGTCCCCGTATCAACAAGCTCGACTCCCAGCTTGACCAGGAACAGAAGAACGGTGGAAACTACGTAAGTCTTATTCCCGTGCTTTTCTTTGCAATTCGCAACATACTGACATTAATGATAGTTCTTCATGGAAGAAGAGTCTTGAAAGGAGTTTTCCTAAACTCTCAACACTGGCCCCCTTTGCGCCCGGCGAAAGGTTCCTCACGCGCCGCTCTGCTCCGACGCAACCGCTCCTATCGCCGCCGCATGCAGTGCTCGCGATCAGGTGCGGTTGAGGAGATGGATCATGCGGGAGTGAGTGATCGGGATGAGGACGAGGGGGGCACGCGAGCAGGCCATGGCGCTCTGGTTGATTACTCGCGCCGATTGCAGCTGAACAGAACCTTGGACAAACCACTCTCAAGTCATGAGTATATCACTTGAGCAACAAGCAAGGAGCGGCACAAGGGAACCATGGAGCGCCATTTACATTACCATGACATTTTGATGAACCAAGCTACGGGCATGAGGAGCATAAAAAGTAGAAACAAGGAATCACAAAAGTTTGACCTTTTCACTTTGAATTTTCATTTTATTCTTCTTGATACATGGAACTATCGTTAGGAGAGCAGCAGTGTTGCACGTAACGCACCTGTGGCATTGACGGAGAAAAGAGCAGAGGAATCACAAAGGGGGTGTAGTGGAAATCTGCCTTGGAAACTAGCATGTCATCCTTTCGAGAAAGAAGAACGTACCGCATGCAAGAAAGAGCCCCCGTGTTTCCCAAAATGCAAAGCCGCCTCGTTCTTGGCCAGAACGAATGTCTAGACCTCTTCAATCTCGCCCTCTTCACTGCCAGACTGCAGCGCGGGCTCGTCGTTTCCTGCAGCCGAGGGAGCGGGAGTCACGGAACCACCGTTGCGGGAAGAGTGCTCACCGACACGAGGGCGCTTGGCCTGTCTCTTTGCATCGCCGTCGCCATTGCTGGCCGCAGATCTCTTGTTGCTGTTGTTTCCGCCCGAAGTGCTCTCAGGCTTGGGGCTGTCTCCGCCGTCGCCGTAGTCGAGTTCGCTGGCCTTTGTGCGTGGGTCGGCACGACTAATGTACGATCGCTCACGTTCGGCCTCGCGTTCTCGTCTTTCGCGGTCGTAGATGGAGAGACTGACTTGTCGTTCTCTTCTCGGGTCACCGACGTCTCGCTCGTAGCGGTCGTCGCGAGCTCTTGGGCGTTCGCGAGGTGGTGGTGACAACCCGCTGATGCTCGAATGGCGGTACTGACGCTCACGTTCGGTTGCAGCACGGCGGCGGTCGGCTTCGTAAGCGTCGACCTCGCGAGAAGGAGGCGATCGGCTACGACGGCGGTCACGGTCTCGGCGTCTGTCGCGGTCTCTTTCGCGTTCTCTGTCATGACGGCGTAGACGCTCTCGCTCGGCCGCGTCTTCCTTGAGTCTGTTCATGAATTTGTCATAGGCGAGTTGGCGGTCCTCGTCGCTGGTCACGGCCTTGTATTCTTCGCTGCGCTCAACACGTGGACGCACCTGCTCCCATGTGTCCCCGATCAGAACTGGGGGTTCTAAATGCTTGATGCGCGAACGCAATGCATCGACAGCCTTGCGCTGTTGGCGTTTGGCGTCACGCTCAATGTCCTCTTCCCTGTCGAGGGCGTTTCTATGCAGTCTTTTGTATACCTCTTCCAAGAGGTGTGGGTTCATGGCCGAAATGCGTCGGTCGTGTCTGATAGCGTGCAAGAATTCTTCAAGAGTGGTCGAGGGCGTGAAGCGGAAATGTTCTTCTTTGAGGGTAGCTTCAACTGCAGGACGGATGTCATGAACCTCCTTGTCAAAGTCGTCCAGGAAGTCGAAGAAAATGTCCTGGGGNGTAGAACCATCGGTAACACGGTCCTTGTGACCTAGATTGTCCATCAACTTGACGTAGCGAGGCTCGTTCTCAATCAATGGGTAAACTTCTTTCCACATGGTACCAGGCTTGATGGTCTCTGCTTCTCTGAGCTCGGCCAGCAGAGCAGCAAAACCCTCTCTTGCCTTGCGCTGCTCGCGAGCCTTGAGCTGAGCTGCACGTTGCTTCTCGGTGTGTGCGTCGTTCCATAGTCTACGCATATAGCGGTCGAAGATTTGCAAGGGCTCGGAAGGTGACAGAATCTTGTACTTGGGGTCTTCCTGGAAGATAGGGTGTGAGTGCAGACGTTCACGTGTGTCCATCCACTGCGATTTGGCATTGAGATCGAGGTTCTGCAAGATGTCGGCAACGCCTGTCATTGCAGCATCGTAGTCACGCTGGCGCTTGTCTTCGGCGGCCTTTCTGAGATCGATAAGGTATTCGTCGAACATGCGGCGCTTCTCGTCTTCATTGTCAGTAGCACGGAAGACGGCTTCGTTTTCCAACATGGGGCGGGCAGTCTTCCAGCGCGTATAGTGCTTGATCTCGGGGTGTGTTTGCAGCATAGAGCGGAAGTCTGAGCGCAACTTCTTGATACGCTCCTTCTCGCGCTCCTGATCTTCGCGCACGACATCATCGAGGTACTTCTCAAAGGCGGCCTTTCTTTCATTAGGTTCCTTGATGGCGCGGTATTGAGGGTCCTGGATAGTGGCACGCATGGCGCGCTCCCACGACCAGCCAGGTTGAACACCAGATTTCCTCAGCAGCTTGGTGAAAGCTGCCTCTGCTTCCTCGCGGGTACCATATTCGGGGCCGGTAGCGGCAACGGCGATGGGGCCACGGTAGTTGCTCTCTTCGCGGCGGTCGTGGAAGGGCCTGCTCTCTCTGGGACCTCTCTGCTCGCGAGCGGGAGGGTGAGCCTGGAAGCTAGACGATACGAATTGCGGAGCCTCTGGGACAGGAGCAGCAGGAGTTTCCCAGCCAGGTGGAGGGGTCCATGATGTCTTTGTCTTGTCGTCCTTGCGGAAAAAGTAGACTCTACCTCCTTCGGCTGTGGTTTGCGCCCATCCAGTAGCTTTCTGTTCACAAGCCTGTCAGTTCTTATTTCTTGCGACCTTCGCAGCGTGGCTTACCTGAGCCGGAGTCAAAAGATCATCGGGCACTGTGTACGTGTTGATGTTGGCGGCGCGGTTGTAGTAGTACGGCTTGTTTGTCTTGTTGTCGAGTAGGACCTGCCATGCCGGATGACTCTGGAGGGCGCTCATGGTGCGCGATAGCAATTGGTCGAAGTGACTTGTCTTTGTTCTTTCTTTCTCGAACAAAGCGCGCGCTGGAAAGTCCAAAGCTTCAGTCGGCCGGCACTTGCCGCTTTCGGCCTGGGACTCCTATCACTGTGCATGACATGGTCCGACATCAATACACTGTGAATGCTTCCACGTTCTTGTAGTTATTCGAGCATTCACTCTGTGAGTCGTTTCAGTGTCAAGAGACTTGCCGGATTGCACATGGACAGGGTTCAATGACAACATCTACCGCTGCATCACGGCCAATGATGTCCTTTCCTGATGCTTCCTCTCTCGATCTCCTAATCCCAGAATCATCCGACTTTGATTTCGAAGCACATCTGAAGACTGGTGAACAACTTGTATCTAGAGATACCTTGCTTTTCGGTACGTAGACAATCCCTTGTTTCGATTTTGGGCTTTCTTGTTAATGCCGTCCAGAGGAATTGTTGCCTGTATATCTTATTCTCCGCAGTTCATTACCATTCTTTCAAAAGGTATTAGACAATGTCGAACTACACGTAGCCGCATACGCCACTCAGCCTTCACCACCTCCTCGCCAACAGCAGGGTGGCGCCCCGGCTCCTCCACAACAACCCGTTAAGTTGGCTTTGGACTCGGTCACTATTACGCCAGAGAACAAACCAATCTTAGTTCGTCTTCCTGACGATGGAGAAGAACCATACGCTGTCTGGAAGACGACTGTCTACCTTCGCTACCCACCTCAGAAACTTCACCGACCGTCCATCCATATTACAGCGTCTGTTGTCTCGAAACCTGCTGGAACACCAACGCTATCCCAAACTACATCCCAGGATGAATATATGACTAGTGCATTACCGACTTCCGAGAACCTCCTTCAGTCTTTGCAGCACAACTCACAAAATGCTTCGAGTCAACCATATCTTCCATCTTCTCGCATTCATAAGGTGGCACCTTGCGCAACACCTACAGCCCAGGAAACTCGTCCCCTAAGAACTTCGTCAAAGCTCTTTGCCGTCTCTCCAGCTTTGGCGGTCAAGGTCCATATTACTCCCGAGCAAGTCTCGGACATACTGCTCTGTCTAGATCTGGAGTCAGCACGTCATGCCGGACATGGCGGAATACATGTGAATGAGATCAAGGCAGAAGGAACCGGGCTCAACGTGGGGCCATTTTCTGCTGATTTGGCTGCTTTGGATCTACCAACCACCTTACATACCGGAGACAGGAGCACTTTTCTGTACAAATTGGCGCGAGACAACGACACGGCTCAAAGTCCAACCCACCATCTGAGTAGGCCGACCAGTGTCACATTCCAGATTCGCGCTGTTGCTCGGATTAGCAGCACATGTAGCGCTCAGATCCAGGCTCGCTGGCACGGCAATGTAAACTTTCCATCCCTCCAGCCGACGAAACCCATGCTACCACGACCTCAAAGCGTAGCATCGACTCTGCCACCCCAGGATCCCAATCCACGGCCGTTGAGTAAGCGTTTCAGCACAACAACGACTCGACCCCTGAGCGGTATGGCGCAGGTCGACTCTGCAGGCGTGACCTTTGCATTCACAGCCCCAGATCAAGTCGAAGAGGGCGAAACGTTTCATCTCGATGTGTTTGTGGTGAACCGCAGCAGCAGGAAGAAGAGACTCGCCATTATAGCCATCCCAAAGTCTGCCAAGTCTGCTCAATCGCATCATGCCCTGCGTTTCCCTAACATTTCGCGACAAGACAGCCATCATACTGCTGAAGCGGTGCTGGATGATCGCACGATGTACAACATGCAGGATCAACGCGAGGCTCACGTGGCAGAAGTCGTGTGTCTCAATGCTGATGTGCGGGTTGGGTGAGTCCACTATTCCACATGCTCCACATTCTGAACTAATAGTCTTCTAGTCNCTCTTCCGCCTGGTGCTTGTCACAATGTGCAGCTGGAATTCTTGACACTTTCAACAGGATTGGTTGGTCTTGCTGCAGTGCATGTCGTAGATCTTGAAACCAGGGAGACGACGCAGATTACAGAGCTGCCTGATATCATGGTCTCCAAATAGTTGGGTTTGCTAGCAGGTGTGATCCTAAAGTGCCATGATGTATATACTACTCGATCAAGGCACACTCTACAGAGCGCAACCAAAGACTATGATGAGCCGAGCTTGTAGCCGAGATATTAGTGAATCTGAAATCCAAACGAAAGCTACTCAATACGTTCCAAAACCCGTCCCTGCAGGCTTGCTCCACCCGACCAACCAACTACTCAGAGGTAGCTTTGAGCTCTGTGAAAACGTCATAAAACGCTGAAAGATCTTCAGCACCTTCCAGTCGCCTGCCGTTGATCTCAAAAGTCGGCACGGAAGTCACTCCCTCATCCCTAGCACGCTGTGCCTCCTCATCAACTTCTCTACCACCATCATCACCTTCTAACCACGCCACAACCTCCCCTTCCCCAATCCCAACAGCAATAGCAGCTTTCCACAAATCATCACGAGAACTCACATCAGCATCTCCCTCAAAATGCACGCGAAACATCTCTTTTGCCAGTGCCATCTGGACAGCCTCGCCTTTTAGACCCGCAAGATACATGAGTCTATGAGAATCTCTCGTGTTGCCGACTTTGCCAGCAAAGCTAAAGTCAACACCGTGAGCTTTGCCTGTACGTTCTAATCGCAGCTTGATTCCTTCTGCGCGGTCGGCTCCGTTTTTCTGTGTTATTCTTGTTGATGCGAGGATGCCTGGGATTGGAGCGTTGGGATCGAGGTAAAATGGCGACCAGGTTATGTGGAAGATGTCTTTGGAGCCATCGGGGTAAGTGCATTGGTAGAGGTCGATTGCTTTCTCCAGAGTTTTGAGACCTATGTAGCANCTGGTAGTGCTCTGTCAGTGCGAGGTCTTGGATGGATCGGATGGGGAAGAATGTACCCAGGGGCATACGGTGTCGGAATAGATTTTGACGTTGAATTGCATTTTAACGAGAAGCTTTCGATGGCTCTGACAGGCTACACAAACAATACGGGACCTCCTTGGAGTTTATGTGCGTGTGTGGTTAGAAAGTATTGACGAATGGACTTCAGGAATACGTCGTTTGTTCCCAAGACCAGACGCGTAATTCTGCTGCCTGAACAACACAGCAGCCACAAAACGACCGCATAGATCAAACGTCTGCTTTGAGTCCAACGAACTTTCGTGATCAGCTTGTATCATTGAAGTGTCAGTACCTTCTATGGCCAGTCCTATAACACTCAAACGCAAAAGGAAAAAGAAAAGGAAAAGGAATGCAGCGAGTAGGACTCGAACCCACGATCTCCTCTGACACTGTGTAACTAGCACCGCAAGGTCGTCAATTTTACACCAGTCAAGCTTGTTTTTGCAAGACATGTTTTGCAAAGGCGTCTTGACCGCTAGACCGTCGCCGCTAATGATGATTCCGAATACGATTGAATGAGCTATATAGTCAATGAGTAAGCTGGGAAGTAAGAAAGGAGAATCGAAAGGAGGAGCCTGAGGGAAGGAGTGAAGTGTGGCTATTGTCCTGAAGAATCTCGTCCACTGTTTCCTCTTTTGGGTAACTTTGAAATCATTCCCTCTCGTCTAGCAGCTGAGAATGCTAGACCAAGTCATTTCCATCTGCGTCGATCTCGCCCAAACACCACCTCATTCTCTGTTCCTCGTCGAGTACGGTCATGTTGGAGATCAAAGTATTGAGACCTCCGAGGACGTTATTTATGCCCTCCCACTCACAGCGTTGGTCGAGTATCACAACTCCACGTGCTGGCTCGTCTTGAGCATAGAAGAATGCCCGATCCATAACCAAGCTGCGTAAATCAGAACACTCTCTCAGCAGATTCCTGATCTTGTGGACGAAAGGCCAAGCGCTGTTTTTTCCGTCAAGATACCAGCGTCTTTTGCTAGTAATGCGGACGTCGACGAGTGTCAGCTTGAGTAACTTGAGTCCTCCCAGCTTCCAGATGAGCCAGAACAAGGTCTATACTGTAAGGGCGCACGATTCTAGGTGTACCTCGCCCAGCTTCTTACCCTCGATCAAAGTGGTGAGTTTGCTGAAGATGGAGGGAACAAAGAAAGAAGTCCTGCCAGTACCATAAACGTAGCCAAAGACCTCTGTGGTAGTGTCTGCGGCAGGGAAAGCTTCTAGGTTGACGTCCTGTTCACTGAATTTGACTGTGGTGCCATGATATTTCATTGCCAGATGCCCAGAGCCGGTTCTGCTGAGACGGCAATCGTATTCAAGCCCTATCTTCCAGCAGATGTCCAAGTCATGCCGCAGCTTGGACAAATTTTGCACGCTTTCGTCCGAGCAGACTTCAAAGAGCCTCATTTCCAAACCATCAGCGCCGTACACAGGGGTCACTGCGAAATCCAGTTCAAGAGGGAAGAGAGGGAACCCCGCTTGGTGTGCTGCTTTCTGGAGTACCTGGAAGACCTGATCCTGTTCGGGGCTCCAGTGATCGTCAGTGAATACAGTAACAGGATCAAGACCTTTCCAGTAGTCGTCGAATCCGTAGGCTTTGCGAGAAATTGGGTGCTTGGTATTTCTGCGAATTACATCGTCGAAGAGTCCAATTGTTACTCGCTGGCCATGTTTCTTGATGTTTGACAAAGCCTGCTCCAGGAGCTCAGAGAAATTCTTGAAACTGGACGATGTTTTGGAAGAGGTCTCGAGGGCTTGCTGGAAATTAAGTGCAGGATAACCGAAAGCAGATCTCATGATGAGCTCATGTTTGAACAGGCGCTCGTCTTTGGGTGCCCGTTCACCTTTGTTTCCAAGCCACTCAAAACTATCGGCAGTGAGTGCATGCGTATTGAGAAGGACTTTTCGGACACAAGAACCTTCAACGGAAGACTTTAGCAGTAAGAACTATCATACCGTGCAGCGAGAACTTACCGAAGTCAGGATGAGCAGTGAGATCTACCAAGCCCTTAAGGCTGAACTCAGTCATCATGAAGCGACGTTGAGCAAGACATCTCTCCCCAAAAGGCTTGAGAGCAATGTCGTTGAGTTCTTTGGACACCAAGCGGAGATTGGGCAAACACGCGTCCTCGGCGTTGTTGATAATCATTTTCTTGAGTTCAGTCGGTAAACCAGTGAAGGTGGGTGAATCAAGAGTTGATCTATCACCGTTCGAGATCAATGGTGCTGGATCAGAGGAAGCCATGTTGTGCTGGATTGGCGCAGGTTGCTTCTCGGTCTTGTTTTTGGACGTTGGCATACTGAACTTGAATGCTGAGAGAAGAGGCGGAGTAGTGTGAGATTGGATGTTTGTCGACAATCAAAAGCGCGGAAATGTGGATGATGGTAGCGCACCAAAATTCTGGTGGCAGAAAGAGCGTCTCTTGATTGAGTAGCCTGTTAAGATGGATCGTGTGTCAGGAGGCGCAATGGACATGTAGGACGGCTGCATGATGGGACCTACAATCCGGATGGTTACAGAGAAGCCAGCTTCGAGTCCCAATGATGTGGAGCGCGTCTGGCAGAGTGAAAGGATGAAGTAAAAAGGTGACAGTGGTCTGAGAGAAGAAAACGGAAGCGGTAAACAAACTCCGGACTCGATACCGTAAGAAATTGAACGCGGGTGATGTGAGAGGGGTGATGAGTGAAAGCTCCAATGTTTCAAAGTGATGAGAATGAGTTCCAGTCACAGCACTCGCGCTTGATATGAAATCGGACGAGAAGCAAAATCGATAGCCTACCACACGCTCGACCATGCCACTACCGCTGACTCTATTGTTCTCTAAGCTTAATCTACAAGATCTCGACTCCGTAAACACTCGGAGAGGTCTTCCTCTATACAACAAAGTTATGTAAGAACCGCTAACTTCTACAAGCTTTCATGAACAAACGCTAATCTTGACACATCAACATCGACAAGAAGATACTGTGAAAGAGATATACATGAGGAAGTGCCGAGATCACAAGTACTTCTTGGGAGCATTTGCTCTGCGTCTCTTGTATATGATATAGGCACCGGCGAGCATGACCTGGAAGGCAATGACAACGAATATGAACATGCCCATCTTAGGAGCTGCGGTCGAGATCACTNNGAGGAAGAACGTTAGAATCATGTATTTGAAAAGATGGCATTGCATAGACTTACTATGAGAGATGGTCTCAGGGAGATGCTCGGTCAAGCCTCCACGAACACCCTCAATAGACTGCTGTAGATTTGTCAAGTGCTCGCGGTAGTCCTTACCTTCGACATCACGTTGGACGGCGAGCACAATGCGCTCAATGTTCTCAACACGACGGCTCAGGGGAAGCAGGGCATCGCTAGTAGGCTGTTGCGACTTGTCACTAGAATCGCCAGCGTTGGTACCAGCAACCTTGGACATCAATTCAGCGTGGTGGTCGTTCATCTGGCGAGACACACGCTCGAACTCGCCAAACAAGTTTGCGATCTGGTGGTTCATTGCTTGGAGACGGTTGTGAAGATCGGCGAACTGGTGGACCTGGTCCAGGATAGTGCTAGCATCGGCATCGGGAAGAGATTCGGGAGAACCAGGGAACTTGTCGAGCTTCTCGAGATGTTGACGTTTGGCTTCAGTGTTGGGCTCCTCGCGGGCGATGGAGGTTGTGGTGGATGCGGCAAACTTGTAGACTTCAAAGGAATCGGGATTCTCGGAGGCAGCGGCAGAGACACCAAAGAAGTAACCCGGAGGAAGGTTGACCTTCTCGCTGTGGAAGCAGGGTGTGCCGTCGATATCGACACGGAGGCCATGAGGACCGTTCTCGATGCGTAGCTTGCTGGGACGGCCCAGATTACGGTATGCGTAGTCGCAGTGACCAAAAGCCAGGCTGTCGACGTTGTGGTGGTCCTTGAAGTTGGCTGAGCCGTCGTTAAGGAAACCACGGATAGAGCCTCCACGGGGACCATACTGGTCGACGACGAGTGCAAGACCATCAAACTTGCCAACGGTGTATATACTGCTCTGACCGACGGCGGAACGGCCAGTGTCGACGAACCAGAAGTTCAGGTTACCACTGCCACGCTCTTGACCCGAAGCACGGAACTCGGTCTCGACAACCCACTCGGGCTGGGTAATGGGGTTATCAGCAAAGATGGCGCCTCGTGTACCGCCGGGAGCTGGAGGAGTAAGGATGATGCGATCCGAGAGTAGTTGGGGAGTGTGGTTCTCTCCGGAGAGGTGCCAACCAGGGACGGCACGACCATTTGGTGAGATGGCGCCCTTGTGGCCGAAGGAGAGGCCTTCGATAACATAAGACGCTTGTGCTGAGGCGCTGAGGAGCAGCCATGCTAGCGAGGAAGGTGACAGACGGGCCATCATCATGAGGCACGAGACGTCGAGGGACGGAAGGTGCGAAGCAGCGAAACAGAGACCAAGCCAATGGTGACGACAAGAACCAGCTTGTTGACCTCCTTGAAGATGCTGACGACGTTGGGCGAGCAGTCGAGGTAGTGCTGGATGGTCAGACCGCCTTTGTGGGTTGCGTCGAGGGCGAAGTTTTCCATGGTTGCGTCTTGGTCGCTCTGGCCAGTTCGCGCGAACATGAAGCTACCCAATTACCCCGGATTGATCGTCATCGCCCGTTTCAGACCGCTGCCGCGCCAAGCCCATCCCGCTGAGGAAAAGTTCAGCGTGAGGAAGTTGCAGGACGACCCATTCGCATCGTCCATCTTGCCACTTTCATTTCCGTTTTCTGATATAATCTCATCATGGCTGACGATCTAGAGGTAGACCAGCATTCTCCCGTTTTTTGCACTCCAATACTCATCTCCCGCAGGCACGTCTTGAAAGTCACGCTCAGGCGTTCGAGGGTCTTCTTTCTCTGATCCCCGCCAACGAATACTATTCCAAGGACAACAGCGTATGTCCACGAACCTAGTCATATACCCAGCGGCTCCTGCTCACAATCTTCTCTGCAGGACCAATGGCAGCGCAAGAAGCAGACAAAAGAGCAGAAGCGCCAAGCGAAGCGCGCAAAACTCGACCCTGCAAACCAAAAATCCGCAAAGGATGTCATGGATGAGAACGAGCGCAAGAGAAAGCGAGAGTTGGGAATCGACGACGACGATGAGGAATCCTCTGCACAAATCGATTTGCCTGCCGGCAAGGACCAACCCGCGAAGAAGCAAAAGGTCGATGAAGAGGATGATGATGACGAGGAGGACAGCGATGACGGCGCCGACGCTACTTCGAGCACCAAGAAGTTACAAGCAGAGAAGAGAAAGGAGAAGCGCCGTCTGAAGAAGGAAAAGGCCGACAAGCAAAAGGCAAAGCTGGACGCTAAGAAGGCCGCCCGCAAGCAGGAACCTCAATCCGCTGCCGGCGCTGAAGAGTCTGCCGATGAGGACATGCAAGACGCCGGAGACGTATCTGCCGACGAGGCTGCCGACGATGCCATGGACTTCTCTGGTCTGGTCGACAACGATGAGACATCAACGCCAGCAAGCCCTGACCAAACTGAGGTCTTCGACAACTCCACAAACCAATCTGCCGCATCCTCAACATCATCAATAGTCCCCGCCTCAAATCCCACGGAAGGAGAAGCATCTGCCACTGCGAAGCCTAAGAAGGCACTTGCTCTTAAGCTACCAGAGGTCAACGCCGAAGAGCTGCAAGCCCGCCTGAAGGCTCGTATTGAAGCCCTACGCGCTCAGCGCAAGGCTGATGGTCCCACTGGCGGTCCCCGCAACAGACAGGAACTGCTCGAGTCGCGTCGCAAGAAGGAGGAAGCTCGCAAGCAGCACAAGAAGGAGTTGCGCTTGAAGGCCAAGGAAGAAGAGGAGCGTCTCAACAACGAGCGCCTGCGTGGTAGCGGTAGTCCCCTAGCTACTCCTGACATCTTCTCACCGCGCCCCGTAGACGAGAATAACTTCTCCTTCGGCCGTGTCGCATTCGACGACGAAGAGACTGACCCCACACTTGGCTCTATCGCTGCACACAAGAAGAAGAAGGGTCCCTCAGATGTCAAGACCGCCCTGGCCGCTGCCGAAAGGAAAGCCCAGCGACTCGCCGGCATGGACGAGGACAAGCGCAAGGAGATTGAAGAGAAGGACATGTGGCTCAACGCAAAGAAGCGCGCACACGGCGAACGCGTCAAGGACGACCAATCCCTCCTCAAAAAGACCCTGAAGCGCAAGACAGACCAAAAGACAAAGAGCGCAACACAATGGAACGAGCGCCTCGACAACGTCAAGAAGGGCAAGGAAATGAAGGACAAGAAGAGAACCGAGAACCTGGCCAAGAGAGCCGCCGAAAAGGGCTCCAAGAAGGGTGGCAAGAAGGGAGCCAGCGGTGGTGCAAAGAAGAAGGCAAGACCCGGCTTTGAAGGCAAAGGGTTCAAGGCTTGATCTTTCCTTTTGATGTTTTGTCTTGTTTTTCTTCTACTAACATTAGCGGAATCATGGTTTTTTGCGAAAAAGGGGGTTCTGTTTTGGTTTGGTTGGGCGATTCCTACGGTATGGCAGAAAGGGTTCTGTCCGCACAAAATTGCTTGATACCTCCTTAGTTGTTTCATTGATATTGTTAACAACACTTCTCAGCACATTGAGCACAAGAGCACAAGAGCACACACTCATATCCACATAGTTCAAGGTACGTATGTGTCAAGTCTGGCATTCCGAGTGTCTCCATCGTATATCTCCCACCTTCGATTCACCATCATCATCCTCAAGTGCCACTTCCCAGCTCTCTCACCTCTACCAGAGCCTTGTCCTAAAATCTACGTCTTCCATATCTGGAAACTGCCATGCTTCTCTCGCATATCCTGCTCCCTCTGCCGCCTCTATGACTTTACAGATGTAGATGTCTCTTCATCGTCATCGTTGCTGTTGACTATGATGGCGGTATGTAAAGTTGTGGTACCATCGAGATCAGAGTTGTGGTTAGAGGTGTGATTAACAGGCTCAAATCTTACACTTTGCCGTTTGGCGAGTACCCTTTGTTCTTGCCGTAGTTGTTGTTTGGCAAGTCTGGTGCCATACCACTGTGGACGTGTTTCTTGGTTTGTTGTTGGAGAGGAGATATCGCGAATGTCGATTGCACACGACTTGAGTAAGATTGGTTTGGTGGTATTCATGTCGTTTGATGTGGTCGGAGTGGTGATTGACGAGTCACTAGATCTAGATGTGTGTTTGATGTTGGTTTCCATATCGGAGTTGATGTTTGTGTGGAAGCTGGGTATCCCTGAGGCTTCATAGGTATACTTGATATTCGAGTTATCCAATTTTGCCGCGACGAAATTTGTGCCTCCTGATGTTGCGGAGAGCAAAGTCTGGTACTTTTGCAGGTATCCACACACAACCTGAGATGAAAGTTCTGAACTTATCGAAGACGTTGAATGTAAGAGATGTCTTCTCTCGTTGTTCTTGTGAAGGCCTTTTCAATCGCTTAACGTAGATGAAGTAAAATGGAGGTCAGATGGATTTCATCTCTTCGTGGACAGGCAGTCAAGACTCACATAGCCAGGAAGCTCCCTCGATGACTCTCATCGCGTGGCACGAGGTTTCTTTTCTTCTGTCGATTCGTCTCTCATTCGGGTTTTGCCTTAGGCAGCAAGGCATACTCGACATTCGGTATACGTTATTGGTAAGAAACTTGTGACTTCAGAATGTGGTTTGATATGTACATTTCATATAGACTCTATGCTCATTTATTCAGCTGACCGCCACATCGCAATGCAGTTCATCCTCGCGTCCCAGAGTTAATTTGTGTCTCAAGACTCCCACTCTTTCCGTTGTAGTCCCTTGAAGATCGTGCCTCTACACTGTTTCCTTTTCATCGTCATCGTTCTTCGTACATGATCACGTACAAACGCGCTCAGTTCCTCCTCTTTCTTTTGTCTTCTCTTCTCAGACTCGGACTCTGAGCTAGAGACATCCTGCTCAGACATGTTCTGCTCAGACACATCCTGCTCTGGTCTGTCGAACTCATCGGGGAGTTCGGCACACCATGTGTTGTATTTTGAAAATCTTGTAAGAGCCAGTTGTTCAAGATCTATTTGTCTCTTGGCGCGTTCTCTGAATTCTGAACTTGAGGGCTTTGGGTAGCAGTCGCTTTTGAGCAGGTAGACTTCGCGCGTGCATCTTCGCTTGATGATGGTTATAATTGCTGGATCATCTGGCAAGGGTCTCTTCAGAATACTGCGGATGGGTTTGGCTGTGTCTAAACCCGATCCAGCAGGTATGTCTTGGAATGTCAAAGTCCCCTGATATGAACATTTTGATGGTTGTCCGCAACTGTTGCGAGGCTGAGAAGGTGTAGCTTCCATGTGCTTTTCTGGGGTTCGGTTTGAAGCCTTAGACTTGGACTCGCGCAGGCAGGATGCGATCTCGGTGATAATCGCTTTGTGCTGGCGATCCACCTCGGTCAGCGAGGCTTTGTATATCCGATGCACCTCGGTAAGCGTGGCCTTGTAGTGGCGGACTTGTCCCTCGAGGTCCTTGATGGTAGCAGTGTGTTTGTGGAGTACCTCGGCGACTGCGGCTTTGAGTGCTTCGATGTCGTCGATTGCCTGGGCTTGCGTCGACAACGTTTTCAGATGTGCTTTCGAGATTTTCTCAGATAGGCAGTGGTTGTACATCCGCTCTTGCTCATGTCTCCTGCGCAGGATACGGTGTTGACGCTGTTCCTTTGCCAGTCGCTCTTCGAGCTCTTTCGTCTCGGTCAGTCTTTTGTTGATGATTTCGTTCTTGTCCTTGAGGGTTTTCTTGAGCAGCGTGTTTTTGCGAAGCTCGCTGTCCAGGGCTTCATACATCTCGGTCGGATAGCCAAAGTGGACGCATCGTGGGGCGCCAGAGTTTCTTGCCAGGGTCCGCTCGGACTTGCTCTTTGCATACTCTAAGGCCTCAACGAATCTCTTGTTCTGGCGCTTCTCTGGGAGTGTGTCGTTGAAGAGGTACAAGTTGGCCATCGTATGATCGTTGATAGCAGCCATCATGAAGATGCGTACTTGATGTTTGAGTTTTGTTCTGATGAAGACTGTCCTGATGAAGTCTTGTTCTGATGAAGTCTCGTTCTGATGAAGTCTCGTTCTGATGAATTCTTGCCCTGATGAAGTCTTGTTCTTGGTAGATAGTAGAAGAGTCAGAGATTCTGTCGTTCAAATTTAGCAGAGAATTATTCATTTGTGCAAACCAATCTGTATGACTGGAATAGCTGCGCTGGTATGCGTGAGTTTTGTTGTTGCATGTCCATGTGTCTCAGTTATGAGCCTATCATCCTGAATATTGCCGGGAACATCGCCAGCCGGTATACAAGGTAAACATTGCCAGTACAATCGCTGCACTGGTTAGAGAGAGATCTTGAGAGCGAAGAACGACTGGGTAGAAGCCAGTGGTCTCTCTCGTAGCAGCTGCTCATCCTGAATCTAGGCGGCGTACATATATATAAGGAGGGCAAATCGTTCACATTAGCACGTATCTTCACAACGGATCGTCGGCTTGAATTCATAGACAATCCTGTATCCTGCTCGAGAATCTGAGATGATAAGTGTTCCATGTCAAGAAGATGAGTTATATTCATATCAAAAGAATTGGTTGGATCAGAAGTCGCCATACAGCCCAGCAACCGAAGTCTCGCCTTAAAGCCTCCCGAGCTCATTATTTCTTCCCTCCCTCGGACAAGAAAAAGAAAAAAGACCCGCGCGTCTCAGCCCCACGCATCGCGGCACGCGCACAGTCCACCCTCAAGTCTCTGCAGCAAAATTGTCTGACCAACTTTCAGCAGAAAAACTCGGTGGAAACCATGCTAAAGATGATCAAAAAGAATTACGATCCTGGCAATGGGCGGAATCGAACCGCCGTCGGGTCGGCGTTGCTGGACTTTAACCTCCACAACGACACATGCTACCACTACACCACATCACCTTAGCTTGTAAGGATTGAACCTGGTTGGCCAGATTCAGGATCTTGAAGAATCGGGTGTTGAGCAATTATATAAAGCTAATGCATCAAATCACTATTACCCACTGCATAGCGTAAGAGCAGCAAGACGTTCGGTTAGTTGAATTGCGCGGAGTCATCTTTTAACATGGGTAGATGGCAAAGAATGAATGAATGTGCAAGATAAACATGAATTGCAGTATTTCAAATCCACTAAACAATATTACGACGCTACCTCTCCTGCGAATTCTGTATTCGCATTGCGTCCTCTAAAGGGTATCTCTCCTCTGAATATTCATAAACAACATATAATCCAACTCTTGTGTGGCTCTCCAACCATGTCATCGAGTCTATCGAGACATTATTCAAGCAGTCACAGGCTCGACTTTTTCAGTCCAGCTGGCCTTCTCGATGAGTGGTGGGGGCTTGGGAGTGTTCTTCTGGAACAAGAGGTGGCGTTTGACGAACCAAGGCAACCAGGTGCCGGTTTCGTACCTGAGGAAGTCTCTTGTGGGAACCGAGAAGACTTGGTCGATTTCCTCCAGGGTGAGTTGCTTGGTCTCGCGGACAAAGCAGAAGATCATGCCCCAAGCGATCAGGTTGAGGCCGGCGTAGAAACCAAAGGCACCGGTTTGGGTCATGACGGATGACATACGAGGGAATGTCAAACTGAGGATTCCAGCTATAACGAGTGTTAGTCAAGACATTTACTTTTTCTGAAGATCTCACGACTTACCGAAGGTGTTGTTGATGCAGACAGCCCATGCCATTCCCTGCTCACGCTGGATGGTGGGGAAGACCTCGGCCGAGTACTGGAATGCCACAGGGCCTTCTCCCAAAGAGTACATGATGGTGAAGAGGTAGACGAACAAGATAACGGGTCCAACTCTGGCAGATTTTCCAACACTTTCAGGTTGCAACAGCGACAAGCCTGCCGCTAGCAAGAAGATGCACATGAGAGGGAATGTGATCAGACACAGCTTTCTTCGACCTTGGGTATCGATCATGAAGAGCGTAGGAATCGTGAAAACAACTTGAATGGCACCGTAGCCGAGAGAAGCGTACAAAGCCTGGTCAGATGTGTACTTGGCGTTGGTGAAAATGGTGGAGCTGTAGAACGAGATGACNTGCAGGATGTCAGATTCGCGAACAAAAAGTCACAATGACGTTGACCTACTGTTGATACCACACATCTGCTGAGCAAGCATAACAGTCGAGGCACCATAGTTGGCTCTACGAATGCGAGGTACAGTGAAACAGTCCCTGAGACGAGTGAAGTAGGTCGAACCCTGGGCAACCTTGAGCTCCTCCACGTAGATAACGTAGGAGTAGTAGTAGTCTCTTGCGCCGATGATGGGGTGTGCACGCAACTTGGCCATGGACTCGAAGCCCTTTGCTATTTTGCCGTGCTTCATCAACCANCTGCGTTGAGTCAGTATGTTTGTTCGAAATCTTTGGACACAGAAAACACTGACTCTGGGAGATTCTGGACAGAAGTAAATACCACACATAAGGATAAAAGATGGGATAAATGCAGATCCGAGTTGGAGACGCCATGCGATGCGAGGGACATCCTTGACGATAACGTTTGCGCAGAATCCAAGGAAAATACCTNNAAGAAGAATGATCAGTATCAAGTATCCAAAGTATCTCGTAAGTTCCACGATCTTACCAATGACAACCCAAAGCTGCCAGAACATGACAAGAGCGCCACGGATGCGAGCAGGTGCCATCTCAGCAGAGTAAATTGGGACGGTAGCGTTCTTTGCACCAATGCCAATACCCATGACGAAACGAGCAGCGAAGAGACCATGCCATGATTGTGCAAACCCGGAACCGATAGGAGTGGCGGTAAGACAGGCAGCGGTGAGGAAGATTTCACCTCTACGGCCGAGGTATTTGTTCAGAGGGTCGACGATGAAGGCACCANNCTACAAATTATCAGTTATGCGATGAGACTCAGGATGTCGCCACACTCACATGAGACCAGCAGTCAAGAAAATGATAGAGTTGATGAGACCAACGATCCACTCGCCCCTTGCGGTTCCAGTGAGGCCAAATTCTTCAGGGAAAGACAAGTTGGCTCCGTTTGAACCGGTTTGATCCCAGCCCTGTGTAGCAGCACCGATGGCACAAAGACCAATTGAGAACCAGAGCATCTTAGGTCCATGCCATTTGTGGTCTCTTTCGTAGATGAGTGCTGCACGCTCTTCCTCTGTAAGGTCGGGGATTGACTCGAAGTTCTGGGGATCGCGAGCGACAAGAGCGGCTCTGCCGAAGAGAGCTGCATGGTCGGCCATGCCGTTCGATTCAGCGAATGTCCTGGCATCGTGGACGGTAGTCTCCTTGTTGCCGCGCNNTGTTGATGTAATCAGCTTCAATTCTGAGAATTTCGCGAGATCGAGGAATGCATAGCTGCGTACTCTCAGAGGGTTGTCAACAATGTTGAGGGCGACAGAAGCCTGGCGGGCAGGAGCTTCATCATGAATTGTCTGCTCTTTGTGGGAAGCATAGTCGTCCTTGCGCGAAGCGTAGTCGACATCGCCGAATGTTGTCTTTTCAGTCATCTTTGCTGCCTCTCCTCAGTAGGGAAAATGATTGGCAGGCGGGGATTGCTGGGGAAGTGTCTGGAGAAAGAGTGGACCGTGGAGAGAGGTGGGGGATGAGGAACCAATAAATATCAGAAACCCCTCGAGCGTTGAAGGATTCGCCTGATCATCCCACAGGACAGCGATGATCCTTTTACCGCTTCTAGAGGCTACTAGCAAGGGTATCCACAATCTCACATGTTGTAGAGGAGTCACGAGGTCTGGTACGATGTGGATCTGAGCCGCCTACCAATCTGTGGTTGCATTCTGCAAGTCGAGGTGGATTCTGCCTTGGCGACCATTGGCCAAGGGTGACTGTCAACAGGGTTTAAGCACACAGGAACCATCGCCCAGGAGAGCTTTGGAGTGACAAGCTCCCTAGAGTGGGGTTCGTTAAGAGGACGGTATGCTACTTAGCCTGAGACAGCTTTTCCAGTGCCAGAAGTCACCTTGATTTGTCTTCATAGACACGCATCTCTCATGCGCATATAAAAAATTCTTGACAGCCAAAAGATACATGGATACCGATTTCGCCAGACAACGCATACTAAGCTAGCATTCCGGGCGCCGTGCGGAGAATGTGAGGGATGATGCCGTGGCGCTATCGGCGGAAAAGAATGTGGATGCAGGTAGACGCCAAGTTCAAGCCTCCCTTGTCGGGTTGCGTTTGCGGCAATATCGGCCGGTATGTCTCGATAGCTCTCACAGCGGCTCGGCCAGGGATAGGTACACCGTACGGCCTCATTTCCTCGGACGTTTAGTCGACGGGTTGATGAAGCTGTCCCGCGGTCCGTGTTTTAGGTCAGTAAACCCGTTTTCGAGCTCCGAATAGCAAAGAGTTTCCGAGGTGTGTCGCTTCGTTTGGTTCGGCGTGTCCGCTCGAAACTTTCATGGTGTGGCGATCCCTAAAACGCCGCGAACGCCCCCATGGGCGGGTAGTGGGGTGGTAAGGTTCGATAGGCACAATGTCCATCAGATTGACCGTGTTGACCATGGAAGGCAACTCTCTAGTGCTGAAGGCAACGAGATGCACCAGCCTTTTGTGCCAAAGCTCAAGCGGAGAAATCGACATGTGAATACGGGGTAAGCAACGACCACGACTCGAAATCCTACTTGATAGACAACACCGAGTCTGACGCTACTCGAATACATCGTTGGACAATCATGGTGCTGGGTGGTCTACTGTATCTCTTGGCCAGTCCATCATTTACGGCATTGAGCGAATGCGATTCAGTGTTTGGAGAGAAAGTGTCTCTGTCTGGTCAACATGTGTGGTCGCGTGTTCCAGACTTGATGCGCAGATCAATACATGGTGACTACTTTCCCTCGCTGTTTCTTTCTTGCTTGCGAAGACTGTTGCATCTGGGTCTGGAACACTTCTTTGATCAGCGGAACAAGTCTCAAAGAGCTCCAGCAATGGTGTCGTGCATTGAATATCGCTGATGGCTGGACCAGGGTCATACGCACAGCAAGAAATACGAGCAATACAAACCCTCAGCCTTTTTCTCACTCAAGTCACAGCACGCAATGACCATGGTTCACGTACTGTTTAAGTCTTGATGAGACTGGCAAGTACAGCCTACGGACTGGGACGGACAGAAACAGGCAAGATTAAGCGTGTCTCAAGGTACACCGTAGCATAGCCTTGCCTTGAAGACGAACAGAATCGACAGAAAGCAACACACGACAACCAGTTTATAGCGTAGAATTTACACGGACGTCGACAACGATGAATACGAAGTTGATGGGAAAGTTCGAACATGCTTGTTTCATTACTTTGTGGTCATGCTGTTATATCGTAGCTGATTTTGGCTCTTTCTGGCCTCTCCTCAGGCTTAATTTACATAAGTTGCTAGCTTATTGGCTGCTTGAGCGCCCTATGAGATTGTCAGTATGATTGCAGATGGCTGGGATAGTCTTGATGACTTACACTGCTGGAGCTCTGACTCGTCCAAGTATCTGAGCTTGTTGACCTGAGCAGTCTCGCCGGTAGCAACGCCCTTGGCGAACTCGACGAAATTGCCGAGAGCACCGGTAGCTGATCTGGTGATAGCATACTGGGCAGTCTTGGCCTTGACCTTGATGAGGATGATTCTGGGGTCCTCAGGGCCACCGTCGTGCTTGCCGTCACCGAGGTCACCCAACCAGGCCTTGAGGCCAGGAGAGTAGTACTTGCGCACCTTCTCGCGGTCGGTCTCGATGGATGCGATACCAGAGATGGAGGCCCACTCGCCAGAGGGCTGGAGGAAGGCCAGGTTGATGTCGTTATCTGACTCGAGGTCGTCGGTCTTGCCCGACTCGCTGTTGGCGTGGAAGATGAGGTCGACACCGTTACCCTCCTTGGCAGCGAGGGCCATGCAGCGCGAGACGAGAAGTCCACTGCTGGCAATGCGAGTGGTCATCATGCAGAACTTCGACTTGTCGACGAAGCTGATGAGATCGCCGACCTTCTCATTGAGCTCAGGCTGCTCCTTGTTCTTGGCAGTGTAGGGGTCGGCGGTCTTGTTGCCGGTGTCTGCGTTGCTGAAAGACATGTTTGCGGATGTGGTTGAGAAGGGTTGGTAGTGAGATTGGAGTGTTCTGCTGGGACGAACAGAGGTGAGCAAAGGTGCTCTACGGACAACGCGGGGTAGCTGACGGCGGAGAGGGGCGATCAAGGACATGGTATGGAGGGTGTTGTTGCGTAGAGGACGAGATGAGAGTGAATTGAAAGGGCGACTTACCAAAAAAACAACAGATGAAGGATGGAAAAGAAAGAAGAGAAAGAGACAACAGTGAAGGTAGAAAACAATGATGCGCTCCTTCCTGCCCGCTCTCCACGATGACATCACTGAAATCCACATGTCGTGCATCGGCATGGCGAGCTGAGCTTTCGGCAACGATCGATCACCAGGGGTCCATCAAAAGCGCTTGTCGTCGGCTTTCATAGAGCCTTGTTTTGTTCATGATTGTATTCGTGATATTAACCTACCTACACACACGAGGTTGATCCAGATTTTAAGGTCTCTCTCTAGTCTAACTTAGTGGCAACGAGCTTGAGGATCTCCTCGATACCCAACTTGGCATTCTCAGAAGCCTTTGCTATGCTCTGCCAAACCTCTCCGTGCTTGGGCTCAGTGAGCACGCATTTGTTGATAGTCTCCTCCTGCTTCTCTTCCGTGCCGTGTTGTCGTAAGAACTTCAAGTACCATGCCCACGAGTCGCCGATATCTGGATCTAGGACAATTGCTTTCTCGAACCAGGTCACTGCCTTGTCTAGTCTGCGCTCGCCCCAGAAGACACGTGCAGCTGTGACATACAAGATAGGATCGCTATCGTTCTTCTTGATAGCTTCCAGCGTTCGGGGCTTGCGTTGAGTGCGGGCCTCGAGATGCCAGATCCTCTCACTCCACAGCAATCCACTGGTAGGACATTCTTGCAGTGCTTGCGCCATCTTCTGGTTGGCTGCAGCATTGTTCCCAGCACGTCTCTCGAGTCGTACTGACTCGGTCCAGAGTTCGGGGTTCTTTGGCACTGCAAGACGTGCTCGGTCGAGAATACTGCGTGCTTTGACAATTATACCTGCCTTTTCATCTGTACGGGCTGCAAGCAGCCATAATGGTACACTTTGTGGGCACGCTCGGGTTCCTGTGTTGAAGGCCTCACGTGCTTGCGCAAGCATACCTTTATTATCATAGATCTGGCCCTTTTGCATCCAGAGCTTGGCAGCTTTAGGATAGAGCTGTAGACCTTGGTTGACAAGGTCGAGAGCAGCCTCTCTGTCGCCTTGCTGCCTCTCGAAAGCAACACTCTTGATCCAGACTCTGTCAGTACCTGCCTCTTGACGCGCTGTCCTGAGGAGCTCGCGCGCTTGACCGACTTCTCCATTGTCTGCTTCGAGCTTTACGGCTGCCAGCCAGATATCTTCGTTTCCAGGTTGTTGTTGGAAGGCTTTACCCAAGACTCTACGAGCCTCATCGATATCTCCTGCATTCCACCTCTCTCTGGCGAGTTGCATCCACAGCACCTCGTTGGAAGGTACAGCTTCTACAGCCTTCTCCAACAAGGAAACAAGCGACTCTTTGGTGCCGTGGTTGCGTTCCATGTCCCCTGCGGCCAACCAGATGATACTGCTGTTAGGGAATACACGTATCGCATAGGCGTAGATGGAGCGGGCTGTTTGGTAGCGACCTCTGACCATAGACGATTTTGCATCGTCCATCCAGATTTTCTTACGGTCATCATCCTCGTCCAGTCCCCATCCCAGAGTATGTTCAACGATAGCCTTGCAAGTGAGGTTTGCGCCTTCTTCCTCACAATTCTCGGCCACTTCGATCCATCGCTCACGCTCTAGCATAGCCGACTCGCGTGCCAAAGACTTTACAGCGCGATCCATGATCTTCCCGACCATCTGTTCGGCACCAATCTGCTCTTGTAGTCGAGCGGCAGCTACCCAAATCTCCCAAGAGGTTGGGATTGCCTTTCTTGCTTTGTTCAGAACGACTTGCGCATTTTCGGGAGTCTCCAGTCGAGCGAGAGCTAGCCATAAGTCCACAGACAGCGGAATCAACTCGGTAGCTTTCGCAAGCAAAAGTCGGGCATCTGCTGGGTCTTCTTCAAGGTTGACAGCCTCCTTCCAGATTGCAACAGATTGAGGGACATGATCCAAGGCTTGTCTTAGAACTCGCTTCTTGTTTGACATTATGGTTTCCAGCTTCATTGCTTCCACCCAGAGACGCACCGAACGGTCGTTATATTTGAGAGCTTCCTTGGCGATAATTTTGGCGTTGTGGTTCTCATTCAGGCGCATGGATTCCAGCCAGACATCTTCGGACTTTGGACAGAATTCTACTGCTTGAGCTAGCAGATTTCGCGCGGCGACAATCTTTCCGGCAAATTCTTCCAGACGAGCTGCAGCAATCCATCCCGGGCCGTGCTTTTTGTTGGTGTTGATGACAGATCTGAGCAGCTCACGCGCTCTTGCAACATCGGCGACGGGAATTTCGCTAGCCTTGACTTCGGACTTGGTCAAAGAGGTCAGGTAACCTCTCGGGTCGATGCTCGTGGCAGTTCCAGAAGCGGCGTCGCCTTGGGCGGCCTGATCCAGACGAACTTGCAACACCTTGTCCCTTGCAGCTCCAATGTGAGCGAAATTGGTCATGGCACCCTCCAGGTTGTCTGCGGCAGCACTCGTTTGAGCCCCCTCATCGTTGACAGTCGTGTCGAACTGCGTCGAGTCCCTTGCACCGGCCAAGACACTGTCCGGGACGGCGTAGAATCTCTCGCGCAAGTTGGCCTTTGCTCTGCGGTTCTTGCCTGTCAAGTCTCCAACTTCGGGGATATTTTGCCAGTCTTCGTCGGTGAGGCCTCCGAGCTCTCTCTTCAAGTCGGCAAACTGCTGTTGGATCTTGGGGTTGTTGCGCTCGTATTCTTCTCTCTCTTTTCGTTCGCGTTCTTCGCGTCTGACTCTCCGTCTCTTGTCCATCTTTGCGTCTACCTCGGCGTAGATCTTGTCGGCCTCGTCATCCTCGCGATCGTAGTTTCCGCTAGCGAATAGGCCAGTCTCGTTCTCGGGGTCTTGGAAGCGTTCATCGTCGTCATCGTCGTCCTCTTTCTTTCCAGGAACTCCGTATGCTGTCGGCGGCGCGTTTCCAAGCTGGGCGGCACGTTTGGCAAGAGCTTCCTTGATCTGCTCTTCACTGGGTCCTTCACGCGCGGGTCCTTGAGAACAAATCAGAGTCGTGAACGGATCGTGTCTAAATTGTGAGTACATACCAAGATCTGAGCGGGTTGTGAATCCTGTCGCACCTCTACCCAAGCCGGCCACGTAGTTCTCAGGCGCCGGCTGGCTTAGAAAANNGTCCTTGCGACCGGACATGTTTGTATAGTTGTTGGTGGAATATCAGGGTCGCACGCGAGAAAGAAAGTTGGCGGCAGGCAATCGCAACGGACTTTATAGACGCTCGGACCACTCGAGGCAGACGTGGAGCTTGAGCAGGCCTTTGCTCGGTATCCGTCACTCTCCAGGTTTTCCATTGTAACCCATGTCGTCTTCTTTCGTGTTTAAAAAGATGGAACTGAGATCCGCTGCTATAGGATCACATATACGAAAGGTAACAATCGTGGTGAACAAAATGCAGACATGCCATGCATCTCGGGCCGACTCAGGCATAGCAGAAGCGTGGAGCTCTGGCCGAGGGCGCTTGCCCAAGTGACAGGCACCAAATCACACTTCTCAAAGCCGGATGGTGGGAACTTGGACTCGTTTCTTGCATCGAAGAGTCCCACGATCTGACTCGCTCGACCAAGATCCGTAGTGTAGAGTGGCCAAGACAAGTGGACGCCCGCTCTCAACGGTGGCCAGCTCGAATAGGCTTCCAGGTACATGGGTCGAGAAGGCCGACCTCGCGTTCCATTCTACATATCCAATTCTGCCAAAATCATCACTGTCGCTGACGTCGAATTGAGCTCGTAATCACCGCTGGCAGTGTTGCCATTTGTCGCGTCTTACACCATACTGGAATAATCTGATCAGTGTCTCCGTTGTTGTCGCCTCTATTCACCATGGCGCATCATGATCCGCGCGACTCGCGCGACATCCCCGGACTGCCCTTTCAAGGTGATCAGGCATTCATGCTGCCTCCCATCCGACGCGCCAGAGTACCCGAGCGGGAGAAGCGAACCTATAGGGCCTGTCTGCATTGCCGCCAACGAAAAAGTCGCTGCGACCTGTAGGTGCTATCAGTTTTCCTAATCAGTCGCCGTCGTCTTGGACTATCAGGAGGGTCGTCAAGGTTCAAGCCACCAATCTTCCTCAATCATGATCCTCGTTGGCAAGAAGCCTGCTCAAAATCCGATCCTGACATGACTTTCAGATATGGCAGTGGCGAGCCGGGAAAACCACCTTGTGAGCGATGTATAAGAGAAGATCATGAATGCATTCTCGGCCCATCTCATCGTGGCGGCCGAAGGATCAAACGCAGCGCTACAGAGTCCGAGCAACCAGAGAATGGTCTTTCTCGCAATGCTTCTTCGAGCGAGGATATTGGCCAGTCGTCTGTTCTTCCTGTGCAACATGTGCCGCATGTGCAACAAGAGAATACTCGCGAAGAAAGGGACGAAAATTATCACAGACGGCTTCCATCATGGCCGCAATATACGCCAGGTTCGAGGAGTACACCGGCATCTGCTCCAGAGGCACCGACCTCCCACCCCAGTATCAAGATGACTGTCGACGAAAGCATCGTCTCGACCAACCTGCAAAACCCATCTGACGCCCTTGAGTTCCTAGCTAACGTGGCTGGTCGCAATAACGAAGGAGCAGCACAAACACCCTCCGCACATGGTTCCATGTACGCGAGGTCTCCACATCAGAGTGGTGCAGAACAGCATGCACAAGACAGGACACCTTCGTCTAACCATCCTTCGCCATCAGTCATGCAAATACAGTTTCCACCGTACCAGAAGGGTCATGTCTCTTTAGGCATGATGCATGCACTGATAGAAAGGTAAGCTTCGCCCATGATATAGTGTGGAATTTGACACTCACAATATTCGCCANGATACAAAATGAAGTACCACCAGTTCTACTCAGTTGTGCCGCCTTTCATGTTTGAGGCAGATAATCTTGCAGCGAATTCGGTACATGAGCCATACCTACTGGCCGCTGTATGCACCATTGCTTCCAAGGACGAGCCATCATGGTGGGATACCCACGAAGCCTGTTCAACTCACATGCAGCAGCTCATTGCCGAACTCATGTATGGTGGTATCGCCACTCTCGGTGCTGTAGAGGCGCTGCTAGTACTGGCCGAATGGGTCCCAAGGCCGCCCCAATCAATGACTGCAGTTGGTCGAGGAGAAGAAGAGCAGACTGCGTGGATGCTTTCGGGCATGGCCATTCGAATGGGCTATCTTCTAGGCATCGATCGCACGGGTTTTGTGAACGAATCTGACCCTGGAGCACCGGATTACATTCGGAAACGTCTTGCTTGGGTTGGGTGTTACATGAGCGATCGCCATATATCTGTTCGTGTCGGGAAAGCCTTCTGGAGCAGAGGCCCGGCTATGATCAAATTCTCATCTCGAGACTTCCAGGACATCAAATACCCGGGCAACCCTATGGACAACTTTGCGGCTCTCTGTGAAGCACACTTGGAATTGACGCAGCTTTTCAGCAACGCTCACGACGTATTGTACTCCTCGAAGAACAGGAGCGCACAACTGAACTTTGGTGGGGAATATGTCAAATATATTGTGAGGATCTTGTGTATGGACGCAGAAGCGGACAAAGCTAACCTTGCATTAGNNGACGACTTCCGAGAAGCCATGAGCGCTTGGTACGACCGTTGGGGTAAACTACAATGTAAATGACCTTCAAGTCGCAGCATCTGAGCAATGGCTAACTTTCGAACCAGGCNNACTTCGGTCATCAAAGCAGCTCTCATCATATCCTTCGAATACCTTCGACTTTACGTCAATGCTTTCGCATACCAAGCAACTCTGACACGTATGGCGCAAGAGTATAGTGACGAACAATCCTCACGAGGTCCTCAACGTGCGGATGGACGGGTTGCATTTACAGACTTTATCGCCGCAACGCCAGACGCGCGATTTATCTACGATTCTATCGATTCGGCCAAGAAGTTACTGACCATCTCTAACACACTGCTTGACCCTACGACAGAGTTCAGGTACATGCCATTGCGGTATTACCTTTATGTCATCTACTCGGCTGTCTTCTTGTACAAAGCAAGATCGACCGGAGTCCTGGGTGCGGATGGCGGAGATGTGAAGAGAACCGTAGGAGAAGCTGTCGAACGACTACAGAAGGCAAGCTCATGTCAAAACGACGTCGGCGATCGGTATAGTAGGATGTTGCGGCTACTGTGGCGGAAGCCTCCTCCACAGCCATCTACTTCGCACTTGAATGGCAACGAGGCCACATATCAGACGACACAAAACGCCCAGCTCGCTGCACAGACTGAGCAACAGAATCAGATGAACATTGACCAGACACCGCAACAAGCTTACACCAATGCTTTCACTTTCTCCTGGCTAGATCTCCATGCAGTCGGCGACTTTGCGACCAACAACAATGGCAACATGATGGATAGTTACGAGAGCTTGGACGACGTCTCTCAAGAACCAGCATACGGACACTTCGATCCAAACTTTGTTCAAGGACAGCAGCAACAGATGGGCTGGAATAGCTTCTCAGCTCCGGGCATCATATTCTAGACCAACGCCCCGACGCAAGATCCTCACCATGGCAGACAGCCATAACATTCGTATTTTATATACTATAATTTGCCTGTTGATTGTTCTAAGCCGCTTCAGCCCTCTTCTCCAGCAAGCGTCTGAGTAGACCGATCTGGAGTGGGAACGGTTGACCGAGCCACGTAGCTCTTTGCGTGTGATCTCGAATATCGTCTCCAGTGTTTGGATGCAACAATGCCGACAACGGACCCCTGTTGATGACCAACCATGGAACAAAAGCACCGAACTGGGCAGGCGTGAACAAGTTGACTTCGAACATGGCGATGGGATGTGGACCAATTGGCTTGTCCCATACCCTGTATACACGTAGCTCGGGGACTNNTGCAGACAGGCGAATTAGTCCAGACTGTTTTCACGTTTGCACAAAGAAGATAATCGACTCACACTCTCTGCGGATACGCTCCCACAGCTCAATCGCAAATTTGACCTCGGAATCGATGTTTTGCTGGAAGTAAACGTGGACGTCGAAACCACCGCGTTCGTCGTTTGTAATGGGAAAGACGAAGGACTCGTATGCAGGGCTTAGACTGGCTGCTGGTGGGTTCACGTAGGACTTGCCATCTGCATTCTTCTCNGCTGTGGTAGTGTTAGAATGTCGATAGTTGGCTGTTCGGGACTGGCTAGGTACATACTCTGAGAGAGGAGGCAGGTTCTCATATCCTTCGAGAGGAGACGGATACGTGTAGATTGATGGATCTGACATGGTGGTAGGATGGACAAGGATGGCCGGAAGAAGAAAAGGCTGGTTAACGTGATTTGAGTATATGTGATTGGACAGCACAGAATATCCCAGAAGTCGGAACAGTTGACAATGTAGGAAGCAGGGTAGCTAGTTGTCTATATGTGTATCTAAACATATACCGCTGGAGATGGCCGAGTCGTCGGCGGGCGGCTTACAAAAGCCTCGGAATTGAAGCGCACTCCTGCTTTGCAAGCTTCGGGCTGAGAATTGCGCGATTGCTCCAGAATCTCGTGATGGTTTGCAATCACCGGAACGGATGGAGTGACGGTGCAGCCATCGCTCGAACCAACTCGGCACTAAGATTCGAATAGGACGCAGTCGCAGTTTGTTGTTGTAGGAGGTGGTGAAAAGTAGTGGTTGCCGAAATTGATGCACGTCATCAACTCAGCCAAAATCGCGAAGGAGGCGCGTCCGAGTCGCGACTTCCCGAGGCGCCTTTGAGCCTCCTTTGTTGCGAGAAAGTCGATAACAACACATCACATGTCGAAACAATGTCGGAAGAGCGGACGCAAGCTCTGCGTGTAGAGTTGAAGACGTGGGAGAAGCAATTTTCTGTACAACATGGCGGGAAGAGACCGAGTCGTGAGGACATCAAGAACAATGTCGAGATTGGTATGCAGAGCACGAGACCTCGAATTCATGATGTTGTACTGATGAACGACTGCANNGCTGCAAAGTACAGAGAGTATGATAGACTGAGACGGCCAGCGACAAAACAGATCGAGTCGCAACACGCCAGACCTACAAAGCCACATGATGCAACACCCAAGAAAGCTGCTCCAGCAGCAACACCACAGAAATCCAACTCGCATTTCCTCATCCCGAACATCTTAACACTACAAGACGAGGAAGTAGAACTCGAACCCACTCCTGCTGCTGTACGGATGCACCTTGGGCCCACACCACAAAAGGACGGTCACATCCTCAGTCTCTTCGATGACCTGTCGTCAACAGCCTCCAAGCCTTCCCGCACCGCTCTCGCATCCATAGAAGCAAATGCGAATTTTACCCCAAGTAAACCCTCACAACTTCTCTTTGCCGACAACGAATCGCCACCGGAGAATGTACACGACCGCACTCCTGCTTCAAGCAGCAAACGCTTCCTGCTCGACTCGTTCGTCTCGACCACACCCCTGAAGAGAAAGCGTGAGGATGAAGAACCTGCTCATGCCACACCATCGAGTGCANAGGGTCTCTCGACACCCGCCTTCTTGCGTAGGACATCCAATAAGCTCATCATGGACACTCTGGTCGAAGAAGCCGAGAACGATCATGAGATGAAGAGTATGAACATTGGCAGAATGCGGCAACCGCCCTTCAAGAAGCGTGGCATTGTCAGAAGTCTGAGCAGCATCATTCAGGGCCTGAGGAAGCAAGAAGATGACAAGCTTGACGAAGAGCTGGAGATGATGCGTGAGATGGAGGATGGTGAAGATAACCATGAATCAGCCAAACCCGCTGTCCAAGTCGAAGACAGTCAGGTGGTTATGCCATTAGGCCCTGACCAAGGCGTTGAGAGCGAAGAGTCAGAAGAGGAAGAGAGAGATACTGGTGTCTTCAGGAAGCCCTGGAAGAAGAAGGGCTTGAAACGCCAGACCAAGCGTGTCATCAGTAAGTCTAGCCTGCATCACTTGGACCCTTCAAACCATACTAACCACAATTCAGTGCGACCTGCGCCAAAGTCCAAAGCCCCAGCTGAAGCAGACCAACCCGACACGACTTCCGACAACGAAGCTAACGTTGCCGAAACACAGCTGCCTGGTGCTGCGGATGACGTCGATTCGGACGCAGATTCAGACGCAGCATACAGCGACACAGAGGCAAAGCGTAAACGGCAACTCACCAAAACCACTACTGCAGACAAAGACGACGCTGCAAAGAGCTCCAAGGGCGATGGTATTGTCAAAAAGGCAGCCAAGAAGATCAGCGCCACGGCACATGCCAACTTCAGGCGGCTCAACATCAAGAACAAGAACTCAAAAGCCAATGGCAGAGGCAGATTTGGCAAGAGGTGATGAGAGATGTATGTATTCTTGTTTGGAGTTTATGCATTGCTGAAGTTTTGCTGCTTGTGAAAAGCATTTGGCTGGTGAGTATACCCAAGGACTGATTTATGAAGCGCTGGGCATGGAAACAAGCGGGTGTTCAGGGACAGGCGATTTTGCTTTGATGGTGATTGTGTTGTAAGTAGAGAACAGAAGTAAAGAAGAAAACAAAGCCATGAGCAAAGAAGTATGGACATAATGTACTGTCAGATCACCTCTCAACCACCCCTTTTTTCCCCTCATATTTTTCTCTGTTTCTTTTTTCTTTTTCCTTGCCCTTCTTGTGTGTCGTTCAGCCACAGAGAATCTTCCCAGCCCTCGAGTCCACCAGACTACCGCCATAATCGTCAAGACCACCAATGCCCTCACGGCTCATCCCATCACAACTTGCTGCACAGGAACTTCTCCCTGGCCGTCTCGATCTGCTTCTTGACAAAGCGGAACTGATGCTCAAGAGATTGAGGTTCGGCGACAGCACCGAGACCAAGAGCCTCGACGACATACTCTTTGCCCTGTTTGTCCAAGCTACTGCTGCTGGAAACACCCTTGACGGTCTCTTTATCGCTGTCGTCGTTGCAGATATTGCTTTCGTTGTCGGTGACATCATTTTCAGAGTTGTTGATTTCGCGGTCAGAGTTGTTGGTATGGTTTCCAGAGTCGTTGGTGCCAGCAGCAGCCTTGAAGTACGAGAAAATGTTTTCTTCCTCGATAGTGGCGCCAGCAACATTCTCATCCTCAGTAATCTTCTTGACAACTTTCTTGTTTTTGCGCTTGAAGATGCTGGGAGAANNAGAAAAACGGATAGGACTACCCATCACCGAGTCCACTTTGGTGGGAGAAGGATTTGCAGTCTCAAAGGCAAAAGTACCGGTTTGGGGCGAGGAAAAGACGATGGGTGTGTGAGGTGCAAGACCAGGAGAAGCATTATTGACAGAGGTGCGAGAGGAAGAGCCAAAAGGCAAGTTGAAGAATGAAGAGACACTGCGAGGAGTTGAGGCGATGGATGAAGCGAAGGCGCCGGGGAAGATTGTGGAAGTAGGACGAGGTGTCTTGTCAGAGTCGACAGCGATGGTTGTTGGAGTGGTAGAAGTCAGAGAGTTGGAGTATGAGGACACCAAAGAGACAGCGGTGGATGAGGGCACCATGGTCGTAGGAGGTGCAGCTGTTTCGTGCAGGATACTGGCCAATGCGTTGAGGAGAAGGAGACGTTCGTGCTCGAAGGTGGTTTTCGAACGCCAGACCTTGGGACGCAGCTCTGGATCGTTGGACAGTTGGTCGTCGGTGAAGTACATGATTGCGTATTCAGGAGTGTGCTTGGTGGTGCTGCGAAGTTTCTGAGATAGATGATAGGTTTGGTAACGTGGACGATCGAGGTTGCCCTAGCGATGAAGAAGATGGATGAAGTGGAGATGAACAGAGAGCAGAGAGAGTTAGGTAGAAGCAGAGAGTTATGCACGTTACTCTCGTGTCAGATTGACAAGGTGAGTGAACTGGATGGTCGAACAGTTATAGTGATTGACGTTGATAATGTGAGTTAAAAGAGTGAAGCTTCCCCGAGTGAAGTCGAAACATGAATCCTCCACGAGTGACGACACAACCAAGATTATGGAACATCGAGCCACTCTTCACTAACCTTCCTGGTTGGGCTGGTAGATTTCGTGATGGCCACTTGCTTCAGCCTCAGCCATCTCGCGATCCTCCTCCAGTTCTTCTTTGAACCTTGCAATTTCCTCTCTATGCACGGTAATCCTCTGCGTATTGCTTGCCTCAGTCCCAGCACGCTCATTTTCAAGCTCCACCAATAGTTTGGCAAGCTCGAGACGCTCCTTCTCGACCCGTTCAATCTCTTTCACAGACTCAAGATGTTTGTTCTGGGCCTCAGCTTGTTTCTTTGTGGATGATAGAAGCTTTTCCATAAGTTCAAGTGTCTTCTCGAGTAGTTCGATCGCGCTGCGTTGCTCGTCGATCGTCTGGGCCATTTTGTCTGGGCCATTTCGTCTGTTCATGCTGTATCTCTCTATTTGTCGCTCGAGTCCATAGTTCAAGGTAGAGATAAAACACACTACTCGATTCTGAGCATCCTCTCTGGAGAGATGACATCCCAGAGCTATCTCTATGGTCACTCATCTGGTTCGATAAGACATTGTGCGTTATTGCATAACATATTGTGATACAAGTTGCTGACGTTGAAGATATTGATCGTGATGCTAGGACAATCTCAAGCATAAGGGGTCCTTGGAGCTGGCCACATGTTATCCGAAGACCATACAATCCATGAAGCCTCCAATATATCTTAAACCAGTTGTTCCTCACAGGCGGGTTTCCTAGGTTCTGCGCGAATGTTGCTGTAAAAAAACATACCTTGTATTACATGATGTCTTTACCTTAGATCTGCTTTTATCCCATCTGTCATCCTTATATATAACATACATCTATGCCTCGAATTGGCTTGTTGATTATCAAAGCACGGCAAAGTAGCCCGGGACTTCCACTCCATGGCCAATCTGCGTACACACCCCTGAATCGAGTAGAGAGCCCTTGAAGGTCTCTGGACACTCAACCTGGGCAGTAATCTCAGGTGCTGTAAAATACACAAACTATTTTGCTCAACATTGCTTTGGAGATAAAATTGTCAAGCAGCTAGTCCTGTGTGCATGACTTTACTTGACCTCAAAATCACCTCGCAGGATGGCAAGTACAGCTGCTCAAGTCTTGCAGCGAGTTTCACGTAATATTCACTCAAACCACACATGATGTTGATAAAGAACTTGTGCTGCCACTCAACGCAAATATCTATAAAGGCGTGCGAAAAATCTTCGATTCGGGCAGGCTAACTACAAGCAGGGGCAGTTTTCGCAAGCGAAACCTTTGTTTCTGTTGTGTTGCGCCTACATCAAAGAACCATGGGAACAACCAAAGGAGATGGAAGACTCGATGCGACGGTAGTATCGATCGGCCGTGTCTGACTTCTTGCTTCGCTATGTCAGTCTTTGTCTCAATTTGGTCTCCATCGAGGCTGACTTACCCCTGAAACCTCCCGACCTGACTTCGAGCATTGAATCATCATTGCAACGTCACCTCATTGTGTCTCAAATTTTATGAGAAGTTCATGGTGTGTTCAAAGAACCTTCACAACATCGCGCAGGCGTCCAGCGTTCATCATGCGTTCCTCCTCAGTCGCGTCCCAGAGTTTGATTCTGAGTTCCCTGACTTCAGCTTGGAGACGCTCGTTCTCGGCCTTGAGCTGAAGATTCTCGTCGATGATCTTGTTGACAGCTTCGGCGCTCTGGGCTGCTTCAGTTCTGGTTTCTGCGAGAGTGATGTTCTTTTCGTTGAGCAGGTTGACTAGATCGCTGTTTGTTTCGGCGGCGGCTTCCATGATGATGGTGTTCGAATATGTGTTTGTTTTGGTGTTTCTGGCTGGAAGAGAGAGAAAAATGAGGGTGGTGTGTTGGAAGAAGAGAAGGAGAGCTGGGATGTGGCGCAAGTGTTGTTTTGTTTTGTTCACAGCAGCGCGAGAAGACGTGTTGGAGTCTACAAGAAAGATCAGCTTCGTTTTCACCACACAGAAAAGTGAGGGCATGGGACAAATTCACATCTCAAGATCCTCTGTGGCCATCTCCCTCGATCTCCAGGCTCCAGAGCTTTCTGTATGCCTCATCTAGCTCCCTCTTGAGTTCATAATTTCTGACTCGAAGAATTTCGTTGTCATGACGGAGCCGAGCGTTATCTTCTACAGCTTTCTTGTACTTTCCAACCATGTCTTGAGTGATGGACGCTGACATGACGGTCTGGACGCGATCATGAGTGGTTGCTGTCTTCAAGAAACGCGTAAGCAGATTGATGCGAGGGATCATCATAGAATAGAGGATGGTGTCGGTAAGACACCTACAGCTTGACGAGTTAGTAGGTATCAAACAGTCAGAGACACAAGGGGTTTGTGTTCCAAACTTCTCCGTGCGGATATCGAGGGCGGAAGATCCGGGTAGTGAATGTCAATGTGATGGTTGGCATGAGAGCAAATCAACACAACAGACAGCAAAAAGTTTCAGTCACCAAAGACAAAACAGCAAAAAACCACGAGCCAAGCTCTTATGGGAAAACTCGCCTTCTAGACCCTTGATTATAGTCACCAGATGACGGACATCTGGCTGTATGCATGATTTAAGACGTACACGGTGGGAATCGAACGCTGGTTTTATCACCAATCGGAGAGTGTAGACCGTTACACCACTCCACCGATTCTACAGGAATGAATGAAACTGAGTGAACTATATGGTATCACTGAAAGGGGCGCGGGTTCGAATCAGGGGCGGGAGAAAATCATTTTGCATTTTCCTTCGCAGACGGGCCTTTTGGAGGGCTTGTGATCAATTTGGTAAAGCAGGCCCTCTTCCCAGTCAGGAGATGGTGGTATAGTGTAATATAAGAAAATGTACGGTTGTTTGTAGACTTGAATGTGTGGCCATGAAAGCAGTCTCAGGATGAAAGCTCTCCTTGGACAACACTCTGTTGTTAAAAAATGTTGTCCATCTCCATAGCTACTATACAACAGTCTTTGGCACACTGGGATGGAAAGACAGGGCTTCAGCAGGAAATCGCGGTTGACCTCATGTTCTCTATGACGGTATCTCTTCTAATTCTGCGAAAGCCAACAGCTCCATCTAAGTTGCCTAATCACCGAGAGATCTTCCGACAAACCCCTCAATGTCAACCTCGACATCGATATTCTCCTGTGCCATTGCTTCGGACTTGCCCTCGGCAGATCCAGACGATCTTACCGCTCCTGCGACGATTTTCTGTCCCAGCACCTCTAGTTCGCTCCTCAGACCAGCAACCGTGTCCGAATCTTGATAGAATTGAATCTTGCGTTCCAGACCAGAGATCTTGCCCTCCAGGCCCGAGATCTCGCTTTTCAGATTGACTATCTTACTCGATGACTTCATAAGTTGCAGGAGCAGGACCTTGAAACCGATTCCCAGACCAGAGATCTCGCATTCCAGATCCTTGATCTCGACCTCCAGCTTCGAGATGGTTTCTTCCCGCCTTTCAAGTACCTTGGCGTTGAGCTCGCGTCTCAGACCAGAGATCTTCTCGGTATCTCTAGAGTGGCGTTCTCTCAGCATCATGTTCTGGGTTCTGAGGAGTCTATTCTCGGCTTGGAGGAATCCGTTCCAGACCTCGTGCTCTGTCATGGGGACGCTAGAGTCGGCTGCTCTGTCGAAGTTGGCGAGATTGAATGCGTTGATGGAGAAGATCACGTCGTCGATGTCGACTTGTTCGTGGGGAGCAGCCATGTTGTGTTGTGGCAGACTTGTAGGTGCGAAGAGAGGTCGAAGAGATGAAAAAGACACCTTGAATGTGGTTCGGGGGCTTCTTGGTGCGTTCGATGATGTTTTGATGACTCTGAACGTCTGGCTGCGATTATATTAGATCTTGACAAGGTTCAGAGGAGGTAATAGAAGGAGAGCTTACACGCAGCAAGAGACTGCACGTTGTTCAGTGGAGTGACACGAGAGAGAACAAATCTGGTTTCGCCTTCTTCCGTGTCAAAATACAGCGTGTGGTGCTTGTCTCGGCGATGGCTGTCTCGGCGATGGCTGTCTCGGCGTTCGTGCTAACCTGGTATTGGGAGTCGAAAGCACAAGCCGTAAAGATAGGAGATGATGGGAAGATAAAGAAATGCTTTGCGTTTTGTGAGAAGTGCGGCTAGGGTACTAGATGAAGTACCAGAATCTGGATTGAAGGCGGACGACAGATATGTCGTTGGGCTCTTAGTAGAACACTACACCATTGCTCTCCAAGCACAGGATGTACTGCTTGAAGGGGATGCTTGGGGTACTCTTCGAAGCCACTGATCAGCCTTTGTCCAGACATGCGTGACAAACAGACTTACCCCTGAATCAATCGCTATCATCATCGTGGCTCTCCTTGACGACATCATCCGGCTCGGCCTCGCCATTCTTTTGGCCATCACCCTGGTCGTGTTTCTTCTCATCTTCTTGACCGTCATCCAGGACACCAACCTGCTTCAACATCTCCATCTTCTCACTCAACTCGGCCATAATCTCCATCTCCTTCACGCGCTTCACCAACTCCTCATCAATACTCTCAACCTCCATCCTCAACAACTCCAACTCATCGTCAATCCTTTTCTTCTCAGCACAATACTCGAGCTGATCTCTAAGATGCTGGTTCTCGTCTTCAAGATTCTGGTTGTAGAGTTCGAGGTTCTTGATCGTGATGGCGGCATTCATGATGGCTTGGTCGGTAGCGGCTTTGTTCTTGAGCATGTCGTTTGTGACTTTGAGGTTGTGGTTATCGACCTTGAGGTTTTCGTTTTGTTTGGCGAGGTAGGTGTTTGTGAGGGTGAGCTCTCTGATGAGGTCGGCGGGGGTAACCATGGTGGGTGGTTTGGGGTTGGTTTGTTATGTTTTCTGGACGCGCAAGGACAGAGGGAGGATGTGTAACAGTTCTTATCGATTGTTTGAGTTTTGAGGATTAGCACACGGCTAATTGGGTGCTTTACGGATGTGATTTTTGGCTCAGTGAAACAGTGGTGAACAGTGAATGCCAACCGAAACTGATGTCCGCCATATCCCGCAACTCGGATAGCCTTCTCGATGCTTCCTTCACTCGTGCGTCCACTCTGGCACTCCAATGTCCCTAATTGCTACACAGTCGTATCATGTTTGGATGTATTGGTGTATCTGACTTCCTGTTGTGTTGTCAGTCAACTCGTCTCTTCCTGTCGTATATCTGTCAAAGCTTTTGGGATATCAACTCACAGGAGGTAGTGTTGTCCACATCGAAGTGAGCGTGAGTGTCGAAAAAGAGAGCTGAGATGGCATTCTTTGTGGCAGTCTGGTTTTTCTTCTATTTGTCCAGACTGGCAAGGAGCGTCTACTTGTCTTTCTCCAGCTGGTCGCACTCAGTTTTCAAATCCTTGATTAACTGTGCTTGCTTCTTGTTTGACTTCTGCAGTGTATCGTTCTCGGCCTCGAGCTGCTTGCTTTTCTTGGACAGCTCTGCGCTTTTCTTTTTGCGTCCTGGCATTCCCTGTTTGAGTCGCTGAGACGTTGTCTGAGATCCTTGACTTCTTCCTCCGGAGCTTCGTCCTCTCTTTTACGCTTGCGATTGACGAGAGAGTTGATCTGCTCCTGGAGACCTTGGATCTCCTTTGCGGTCTCTGCGTTCATAGTGGCGCCAGTCGACTTTCGTAGTACTTGCCGTGTACGCATTGTGTTGATGCTAGGAACAAAGCTGAAGAAAAGTGGAATGTTGAACTGTTAAGTGGCATCTGGCAGATTGTATGGTGTATGTGAGGAAGGTTCAGCATCCAAGGTGGAGGTGAGAGGTATTGGATGTTGTTTTGGCTGTCGAACGAAACTGTGGTGACATACGAACATCCAAGAAGACTTTGCCAACCAATTATATCCACCCTCGCCTTCACTTCTGACTGCCATTTTCGATTCACTTCCACTCCACCCATCTCCAACATTTCAACGTCTACTTGTCTCTCACAAGGCTGAGCATGCTGAGTCATCTGGTGTGTTCTTCTTGGACTGTCACTCATCGGTCTTCTCCCATATCTGTCAAGGCTCTCAAGATGCCAACTCACCAGAGAGAACATGGTCAAGAAATCCAACAAACGCCTCAGAAACCGGACGAAGCTGCACCTTCAACTCAGACACCACTTTCTTGTAAACAATCTCTCCTTTCTCAAGCCCCTGCACTTTTGCCTTGAGTTGCTGATTCTCTTTTTCCAATGCCTTGACTGCTTTGATGTATGCCCTGATAGCTTGAACCTGTTCCTGAGTTGCAGTCTCCAAGAGTTCGTTGTCGGTCTGGAGCTTGCTGTGGGTTTGAGATACTGCTGCTGCCAAAACCATCTTCTTCTGATGATTTTCGTTGACGGTAGATGCAAGGCGGCGCTTGAGGTGTTTGAGTTCGTCTCTTAGAGCATTGTTTTCTCTCTTGTACTTGTTGATTTCTTCTGCGTCTTTTTGTTGTCTTGTGGGTAAACGAGAACGGCTTCGAGAGCGTAGGATGGGTTCGCTGGTCATGATGTATGGTGGCATCATGCTGGAATGTGGTGTGAATTTGAGCCGAAGAAAATGGTGGCTGTTGTGTTTGTTCCACAACTGAAATTTATGATTGCGCGTTTTGTGTTCATCTCACATGTGAGCGCTATGCTCAGTGACTTTCTTTTACATGTATAATTAGCTTGACGCTTACATGGGAGCAATATACAAATTGGCTCGCAGGTTCCTGTTGATGAAATATGTCGATACTCGACAGACTACTTAGTCAGAATCGCTCAGCATGTCCTCGCTACCATCATCGCGCGCAACATGTGTCGTTAGCGCTTCGATGGCAGCCGCACATCCATCCTTGACTGCCTTGCGCTCCTTCTTGCCATTGGCAATCTCGGCTTTCCTAACCACCTTCTCGATAAAGTAGCGCAACCCTTGCACCATATCCGGTACATCTTGAGCCTTGGAAAAAACCTCGTTGACACTAAGCTCCCACTTGCTACCCTTAGAGTTCTTCATCATCTTGATCAAGATTCTGGTCAACAAGACCTCGGTAAAGGTATTGGTTTTGGGCTGCAGGTAAGCAAAGTTGAGTGTCTTTAGTGCTGTGATGGGGAAGCCGCCTTCGGTCATGAGGTCTGCGTAGAAGCGGGCGAGGTTGACGATCTTGCGGGTACTCATGTTTTCGTCTTCGTCGTCGTCAAAGGCATCGTCTTCATCATCGGCTGTCATGGCTTTCTCACCCATGCGCTTGAAGATATCCCAGAGACCGAATTGGAAGGCTTTGAGCATGCGCTTCTCACCACACAGCTTTTTGGCTATGAGCGTGTAGTATGGGTTGTAAGTTGCTTCAGCACCCGCGCAGTGAACCAGCACACGAGGGATTTCGAGCTCCTGAGCCTTCTTGAAGCCAAGCTTGAGGAGGCGCAGGTGTGCATCTTGGTAGTCTGAAGCTGACATGATGGTAACGAATATGGCACGACGGATGTCGGTGTTCATGCCTTGTTGACGTGCTAGTTGGATTAGATCAACACTGCCGTCGTCTGCCGATACTGTAGTTGAGTCGTTCTTGGAGGCTTTGACGATGGGCTCATCCGAGACGTTCTCATCCTTGGACTGCTTTCCTGGGTCAAGCCAACTTGCGCCAACAAGCCACCACTTGCCCTTCTTTTCTGTGTCACGAATATCTGCCAAGCCGATGCGAAGAGGCTCGCTTGCCTTGAGAGATGATCTGTTGTTGAGAGAACCCAAAGTCTTTCTCATTCTTGTTGTGTGTTCCGACACGATGGCGGAAGCCACAGCACCAGTCTTGACGCGATTGTTCTTGAGGTTGTTGATGGTCTCGATCATGAACTTTGTTCTCACCGACAAGTTCGCTTCTCCGATGCGGGTGACTTCCTTCTGCACCAGGATGACAATGTCCTTGAGTGCCGAGGGGTCATCGGCGCGAAGCTGAGGTCCAGAATTGCGGATAATCTTCAACAAGAGTTCTGTGTTCTGCTCGTTGAGCTCTTTGAGGAACAAACGAATGTAGTCGAATACAAGATTGCAGCCGACAAGTTGGAAATTGTAGAGTTCGGAAACCAGAGACATTAAGTTTGAGGTTTCCTTGCCTGCTGTGGTGCCTCCGGTGTAGTGTCTGTCAAAGTCGTTGACGATGCGCTCGATGACTTGAGCACCAAAATCTGTTCCGATAACCTTGTACAGAGCGGCCATGAAACCTGCATGGAGGATGAGGAAGGTGTCCTGTAGAGTAGTGCGGTCGCAAATGAGTCCAAGCAGAAGGTCAATAAGCGTTGTAGTGACATATTGGCGAGGGTTGTTCTGATAGATCTCTTCGATGGTTTGTAGGATAGACAGAAGGTTCGCTTCTGAAAGACGGTTGAGCTGACCCTGAATTTGGCGACGAAGGCGTGCTAGAGCTTCGGTGTCTGAGGAGGGTGCGCCTCGCAACGAAGGTGGAACGTACTTCTGGACTGGGGCAGCACCAGCGGGTACAGGAGCAACGTAGGGGTTCTCGCGCACTCTTGGTGCGGGTGCTTCCTCTTCGCTTTCCTCGTCATCCTCATCAAAGTCTCCGAACTTTTCGTCGTCCATGTCGTTGTCGTCGTCTTCGTCCAGTTCATCCTCATCTCCATCCATGTCGTCTTCATCTTCCAGACCGTCGAGATGGCCATCTTCGTCACTCTCGCCGAGACCGTCCATGATGTCGTCGAGACCATCAATCTCGTCTTCATCACCACTCATATCTTCCTCGTCATCATCCGAAGGCTCCTCCTCGACAGCAGCTGCCTGGCTGACCTTCCTCCTCTTCTGTCGCAACCAATCATCGTCATCCGAGCGCTTTCTCTTAGGACCGTCATCTTCTTCGTCGTCCAGACCTTCGAGCAAATCATCGAGTCCGTCGTCCGCAAAAGCCTTTGATCTCTTTGTCGACTTGATTCCCAATTTCTTCTCCAAGGCGGCAATTTCGGCGTCATCTTGAGCCAGCCTGTCCTTGACGGCTCTCGAGACGTGTGCCGGAGGTGGCGGTGAATCTTCTTGGGTCTTTGATTTCGGAGGGTCTTGCTTTTTGGTCGTCTTCAGGATGGACTTTGGCTTGTCCTCTTTTGCCGGTTTCGATTTTGGCTTCGGGGCAGGTGGTGGTGTGGGCTCGTCATCGCTCTCGTCAAACTCATCTCTTTGCGGCTGAGGTTGGGGACGTCTCTGGGGCTGAGGTCGTTGCGGCGGTGGGCGCGACCTTGATTGCTGGTGGCTCTGTTTTTTCTGGTTTCTCTCGTTCTTGCGACGCTCTTTCCGTGTCGGGGCGTTCTTTTTGTTGTTACTAGTATCACCACCAATTTGGTCCAGCAGTGCCTTTGGCAGCTTTGGCTTGATAAAAGAATCGTTTGGGCGCATGGCGAATGTCTTGGGTAGGCATAAAAATGTCAAGAGAATATAAAATAGTTATTGCCCGAGAGGCTTGGCGGCATGTGAAGAGCGTTCCTACCCCACATTTTCGCCGCGACTTGGTACAGAACGTAATGTATCTCGAAGGGAAGGAAGTGGTCGGTAGCGACTTCCGTATCCACGTCGCTGCCCGCAACGACGCTCGACAGGTCAAGTGCTGCTCCATCTTGCATACCACAACCACAATCATGTCATCACATCTTACTAACGATGAGGTACGCTTGCAAAGCGGTACCACTGTTCAAGAGCTAATCATGGTACAGTTCTTCACAAAACTGGCCTCCCTCCTCGAGACGCGCCAACAAAAAGGTCACGGCAGCATCTTCCTGACACAGAAGCGACGTGCGCAAACATTCTTCCCATACTCATGTGTTATGCTGACACGTACAANNGTCACGTTTGACGAGTCATCTGCTGCCAAACCCACCGACTCTCCTCTCGCCGACCTGGATCCTCCATCAGCACCTCTGCCCATCCTCGTTCGCGCGACAGACGGCAACTCACAAACAAAGGATCGCAAGAAGTCGGACAAGATCAAGCTGAGCACAGTTGTACAACCCGATGATCTGGAGGCCTTCTACACCCGCTACGCCGAAGTCTGCAAGCAGGGCATGCAGGCACTGAAGAAGAGAGACCGCAGCAAGAGAAAGAAGCAGAAGCAGGGCAAGAAGAAGGCCCAGGACGACAAGAAATGAGCAAACCTACATCTTGTTGCATCTTAACGAGTAACGACGCCTGTCGAGCCGAAGGTCCGTCATGCCAATACGAGCTGCCCAGCCTGACGAAGACGCACCACTTGCAGTTGCGCTATGGCCGAAGTGGCCTTGTCGTGTCTACTCTAGAACACCCTGTTGCGGACTTTAGAACACGAAGGACGGCTGGAGCCAAACATGATGGAGAAAGACGCGAGCTAGCAAACATAGCAGAGTGTTTGTACTCTGTTTGCGCCCTGAAATACGGCTTTCTTGACCCAGCGGACGAAATAATCTTGAAGTCTACTTTTCAATATCTGCTCCTCCCGGCAGTCCCTCGCCTTTGATCAGTCCTTTCTTCCATTTTCGCGCAACAAAATCAATAGCTACTAGTGACTTCACTTTCATACAGGGAACATTCTGGGTGCTGTCTTGTATCCTTTCTGAAAGACTGGATCTGTGCTGTAATTCATCATCTCGCTCCGTCTTCCCTCCGTTCTTCTTTTCAAGCACGCAAATCTCTCGATTCGATAACACCATCCTCGCAAAACTACTCCAACTAACACAAGCAACCACATTGGTCAGTAAGCTCGTGCACACTCACGACTGCATCATGACTGACAGGATGTTTACGGACATGGGACGCGCTCCTCGCAGACAGCTTGCTTCCAAAGCAGNCTACACGCCTCGCACCACTTGATCTTGCTCCCTTCTTCGCATACACTCCAAACTCCGACGAAGGAAAGAAGGTTCACACTGTCAAGATGGATGCCGAAAAACTGGCCGAGGACTTGACCAAAGAGAACAAGGTCGAACAGCTCGCTGAGGAGATGGTTGAGGCTTATCTTGGGCTGTACAAGCTCAAGGACAGCCCCACTGGACGTGAGGCACTTTCTGGCATGGAGGAGGATGTCAGTGGATGGGCAAAGCTCATGGTTCACCGTGGAGACATCGAGGGAATCAGACTGAGCTTTGTCTATTCTGCTGTTCGCCTATGCTACATGCAGATCCACATCAAGTAGCTTGCGGATGATCTTCCTTAAACACAGTCAAAACTGGTGAGTAAGGTCACGACAAGAAAGACCATCTACGATGTGCTGACCAAGCTAGAGGGTGCTGTACTGTTTCAAGATAAGCGACAGCGGATTGCTTGACCACAAAGGGACAAGAAATCAGGAAGACCATACGAAGCATGAACCAAAGGCATCAAGAGCAAAAGAAAGTCGAAGAAGACCTGATCGACACAACATGGAGCGCAAGCCTTTCGAACCCCACAATTTTTCAACCAAGCATGATGATCTGAGCTTGATTCTCTGTTCATCAGATACTGGCACCACCCGACATTCAAAACAAGAAGAGTCGAAGCATTATGAGAGAACTCCACAACCACGCTTATCAGGATCCGCTCATTCAAAATCAAACTCAAACTCAATTGAACCTCTCTTTCATCAATCATCTGTATCCTCCATGCCACTATCGACCGTTGTGATTCTTTTCTTTCTCTTTACACAGCCTCAACTCTCCTGCCTTCCGTCTTCCAGTACAACTATGCGCTGAGATGATCACCGGAGACTCCAATATGTCCCAGGCTTGCTGAGCGTGATTTTTCTTACTTTGATAGTCGCTCTCCACAGTCAACTCTAGGTGGGTGAACAAACACTAGGTCGAGACTGGCGTTGACCAAAAGACAGGTCACAACGTCTGAGAGGCTAGTGTAAGCAAAGAAAGAGGGCGAGTAAGAAGAAAAAACAAGTCCAGTATCCATGTCTCCGACCTCATCAAGTTAATCCCTCAGGTACTCAGGTATGGTCCCCATGAGTCTTCAGTCACCTCATCACTTTGGATAACCACAGAAGATAAGTCGTCTACTCCAATAAGCAATGATCTCCAATTCCCAGTTTCCGATTACCAGCTTAGGACCCTTCACGCGATCACTTTCCGCTTTCACATGGTCCAGTGGACAGAGAGATAAAAGGATGAGCTGTTTCGATTTGTCCAGTCTCTTTCTTCTCTTCCAACGCTACATCTTCACTTACTCTTCTCCCCAAGCTATACCTCAAATTTTTCATCATGGGCTTCTGGGCAATCTTTGAGATCATCGGCGTCGTCTGCACAGTCAGCGACTTCATTATGTTTCCCTTGTGCCACCCTGGAGAGTGGGATCAAGCCTCCATCGACATGAGCAACCCAACTCAATCACTCAAGGAACGCTTGGAGAAATTGCCAGCAGATGTGCGCATCAACATCCCAGACGGTCCCATCGATGAGGCTGATGTCGAGAGCATCATGGCCTCAGCTATCTCTATGACAAGATCCCAAGTCAACGTTGACCCGGATGCCATGACCGCAGAGGAACTGGAGCTTTTCTTGGATGGACTCTTGGCTCCCAAGCCCACCACCATGTTGACTGTTGCTGCAAGCAAGCCCACCGACCAGTCCCAATCCTGATTGTGAGTACTCTGCTGCCTACGTTCAGAAATATGACAAGCATATGCTGACACAACTTTTCACTAGACACAAGGCTACCTACTGTCCAATCGTCAGTCTATTCTGATCGCACATCTTGCACCACTCTGTCGGAAAGTGCAGCTCAACCTGCACATGTATCAGGCAACAGTTAGCTTGGTTGTTACTGGAGGCAAGAACCACTCTGCTTCGTGGCTCTGGCTTGCCTTCTTTGTTGACATACTGTCTTTACCTTATTATTGGTTTACATAATGTATTTATCCTAATGTACGAGAAAATATTTCAACAATAATCATACTTTTCTTCTCTTCCCATCTCTTTTCTTCTTGTGTTCACAAATTCTATGATCGCTGATCATCGTCTCCTATGTGCAAAAGCTGATTGGTACAAGACACGCGATATGCTACTCCAAGACTATGTTCTCTTGAACAGCATACAGATGACATCCATCAGCAGCGGAGGCACATCCGGGCATAGAAGATGTATACACAGCCCTCCAACCACTGGATGGGAGATACGGAAGTGTCCGGGGATGTAACAACACACCGAGAGGTATTGGCTGAGCGGAAGATGGACGAAGTTTGCCGAATACAGTGCATCCAAACTCCTGCTTTTGGACTTGTTTGCTAACTTGGGTCAATGTGTTGTCATCAAGCATCTTCGTTCAAGCTATTGCGGTCAGACTCTCTTATCAAAAGCAGCACAACCCCTTGAGCCTACATCCGGCATCACAATCCTACCACCACACCAACCCTGATCAACAAGTTTCCCATCACTCACAAAAACAAGAATATCTACCACACTCCTCACAATGCGTTCCCTCAAGACCAACACTTATCTCAGAACAACCCAACACCCAACGCCCACAACAAAAACAACCACCATACACACCCACTCCAAAACAATCACCATGTCCAGCCCTAACAACAGAAACCACACCTTATCCCGCTGGGACCACCAGACCACCTTCCGCAACATCGTCTCCGCAGAAGAGCAAGACCGAGCCCGCAGACATGGCCGCGAAGTGCCGTTCCTAGAAGCCAAACTCGAAATGCTGAATAGGCATTTGTTGGACACGAATCATCAGTTGAGGGTCAAGCTTGATGAGTTGCAGGTGTTGCAGAGAAGGTGTGAGGAGTTGGGTAGGGCGAACAGTAATTTGGCTGCGGCGAATAGGAGGGTGGTGAGGAGGAATGGGGAGTTGGTGCAGGAGAATGATATGTTGAGGGCGCTGCATAGGGGAGGTCGTCGTTGATGATCGAATCTGACTGAGCTTGGATAGATTGAGTACGGGGTCGGGTCTCGGAGCATGTTGACAACACAAGACTGTGATTTTGAATCCATCGAGAGCATAACAAAGTTGGCAGAGTTGTATACAAGACCTACGGAAGGATTGGGCATACTGGCGTTGGTCGTTTGGACAAGTCCAGGGGTACGAATGCAGGAAGCCGTACCATCGCCCATTGAACAAACGCGGAACTTTGTAGATATCTCATTGCAAACTCACCTCTCCATCACAACTCTGTTTTTCCATTTCGAGCTTCTCCTTCACTTTCTCTCCTTCGCTGTCGAGATGCCACGCATAATGCAAGCTGCTCGACTCGGTCAACAGACTCGTCACAATCCACCCCCAACCATCAAGACCGAAGAGCACACAGAAGAATCTCGCAAACGCAAACGACAAGACTGTGCTCTGGAAGAAGAAAACAAGCAACTCAAGCAACACCTAGCATCATCAGCCAACGAATGCCATCAACTAAAGCTGCAATCAGCAAGACTATCCCAAACCAACGAGAAACTTCAGACCGACAATCAAGTCCTAGAGCATGTCATTCGGGACCAAGCGCAGACCATCAAGGCCTTGGAGCAAAAGATTCAGTCTTCGAAGGAGCATGATCCACGACTCGCTGCTGATCTGAAGGTGCTTGCTGAGTACTTGGCCATCCAGACGAAGGCGGTCAATGTGCTCAAGAATCTCCAAGGCCCTTTGAAATCATGCTGAGCTATACCTTTGTCGCCAGTAAGTAGACAATCTCATGATCTTCATGTGAGCTGGCGAAGAGGGATGGGTCGCCTAACGCTAGAATAGTAAGATGAAAGATACACCAACACGTCCGAGCTGTACTGCATAGGGCTGGAATACTGTTGAGTAGAGAGCCAATGGTGGTGTGATTGGTTCAAGTCAGCAGAGTCAACACCATTACGAAGAAAGGGAGGAAGTGGAGATCTTCTGGGAACGTGGAAGCTCGAATATTGTATGGTGAAAGACGGGAGAAAACCTGCATTGTCACATGATTGGGATAACGTGTCAAGAACATGGGAAATGTCATGGCTATGCGAATATTGTTCAGAGGTGGTCAAACCGTGGTCAGATTGAGTCATGAGCAGCTTCTCAGAGTTCCGCCTCACGTCCTCTGTCGGTGTGTGCATATCTGTCAAGTGCATCGTGCAACCGTCCAAAGACACCTCCATGCCATCCTCTCAACGCCTCCCATTCAGTGCTCTTGAGACTCGTTTTGGCCATTCGTAACCATGCCCCAACAATCAGATCCGCGTAGCTGGCCTTTGCACCAAGCACAAAAGGTCCACTTGCATCTCTCTTAAACACCTCGGCCAGCCCCTCCAATTTGCTCTCGAACGACGTCAATACCTGCATCCTCTGATCTCCTTCACATGCAAACGCAGCAAAAGAGTCCACGCCCGCGCGCTTGACAAACACTTGCTCGCCAGCTGTGGTCAAAGGCATACCTTGCACCATGAGGATGACGTGAGCAGTAAACACTGCATCCACAGACATGTTGAATTGTGCATACTCATCATACTCTCCNCCACGAACATCCGTCAGCGGCACCATAGACGCTTCATCGGCCGCAAACACATAGTCGAGTTTCTGCTCCGGGAAAAGATCTGCTCCCGAGTCTGGATACGTCTTCTGCAGGTACACCGCGATATGAAAGGAATCGCCCACGGCATCGTCGTTGTTGGGATCTGTGATTACGGGCAGAGTGTAGTAATCGGTACCGTCGCCAAACTTTCGACAAGCAGGCACCTGGAGGCTGCGTCGGACTTTTTCGACGTCGGATAGAGGCACCCAGGTTGTGACGTAGGGGAGACTTTTGAAGTTCAAAGCGAGTCTGGTCTTCCAAGGATTTGGCGCGCTGTTCGTTTCTTGTCGTGGTTCTTTGAATGCAATGTCGTAAAAGACTATAGGCTTGGAAGGTGCGGAAGACATGGTGATTTGGTAAAGCAAGCGATGATAGAGGGAGAGATCTGAGAACAGGGCCGAAATGACAGGATTGGGAATCTGCGTGTGGGTGAGGTATGAGTGTCAGGGTAGATGTTGTGGATGCTTTATATCTTCCTTCTTCAATGTAGGTGCGGTGTGCCAGCTCAAGGTCACCGTTGCTCATGTCTTGGTACGAATACGAGTTTACGAATACGAACTTTGTTATTCTATTAGGATGACCCTGCTCATATCTTGCAAGCATTGATCGGTGCAGTCTCTAAGCTGGTAGCCACTTCTATTGTAGCGACCAGGCTCACTTTTCAGCTGGCTTGGTCTGATGAGACCACATTAGATTCTAACGTGGTGTGGTAGTTGTGACAGACGATACGCGCGAAGGATTTGTCTTTCTCAACTCCTCCAGCGTGACTTCAAAATCCCTCTTTACAGCGAGCACCTCATTGATATGACTCAACGCCAAAGGCTGGCCAGCATATCTCGCCAAAGTGCTTGCCGTATGAATGGCATTAGAAATTTCTCTGCCGTTCAAAGCCTCTGTCGACATCAACTCTGCAGCCTCATCTACAGCAACTTCTTTGCCGCTGTCATCTAGCAAATATGCCTCTTTCTTATCCAAACTTTGCTTCCAGATCAAGCGACGAGCTTCTTTGGCAGGTTCTTGATATCCCAATGCCAGGTGCACGCGCGACTTCATCGCTGCATCAAAGACCGCAATGCGATTGGTGGTCAAAAAGCAAATGCCGGAAAAGTACTCGAGATGGCGGAGGAAGACGGCGACCAACGCGTTTCTGTTGGAGGCATCATGGGAGTCATCGCCACGGGCTTCGAGAAACACATCTGCTTCGTCGAGCAATACAATGGCTTTCCAGGTTGTGGCTAGCCTCAACACGCGAGTTAATTCCTGCTCGAAAACCCAGGGTGAGTCGTGCTTGTTTAGCTCGCTGATGGAGGCGCGGATGAGTGCTCTTTGAGTGGTTTCAGCTGCGCATTCTGCAGTCAAAGTTTTGCCTGAGCCTGGAGGGCCATGCAAAAGACACACCAGCCCTTTTCCTTTTTGCTGGTCTTCGTCGCGGGCGGAGGTGGGAAAGGTGTGCGAGGTTACCAGGGCGCGGACGAGGTTTAGTTGGCTTTGGGGTAGGATGAGTTCGTTGAAGGCTTGTGGTTTCCAAGGTACTTCTGAGAGAGAGGTGATGTAGAAGCGACACCAGTCTTTGCGGCTGCAGGAGAATCCGATGACATACGGTGGACACAGGGCAGTGTCCAAAGACTCCAGGGGTCGCTTGCTGATAATGCCGCTAGGGTGGTCTTGCTCGAAGGCTTTGCGGTCAATGATGACCCTTCCTGTTTCCGTAAACGGCATCCAGAGTTGCTTCCAGTCATTTTCGTCAGGGTGAAAGAACGACAAAGGCGGTAACTTGAGATACTGAGCCGGGCCATCATATTGCTTCACCATAGCACCCGTGATAGACAAAAACAATTGCCCACGCTCCCTCAATCTAGCCTCCAGATCCGCATCGTCAGGCGCACACGCCCTCGGAAACACCTTAAGTTCCAAGATCTTGGACGGGTGATCAGAGCCAAAATCCTCTTTTTGATAAATACGAAACACGTGCTTGGAAACACCGTATTTTTCGCCATCGTAGTCGGAAAACGAACATTGGAGCTCGCAATATTTGCCTCGTTTGTCATGAGTCTCGTAGGCAGTCTTGTCTACTTTCAGTAGCCAGGGGTGAGCCTTGACGTAAGTGACCACGGTATCGCCTGGTCGGAAGAGGATGCCCAGTCTAGCGAACTCGACAAGACCGCTGCGTACTTGTGCCGTGTAGCTCTTTCTCACAGCACCCATATCAAAGTCCATAAACTTGAGCAACAGCGCGAGATGGGAACGGGCGGTATCGCTTTCCAGTCCATCAAAGTAGCTCTGCAAGCCATCCCAGTGGTGAAACAGCATTTCCGAAGGGATAGGAATAGACACCGACGATGTAAAGTCCGAAGGAATGGTCGGGTGTGATTTGATGACATCCCGGAATGCCTTCAGGATATAAGGAGAGTTGACATTCAGCGTGGTTGACTCCAGTTTGTGGTTCTTATCCATTTTCCGAGTGACGACTAGTGCAAAGTGATCTGTCGAGGGCTCGACGTGGCCAAAGCCTTCGACAGACGTCTTCTCCTCGGTGCCGTCTTCCTTTTGGAGCAGATGCCATGTCTTGACTTCGCATTTGACATGGGAAGAAGAAGCATCAGCAGTCTCTGATGCGTCGGGCTGTGCTTCGGCCATGATTGGGGGATGGTAGAGATGATGAGAGCGACTATGGCCAGGAGAATAGGACAGTATAAGTACCAGTAAACGGACCGATATGAATGAAAGTTGCTGCCTTATGATGCAGTCATCTTGGAACACTGCATGTGATCTGGCAAGGCTCACCTGCACCGTATACGGCCGAGTTACGATAAAGTGGCTTGCAGGATGCGCTGGTGCCTAGATACGAGTTTTGAATATCGTTGAGCTTTCCGATCGTCACGATTCGCCGATAGCGACAGACATACCTTTTCGTAATGAGTTATGTTCTATGTAAAGTGCTGCTTGCTCTCGATAAACACGACTCTGAGCCTGAAGAGACTGTACGATTCTATAGCCCGTCTTTCTTTGTATGCCACAGTATAAAGGTGAAAGTAGAAATCCTTGACACATGGAGCGGTTGACGGAGGGAACAAAAGAAAAAGAGTGCTCCGATTTTTGATGCTCAAAGAAAAAGAAAATGCAAGGTAGAAAGGGTGAATTGTACAATGCAAGCAGGTATACATTAACCTCTGTTGGGTTATCAAAGAGTAATCGCCAGCGACCATGTCCATGGCCACGACCCGTCTCGAGTACATGAGGGTTGAATTTGTTCGCTTTGCGGTCGCTCATGGTGCCTGCTTGTCGTGGCTGCGAGATGTGTGAGGGAGGGAGGGTATCTTCATAAGTGAACGTTTATCGGTAAGGGGCGTCAGCTCTGGCAACAGCAGCCAGTTCGGGCTCCCACTTGTCACCGCTNGAATCCAAGTCAGTTGATGTTTCTAGTCCGGAAATGATCTAAACTCACTTCATCAAGAGCTTCTCCTTGTTGTAGAGCAGCTCCTCACGGGCTATGATACGGTTAGTTTGAGGATACTTGTGAATTGGTGCGAAGGGAAACATACTCTCGGTGGCGTATTCGGCGTTTGGTGACTCGACAATGGCATCGACGGGGCAGGACTCCTGGCAGAAACCGCAGTAGATGCACTTTGTCATGTCGATATCGTAGCGGGTGGTTCTTCTGCTGCCGTCCTCACGCTCCTCGGCCTCGATGGTAATGGCCTGGGCGGGGCAAATGGCCTCGCACAGCTTGCAGGCAATGCATCGCTCTTCACCGGTAGGGTAGCGGCGCAGGGCGTGCTCGCCACGGAAACGAGGACTGATGGGACCCTTCTCGAAGGGGTAGTAGATGGTGTAGCTTTGTGCATTGTCAACAATTGGAGTTTTGGCGAGGGGTGGCGGCGGGTCGACTCACGGAGGTCTGAAGAACTGCTCGAGCACGACGTACATGCCGCGCATCATCTCGGTAAGCAGGAAGTAGTTGCCGAGTTTATCGGCGGTGCTCTCCTTCTGTTGGTCCCATCGTGCAGGAGCGGGCATACGGTAGCCCTGGACGGGGGCACCGGAGCCAGAGGCGAGGCGGGCGGTCGATGTCGAGAAGAGCGAGGCCGAGGCGGGTGTGAAGAGACGGGGCGAGGCGACGAGAGGGCGAGCCGAGTTGCGCAGGACTGCTGCGGCCATGGTCCTTGTGTTTGCCATGATGTTGTGCGTGAGAGAGGCGAAGGTGTATTAGGTGTACTAGACTGGGTAGACCTCAGCAGCCAGACGCGGGTGGTAGGTCAGCGTTGGTTGCTGCTTCCATTTTCCGCAGCCAATCAAGGCGCTGCTTACCCCGGCCTTTGCGATTGGAAGGCGCGCGCTCGCTGCCAAGCTTCTTCCGCCGCAGCTTCGAATCGTCAGTGACGATTTCCAACAACGACCGGCCCAGCTGCACCGTAGACTCTGTTCAACTCGCCCATCACCAGTCCGCCCCTCACAATGTTCCGCCTCGCCGTCGCCAGATCCGCCAGATGCCTCGCCCAGGCCGCTCCTAGAGTCCAGGCTCCCATCACCCGCCGCGTCGCTCCCTCATCCTTCTTGCCTTCGACCACTGCCGCTCCCTCGACCTTTGTTTCGGCCGTCAGATGCTACTCGGCACACGCTGGTCTCTCAAAAGATGAGGTTCAGGGCCGTATCCTCGACCTCCTGAAGAACTTCGACAAGGTGCGCAACTGCTTGGAGTCCTTTGCCGCATCTCGTACTAACTCGCATACCAGGTCTCGGACGCCTCCAAGGTACTATCAATTCGATGCAACACCAACTACTGGACACCCTACTCACGCTCTGTCACAGCTCTCGGCCCAGTCACACTTCACCAACGATCTCGGTCTTGACTCTCTGGACACCGTCGAGGTCGTCATGGCCATTGAGGAGGTTGGTCACACGCGCGACATCACACAACTGGCCCACCCGCTCACACCAATTGCAGNNGAATTCAGCATTGAGATCCCCGACAAGGAGGCCGACGCCATCCACAGCGGTATGCTGCGCCCACACTCCTACAGCTACCCACACCGATGCTGACTCAATTGATAGNTGAACCAAGCTGTCGAGTACATCCTTAGCCAGCCTGACGGTAAGCTCTCCTGTGTAGACACACATCCAATCCGCCTCTGACTCGTGTATAGCCCACTAGATGCGCCATCTAAATGTGCATGGAATGGAATGTTTTTAAGAAATCCCGAGCTGCTACACATGCCACTGTAGAGGTATTTAGCCACCAGGTCCTGCGCCCTTGTACTATGAAATTTTCTTTGGTCACCAAAAGCTGGAAATTGAAGCCAACGTTGCGAAATGAAGTGAAATTGTACATGTCCGCATCCCGGTGATAACAACATGATGCCAAGAGGTTTGTTCAAGGGAGGCAGGCGCCAGTGGGGAAAGTTGATCCTCCAAGCATGCGACAACAGGCCTGATTGATTCATCTTGCGCCGCCTGATTCTCTGCTTTACATTTGACCGTGTCGCTGTCCGTCCTAGAGCTTCAGCGGTGTTTTGCTACCTACGTGCCCCCCTACTCCACTAGTGCTTGTCCCCTGCCACCCCGCCGCGTCTCCCTCCATACAGCTGAAGTCTAACGGCCACGAAACACCCCCGGCGTCTCGCAAACCCCCGAACACACGACATCATCGCACAACCCCAACATGGCCTCTAGCTCGGGCTTGACGAGAAGAAGAGGTGGTGCTGGTCCTGCCGCCGGTCTGGAGAGTGAAGACGGAAGCCGTGTCAGCTCTCCCGCACCTGGCAACAAGCGCAACGATGAGAACAGAGCCGGAGGCCTCGAGACATCGTACGAGAGCGGAGAGAATGGACACAAGATTGCCTTTGACCCTCGCGACATCAGCGAAAGTGCCGAGAGACTCAAGCAGCCCAAGTTGACCCTGATGGAGGAGATTCTGCTCATGGGTCTCAAGGACAAGCAGGTAGCTTTGCGCCCTTTGGCTTGCCAAAACAAGAACTGCTTCTAATGCACGTCTACACAGGGTTACCTCTCCTTCTGGAACGACAACATCTCGTATGCTCTCAGAGGCTGTATCGTTATCGAGTTGGCTTTCCGCGGACGAATCAGCATGCAAAAAGATTCCAACAGAAGACGCTTTCCCCTGGCCGACAGAGTTATCGAGGTCATTGACGACTCGCTGACGGGCGAGGTTCTGCTTGACGAGGCGCTCAAGATGATGAAGAGCAGCGAGAAGATGAGCGTGAGCTCGTGGATAGACCTCATGAGTGGTAATACTTCTCTTCGCTCGATATGAGCGCATCAAGACTAGACTGCTGACACACGCAAAGGCGAGACATGGAACCTCATGAAGATTGGTTACCAACTCAAGCAAGTCCGAGAGCGATTGGCAAAGGGATTGGTCGACAAGGGCATCCTACGCACCGAGAAACGCAACTTCCTGCTGTTCGACATGGCGACTCACCCCGTGGCCGATGGTGGTGCAAAGGACGAGATCCGCCGTCGTGTCCGCAACGTTTTGACCAACCGTACTGTTGTACTGCCACCCACGGAATATCTGCCTGAGAATATGGAGTTTAGATATTTGCGAACCATCGCCATGGTTTGCGGAGCATACGCGGCCAACGTGCTGGAGAATGCATTGACAACCCTGCAACACGAAGCACGCGAGAGGGCGTTTGCACAGGTGGACGAGCTGCTGGCCGAGTACTCACAATACCCCTTTGCCCGAAGGACAGGAGGACCTGGCACGATTGGAGCCAATCTCGGACAGGTGATTATGGATGAGGTTAACAACGCAAAGGACAAGGAGCTGCAACTTGAGGTATGTTTATCAATGAACAAGAGGAGGACGATATGCTGACTTGACACAGNNGTGGTGGCTGCTTGCCTGAGCGTCTTTACGAGATTGGATTCGCTACTTTAGAGCACTTTCGGGAGCACGACTGGGGAGTCGGGACAGCAAAGGGATACCAAAGGGCAGCAAAGTGATTACATTCTGACGAGGCGTTTATGATAGCAGCAGGAGTTGAAGAAAATGCAAGCGACAAGCATCGTGTTTATGATCTGAATATCGAGCAAGTCTTCTGAAGACGAAGCAAGGCATGGATGGTTCATGGTTTGGGGAAGGTGCGCGGGAACACCTCTTGGTCGGCGGCCCGTGCACCAAGTTGGAGAGACTCTCGAGAGCGAGACGCGCCTGGAGAGCGCTGTCCATTGGGAATGTGCATGATTTATCTAAATAGCCATTTGTTGTTCACCAATCATCGGCGCGCGATACTCCTCGACCTTCTCGGCGCTGACAGGGCGTGAAACAAAGGCCTTGTACTGCCCTCGGAGCCATACACCGCTTGGTTCAGGCACCGTCCTTTCCCGTTCGGCCAGACCAACTGCCCTTTGAGGGGCATGTTCGACCAAGGTATGTCATTGCCCTCTCCGTTCCTTTTTCTTTTCTGTCCTCACTTCCCACACGCTGTCGAGTCTGACGCGCCATCGCTTCACCATGGCTTCTCTGTCCCCTCACCACCTCCACTCGACGCGACTACCCACGCGCCTGCTAACCCCCAACCCAGTCACTTCGCGATAAACTCTCCTTGAACCATGCAATCCCCTCGACCAATCCTACCGCCTCACCTTTCCCAAACAGCGGCCAGCCATTCAACCTCTCCCAACCCCCGCCAGGTCGCAGAAGCGTCGCTCCCCCCACCAACGCCTCGACCGATCCACCCCCAAACCCGCCCTCGGACGCTGGTGATGCCATTCGTGACGGAAAGCAGCGCGCCAAAGACATAATGGCCGCATCAGGCATTGACGTGACCGAGTCGCCGTCACAATCGAGCAATGGAGTCGCCATGTCTAGGAAACGATCGCGCTCCGGTTCGCGCATTCCCGCGCGTCCTCAATCGCCAAACAACCCTCCCCACCAGGAGGTTCTTCTAGAGCGCTATATTCAGCGCGATTCGCTGTACGCTGCTGCCATGAATGACCAAGCTGAGAAGTCACGCAAGCTTTTGAGGCTCAAGGAGCAGGAGAAGGAATGGTATCTCCACGAGGGAAGACAACAACGACAACAACATCCCGGAGCTGTGTTTGGCTATGGCTATGCCGGATACGGCAATGGCCGGACCGACGACAGGACCCGCCTGGAGTATCCAGCCACGCGCCGCAGAGCTGGCAACAGAAGAACGCGCGAGCTGCGCGTTGCCAGGAAAGAGGCAGGACAGCAAGCCGAATATCTGGAAGAGCTCGTTCCAGTGCGACTCGATCTCGAGCTTGACAAGCTGAGATTGCGCGATACCTTTACCTGGAACCTTAATGACCGCTTGGTCTCTCCGCAGCTCTTCGCCGAGAACCTTATTGAAGATCTGAAGATGCCTACCGAGCATAGCCAAATGCTTGCTCGTCAAGTCCATCAGGAAATGCTCGACCAGCTGAACAATTACTATCCTCACGTCTACCCCGCCGGTCAACCTGCAGAACCTGATACCCTATACCATGCGCACAAGAACGATGACATGCGCATCACTGTCAAGCTCAATATCACTATTGGACACATTACCCTGGTGGATCAATTTGAATGGGACATCAATAACCCACTCAACTCGCCCGAGGAATTCGCCAGACAGATGTCTTTGGATCTGTCGCTTTCTGGCGAGTTCACCACAGCCATTGCACACTCGATTCGCGAGCAATGTCAGCTCTATACCAAGAGCTTGTTCGTTACGAATTACGAATTTGATGGGCGACCGATAGAGGATCCTGACGTTCGGGAGAATATGCTTCCTTCGCCCGTGCCCAATGTGTTCAGACAGCAACAGAGTCAGAAAGACTGGACCCCTTACATGTACGAGCTTACGGAGACGGAATTGGAGAAGACTGAGCTGTCCATGTTGCGTGAACAGAGAGCACAGAAGCGTCAACTCAACAGGCGTGGTGGACCAGCTCTGCCAGATCTCAAGGAACGTCAAAGGACTGTGCGATCATTGGTCGTGTCAACGGTCATCCCAGGCGCTGCAGAGACCATGGAAGCCAGTGGAATTTACAAGATTCGTCGTACTGCAACTGGCAGAGGCCGTAGACCTGGTGCTCGCCTCAATGATGGAAGCGATTCCGATGAGTTGGACGAAGAGGAGTCTGGAGCCGAATCTCCCGCACCCTCGCAGCTTCCAAGTGCTGGTACAGCGAGAACCAGGGGTATGAGAGGTGCAGCCAGTGCTGCGCAGATTGCTATGCGTCAAACCTATGGCAGATCGGCTACCCCTGACATCGCTATGCTCTCACAGCCAGAATCAACCAGAGCATCTAGACGTGTCCAAGAGACGACAGCCCGCGAAGACACTGCAGAGCCAACATCGATGGTTGTCAAACTTCGTGTCAACCCTGACAAGTTCAAGCAGTTCTTGGCTAGAAGGAAGTTTGGCCGTAGTGCGGCACCTCCTCTATCAGGCTTCCCCACATCTTTCACCATGCCATCTACCAGACCTAACGCTACACCAGCCAAGCAGACGGCAGGTCCATCAACACCGGCAATGCAAAATCGAGCTTTACCAGCGGCTGCAGTCACTCCTGCTCGTCAGGCTCAAACGCAAGCGCCAACACCAACGACCAAGCTCCCAGCACCTACACCGACCAAAATCACCAAAGACGTCGAGTACGATTCGCATGGACGAGTCGAGGCCGCCACCACACCCTTACCAGATGGTGCCACAGTGAGTAGACGCTCTTGAACCCGCCTGTTTCCCTACGGACCATACGACTGACACGCTTCCTCCCTCAGCNCAGACATACCACCCTGGCTAGACACCGCACTTGCGGAATTGCACCGTATGTACCCAGGCTCTCGCTTCTCGGGCCTCATGCGCTTCGCCGCCATTGACGCCCTGACCGGCGACCCCGTCCGTATCGACCACACTTCTCTGCCTGCTGGTTCACCGCCCCCTGCCAACTTCACCAAACCGACTACCGGTGAGAAGCTGGAGGTCAAATGGATGTGGCAACCGCGCATCCGTTGTGATGACTGCCCTGGCAAGTTGTATACTGCAGTGAGAGATGACACAATTGGCAAGTTCGAGGCGCACATCAAGAACAGAAAGCACAAGGCCGTGGTTGACGCGAGGTTGGCTGCTGCTGGTGCGCAGAACAATGCGGGCAACTAGAGGTCGCTTTGCTCGTGGGCGTCTATGGTAGGATAGGATGCGGTGTATGTACTTTTGAGAACTTCTTTCCCCAAGCAAAAACGCAAATCTTTTCTTTTCTCTTTTCTTTCCTTTTGGTATGGATCATAAAACGCTTTTCCACAAACCGATGACACTTCAAGACACACGCTCATACGTTTGCTCCACAATAGATCTGCGATGTCAGTCCAAGCTATGGTGCTTCTTTTTGTACTGCGATGAGTTTACATCAGACTTGCATCCTTTCCAATCTGCTTATCCTGTTCCTTTCCATGTCAATGGTGGTGGTGGTTCATAGGGAGTAGCGCGGGAAACTCGATATCCGATGCTCAACAAGGTACGTTTCAGTTGCAGCATCGCTGCTGTATCAAGAAAGCATTTCTCATTGCGCCACCCACTGGAGTCAATATGTCGTTTCTAGACGCAAGAGACAGCCTTTGCTTCTGTTCACAGAATATGTCCATTTTGCTCGAACCTCTCGATCGAGACAAAAACAACACTGCCATAATGACAGATGCGGTTTCTGAAGGTTGGGATACGGTAGCTCGGTCATCATCTTGACGAAGCAGAGGAAGCGGTAGCGAACATATGGCCAAGGTTGTTGTTCTGGACTCCAAGCAGAAACAACTTGGATAAATTATATTACTCTGAGTTCTCACCCTTTTGAAACTGGCCCAGGCATTGGAGACTGGTGCAACAAATCCCCCTTTTCAAAAGACATCTGGCCTTGTGCAAGTCAGAGAGTGCTTTATAGTTCTCATCTCAGCAAAAGCTAGACAGAAAACAACCCAAGCAATTAGAAAAAAGAAACCCCCCTTTTTCGCAGACAACACGCGGCTGCTGTGTATACAAAAGCATTCTCTGCTCGTATTTACTTGTCTTTCAGCTTTGTACTCTAGGGCTTTTTTGTGTCAGGGGAAATGACAAGGTGGATATCTAGGGGTTTATTGGGATCAAAGTAGTCAAGTAGGACATGTACAATTGTCAAGGGGGGCACAGGTTAAGGCAATGAATTGTGGTAAATTGCGTTCAAAAGGTCGAACAGAGGATCAAGATACTGAGAGATGGGTTTGAGGGAAGAGATGTGGTGGCAGCAGAACCGTGCTACTCTTCTCGCTGCTAGAAGAAACGACTTTGTTGTGTGATGGAGATCCGATTCTATTGCTCCTGCACCTGTATTAAAACAAAATAAAAAGCTGGAAGAGCACTGGCTATGGATAGAAGAATGCGGAATATGTCGGTGCCATAAGAAGGAGCAGAAAGACGGTGGGACGATGAATGTTCTCAGCTAGTCACTGCAGCTTTTGAGACACATATCTCGACGGTGATGTAGTGGTTAAGTTCTATCATTTGTATGGACATAGCTGTAGAAGTCAAGTCAACAATGACGGTAGATGAGAGAGATGCGCTACGCCTCCGTCCCGCATGACACGATAGCTTTAACTACAGCCTGTAAGCAGATTAGGAATCGACATGACAGATGTACCGTGGAGGAAGGAGGACTGAGTGAGCTTCTCATGCAACTATTGCATCGAGCTGTCTAACTTTGGTATGATCTGGACCGGGTCGCTGCTGCCCTACATCAAGTGCCCAATCTGACCTCTTTCTCCAATGATATTGCAAAGCACAAAGATCTACACTTTCACTTCGAGGAGCGGAGGCGGTAATGGACTTATACTTGACATGACATCTAACAACATGCACGAGCAAACCTGAAGTTCGACTAAGTGCTTTACTTCACCGAATATACAAGCATAGTGGCTTGATCCGATAACCAAATGCAAATATTTATACATGGAACAAGAGGCTACTCACCGCTTGTCAGCACCGTTCTGTGTTTCAGTGGCCTGCAATCGTCCTTCGAGAAGGATTGCATGAAGTTAATCAAAGCTGCATATATCCAATCCAGAAGCCCGTAACAGAAAACGGAACGGAGATGCTGTACCCCCAACAGAAAGACCACAAGCACAGAATGTCGATCTATCTCGTGCTACAGCCTTAACAGGCAGGAACACGGCAGAATGCTCCTTGCCACGGAGTTTCAGCTCCAGCTCTTACTTTGTTGAGGTGAGGGTACACGAGGCAGCACATCAGCTGAAAAGGCGTCTTCCGGCTCAAAGCCACCCGAAAGAAGCGAGTAGATATGCACAACGTTCTTCAGTACCCTGCGTGGGGCTGGCTTACTTGGTGACTTGCAGAATAGACTTGGCTTGCATGCAAGTTCCCGTGAGATGCATGCTTTAGAGGTGCAGTAGACTGCAGAGCTAAAAGGTACTGGGCGGAACTCCGTATGCTCCGGATGAACGCGTGTTTGCTCTCTTTAATGCTTGGACGTTGTGGATTGTTGAGTAGCCCCAGAGAAAGTTGATGTTCACGAGAAGTGGATAGCTAGGCTGAGTGGGTTAGAAATATTTCATCAAGTGATTATCGGATTGTGGTTATGCTTTGGGGTTGCGTGTGAAATCGGTTTGGGTGAATTGGAGGTCTGGAAAAGGTTCGTCAGTCGTACACAAGGTACACTCTAGCCAGGATACACCTCGTTCCTGGCATACGAAGACTGCAGGGCTCTTGAGACTTCGTACCACGTACTCCATCTAGACTCGTTCTTTTGCTCTGATGCGTTGCCGAGTGCCGACCATGGCTTTGTCTATCATGCGTTTCGCCTTTTGTGGAGTTTCACACTTCCACTTGTTGTTGCTGCGGAGAGCAAACCACCCCAATGAACTATGGCTTGCATGGTCCGACAGTTATTAGGCGTCCTGGATTGAAGCTGTAGATGCAGAGTCCGGCTGGAGAAAGGTGCGGCGTCCATTCAACGCGGGATGGCGGCATCAATCACTGGACCCTTTGGACTGAAACCGCCAGCATGACTTTTTCCCCTCGTCCTTCGCATTGTCTTGATTGCATGACTTGGAGAAGTTGTCGCATACTGTGCATGCTTCTCATGCTTGCGTTGCCCTACCCAACACGAGTGTCACTATGTTTCATGCACATCAATTGCTCAGTCGAGGGCATGCAACAAGAGCGAAGTCCGAGATGTTGATCGATTTCGTGGTGGGTCCTTTCCGCCGCGCGCGACGCGGTTACTTGCATGTGGCTTTTCTTGGTTTCTCGTTTTCTCGTCAAGCAAACTTGTGGGAACCCGGAAGAGAGGAAACAAAAGACTCCAAAAGGGTAGATCTCGATGGAGTACATTGGATAAAGGCGGGGCATATTGATTGAGAAAAGGCTGCTGCTTTCCAGCATCCGGGTCTTGGTTTCGAAGAAAAGAGGGTTTCTCACGGCTTTCACTTAGCCTTGTGGATACCTATTCTGTTAGTCGTATATCCCATGCAGGAAAGAACCCATGTCATGCGATCGCAGCAGTAAGTCGCAGAAAGAAAGGAAATCGGAAACTCTGATTCTCGTAGGATTGCTCAAGTCTCTTATATCAGCACAGGGGACTTTCATATGTGCTTGTTTCACATCTGTATACAAACAAAAAAAAATACAACAAACAAATATATCATCATATCACTCCTCTAAACTCACTCCACACTGGGGTGCGATCGTGATTCCATATTTCTCGATGCAATTGTCTATGTCGTCATGAACAGTATTGTCTCCTTCCTTGATTTCCCATCTCTTCGATCCATCGCAATTGCGGCTCCCTTTGATCCCGTTTTCTCGTTTCCTATCCGCATTCTCGCTCTCCTAACCTGGGGAAATTCGTGCATTTCTGATATGTTCAACGTTGTATCTCATGATAATATGTCTTTCCCTGCCCAACGTTGCAGACTGACTCGCAGCCTGGAGAGTTTTATGAGCTGCGGGAGCGCAAAGAGTAGAAAAGGGAAGTATTAGGCAAAGGCACAACAAAGCAGAGAATTCTTCTCTACAATCGTTAGGAGTCACAATGCAATCTATTGTCGGGCAGAAAAGGCAGTAGGAAATGTTGCCACGACTCAGCAGATAGAACAGTCAAAGAATGGGACAAATGGAAGGCACGTGTGATGTTACCATGGATCAACCACCTTCGCGATCTTCAGGAACACCCGCGTCCATGCCAATGTCTTCCGAGCATCGAGGAAAGCAAAGCCCAAAAAGCGCCTTGCCAGGGTCTACGGGAGCAGGAAACACACGTATGCTTTACTGCTCCGGTCGTCAGACATTTCGTTTCCCGCTGCTCGCGATCCAAGGAACCATCGCGGGCACGCATGACTCACATAGGGACAGGGTATCGGTTGTGAGCTTTGCGTTGCTCGGGAGTGCAAAAAAGCACAGGCTGCTGCTCTTCGTGGGCATAACATGGTATGATCGACACGCCTTCCACGATGTCGATGGCAGTACGCCTCTTCTGTCACTCTTCTTTTTGTGCTTACGGCGGCCAAGTTCGGCGGAAACTTAACAGAGGGCAATGTCCATCTAACGATCCAGTGGTGAAAAGAAAGGGTTCACGAAGGAGCAGTTCCTTGAATTTGTGCAGAGGCTCTGTGGTTTCTTGAAATTGGCCCATAAACATTGTGCACGGTGTCGAATGACGTCGCAGATCTGGAGAGAAACAGAGTAACATCGATCAGAGACAGATGTATATCGAAGAATAGGCTTGAGATCTTGAGCAGCAAGAACATTCGTTGGAGATTGATGATGTCGTGGATACACCAGATAGATACATCCACTATCTCTGGCATCATACCGTTATGCTTGGGCTATGCAGAAGAGATACTATGCAGGGTCTTGAGGTAGGCACACGACATCCGGCATTGTTTGCATCCTGGAATTTGGATTACACTCCTATTACTTCCTTCTACGTTAAGTGGAAAGGGGGAAGGTACAAAAGGAAATGGCAGTCGCCCCTGGATAATCTGCGAAACAATACCAGCTTGTAAACAACAGCTGACGTGCCTGCCATTAGAGTTCAATTCTCGCGTCGGCTATACCAGAGCACTTGACCACGGCAGTCGAGAAATTAAGTATTCCACATAGATACTTGTACACAACACTGTCAATAGGGAAAGCCGCCTTGAGGTGAAGTTGTATGTATAGAGGGGCGGGTGCGGGCAACGGCCAAAACGGCTTCCAGAAGCTCTCAAAACTCCACCACCACATGCTGCGAGAAAAGGCAAATTGACCTATTGCGTTCGCGCTACATGCGAACGACTGCGAAACGGTTTGTCAGTCTCTCAGATAGCATACCACGACTTTTGGCTACTTGAGATGAAGGCCTGAAAACACGTTTAGGGATCGATAGCCTGAACGGTATGCCGAAATGAAAAGGGAGATATGAACGGTATACCCACGACGTAGTGTCATGATTGTGATTGGGTATGAAAGTATATGAGCTATGCAACAAGCGAAATTAGACCTGACGTCGGAGAAAACATTGCATCTTCGGTAGTTGGGCATGGATTAGAGTATACACAATCAAAAAGCGCCTAGACCCAGATGGCAGGCAGAGGGCACGCCGGGTAGAACAAAGTCTAATTGTTTTGACGTCAGAAAGAGCCTTGGTAGTCGAGGCGGTCCGCCCTTTCGGAGTCGACATGCGGAAGGACTTGTCTATCCTTTTTGCGCAATTAGGCCTTGGACGCCTATTTCGAAGTCGAACCTCAAGGTCCAAGCTCTGCGTTCTTGCCATTCATCGAAAAGGCCTGTCACGACTGTCCAAGGCTTCTCGAATCTCGGTCCGTCCCGAGATCAGTTGTTGTGCTTCTTCGTGGTGATGCTCCACGAGGTCCATTCGGTGAAAACACTGGGTTGGATTTGCGACTTCGGGTCGGCGTACCATTCCTTCTGGAGGTTGCTGTAACAGTCGGCAACGTCCGAGTAATGCTTAGGGTCCAGGTTAACCAGGATCTTGGCGAGGAACAAACTCGAGCGACTGCAGGCGTTGCTGTGCAACTTAGAAGCGTTGGCTCGGATTTCATCGTGGACGGAATGGAGGAGGGCGAGAACTTCGGATGCTTCATCGGCTTCGGGGAACTGCTTGGTCTTGTTGCAAGCTCCGAAGAATTGTTGCAATAAGCCGAAAGCCTTGTCCGAAATCTGCTTGCTAGTGGTTGTTCTGATCAACGTGATCATTGGTAAGACCAGATCCAGAGTCAATTTGTTGGAGTGCTCCTGTTTGGCGAAGATAGTCAAGAGGTCGAGAACACGGTTCTTGAAGTTGACAATGTTCTCTTTGGCGTCTTTGTTGTCCTTCTTCTTGTTGCTCGTGTTCTTCTTGCGTTCTGTGAAGATAGTCGTAAGGTGACCCTCCAACGCCATCATCTGATCGTCGTCCATGTCCGACTCATCAAAGTCCGAGTCGTCCTCTGTAGGCTTTTGTGTCTTCAGTGCAAGTGCAAGTTTGTTCTCGAAGTCTTCAAGATCGGCGTCTTCGGCATCGACTTCTTCATCTGAGTCGTCCCCAGAGGCGTCAGACTCGGCGCCTTCAACAACCTCAACATCACTGTCGACCTCGACGTCGCTATCGTCCTCGCCGTCTATCATCTCGACGTCAGAAGCATCCTCATCGGACCCTGACTCACCGTCTTCCTCGGCGTCATCAGCTTGCTCAAAGAGCTCTTGCTGGCCGCTGAGGTTCTCTGACTTGTCAAGGATGTCGAGCATTGATTGCAGACCTTCAGCATCGAGCTGCGAAGAAAAGGCTTCGAATACCTGTTGGGCAATCTTACGGTAGACAGCAGAGGGCTTGGAGATGAAGCTGAGCAGAATCTCAACAAGCATGACAGAAGCGTCTTCACTCTTCTTCCATGCTTGGTAGCACAACTCCAAGTCTTCCAGAACGGGAACGACATCAGCCTCACCGTTGTAGACAAGCAATATGGAGAGCGCATACAAGGCCTTGAAAGCACGTAGAGGTGCTTTCTTGCTGTCTTTCTGCTTTGTTTCAAGCTTCTTCAGAGCTTTTAAGGTCTTGTGAGCCTTTTCCAAATTGTCCACGATCTCCTGATCGGCCTTGGTTCGCAGACCGGTCTTAGATGTAGCATCAGTTGTCTTGACTTCTTCGACGACTCTCTCAAGAATCGTGAACTCTGGATCCAGACGAGCAGAGAGAATGTGGTTGAGACAGGAAATGAGACGCGAACGGAACATTTCTTGGCTTGCTTCAGACAACGGAGGGGATGCTTTGAGAGCACCAGCCGCAGCGTCGGCATAGCCAAATGGCACCATAGACAAGACAAGAGACGCAATATTCTCGTTATCCTTACCTTCCTCAGCCTGTTGCTTACGAGCCATATTCAGCATCATATCAGCAAGGAGACGGCGCTTGGTATCAGCCTGCGGTTGATCTTCGGCATTTGGCTTAGCTGAGAGTTGCTGCAAGATGGTCAGAGCGCCGGCTGCGCTCTCGTCCTTTGCGCGAGCGAAGAGGTCTTCGGCCGTTTTGGACTTTGTCAAACGGTCAAAATCCACACCGCCGTTGCCTGATAACAAACCCTTCAGCATCACGGGAATGCTTTTNTGATCAGACTTTGAGCGAGTAACCATCTGTGATAGCGGACCCTTGGCTGCTTCGTGAAGGTATCGGTCTTGTCCGGCACATTGGTTGATAATGCAGCGCATAGCGTTGGGGCTGAAGACACCATGGAGCAGCTGAACTGGAGCAGTTGAGATTCCCATAGAGACGACTTGAAGGCCCAGAGATTTGCGTTCGGTACTGGCAGATGCGGCAAACAGTCCCTCTGTCAACAGGTCAGCTCAGTCGTTGAAGGGTCTGGATAAGGGTGTCTTACGATCTACAGCTTCAAGCCAGAACTTCTCAAAGTCAGAGACCTTCTCGTCTGACTTTTTGCTAGGCTTGTGGCGTTTGTAGAGGTGCGAGAAGATGATGGACCAGGCGAACGAAGGCGAGCTCTGCGCAGCACCAGTGCTGTTGCCAGCTGGGCCATCTTCGGTTTGAGCACCGTTGTCACGGAGGATCTTTGCCACGGTGCCTCTGTCCTTCGAAGAAAGAGGATCGTTGTGGTTCCATACTCCCTTGGGCAGCTTAGCCTCGGGGAATAGCGTAGAGGTGGTCAACCAGATGGCAAGACCTTCAGGGGTCTTGCTGAGCTTGAAGGTGTCAAGTCTTTGGACAAGCGAGTTGACATATTCGAGGTCAAGGTTTTTGATCTGGGTTAGTGTAGCCAATGTCTCGTACAGGGTCACGCCGCATTCTCTTCGCAGCCAGGTAGTCTCGGTTGCAAGCTTGAAGATGTGATCAAGAACCTTTTCCCATTCAGCTACAGAAACACCCTTTGCAAAGAGAAGCTGACTCTGGATGAGAGACTTGAAACCAAAGCAACGACCTGTAAGATGGTCTCTTCTTTCNCTGTGACGGTAATCAGCATTATGTCATATGCGGATAACCCGGTGATGGCGTACCTTGTTGTTGCTCTGCTCCTCCGGTTGTGTGATCAAGACAATCTTGTCAATGATCGCGGGAAGAGTCAAGTCCACGCCCTCGACACCCGTGGTCGGAGATTTGGATGTCAGCTTCAATATTTCTATCAAAGCCACCGAGAATCCAGATCTCGCGGCTTTACGGCTACTGCAGAGACCTCTAATGAGTCTAGTCAGAGACTTGTCCAGGGCCTCAGGGTCCGCTTCTGCAAGGGCGCGGATCAGGTCTGCGGCAGCCTTCAATCTGGTTGCTTTCACGTCGTCGGACAGATCGTTGTACAGGGCAGCCAATTTAGCGTCGGCAACACCAAATTCAACACGTCGCTTGCGCGAGGGATGAGTCGTATCGTGGGTCGTTTCATCTTCGCCATTCAAATCTCTTGCACGCTTTCCAGCCATGGTGGAGAGTGTTTGATGAGGATGTGTCAGGATATATGCGATGGCAGAGCAACCGCAAAGACATGGCGCCGCATAGGCAAAGAATTTCTGATAACCATGGGGAAGCTTGGCGTGATAATTTCAGTCCCGAATCCAGCATAGCACAAGGACCCTGAACAGCATCGGGATGCAAGCCGCAAAGCTGGAGCACAGCGAGCTTATATTTTTGACATTTCCCACATGCATCATGTACAACACAAAAGATCGATTAACGAAACTTCGCCGCGATTATGCCCACACTGCATGGCGCTGCTTTTCCACCATTTCAAATATACGAGCAAACGCGAATCACACAAACGGCCCCCTGGAGATCACGACGCGCGAAGGCTGCAAGCCACGGCCGAGAAACCTACCACACCATTTGGCGCTGTATGCGTCTCTCGTACACGCATCGCACGGCGCACTTGCAAGGGCTAACTCAAGGACCCAATATCTGCGGACCCTGCGAGTCAAACTTCCCATGCAGCGTGACGAACTAGCAAAACTCTTGTTCCTCGGATTGAGTGAAACAATTGAGATTCCCATGGGTCTCTTTTCTCCACTCCACCATCATATGTCAAATGCAAAAGTCAGGGTACGAGACTACGAGTACGTACGGGCGTCCGCGCATGATACTATGATCCTCGTCTCGACCGGGGAGAGGCAACACTTGCATTGGTGTCTCGTCGTCGCCGTGCCATCCGGCTGAGTGGATGCGCTGAACAACGTCTACCTTGATACTCTTCGAAGAAACCTCAACGACCATGACGGATGAGGCAGAGGATTTGAGTCGAGGGTTTCATGGCATGCCGCAGGAGTGCAGTAGGTATCGTGACAAGAATCGATAGTGGTGTTGATCGTTTTTGTTGTTGAAGAGCCTATCAATTGGTGGCGCGATGGTGGTTGACAATTTGTTGTGTAGAGACGTGTCCGTTCATCGATGCGTGATATGTAAAATTTGGCTGCGATAGACGTTGATGTGAAAGGAGTGCAACATGCATGCTGCTTTTAAGCTGGGGAAGTGCTGTTATATGACCGGTACAACGACCTACAATGCATCTGGCATACTTTGAGTTCGAAAAGCCGTTGGCAAAACAATCCCAAGAACCCTCCCGGGTCAGAACCATCGGTTTCACTTCTTCAATGCCCCATCCGACCCACAGGCTTCTTTTTTCTTTTTCCAATATTGAGGAAGGTCTGTTCTCCGCCGAGTTGCATCTACTGCAATCTAGACGATTGTGGTACGACGGTCTTGGTGCGGAGCGAACATGGGTCGAAGACAGATCACCATCTGCTGAGCGCAGAAAAACTTACGCGGGCCGGCGTCGAGTAAGCAGCGGAAGCAAAGGCAAAGGCAAGCGAACAAAGCAAAAGCAGTGGCTGTTCGCTAGGAGACGCCAGTGAACGAGAATTGAGTAGTATGGGCAGATGTCGGAGGAGCAAAAGAACGATTCAATATCATCGGTGCAAACGGGCGATATGCTTGGATAGATATATGGATAGGGACAGCAGCCCTATACAGAGGACTAAAGTAAGAATAGCATATCACGTGCAATGGCATATCAAGTATTAGCCAGTATCCGCACTTGCGGATCTGTCACTAACTTTGTTTATCACGCACACGATGACCAACCCTGACCTCCACAAATCTGTGTACAGCCTGTAGCGCGCATATGGGGTGGATACACGATCAAGCCATACCCGAGTCCAAGGGAATAGTCGAGAGGTGACACGACGATGGAGCTGCAGCTCAGCAAGCCATCAAAACTATTTTCTGTGCAAGGGACTGAAGCTCGGGGACCGCGCCGCGATAGGGAAACCGTGATTCTAGTCAGAAAAGTCTCTGGCTCCAGCGACGGTCTACGGCAAAGCCGCATGTCAGTGTGCTTCGGGGCGTTCGTCGGTGCTTACCAAACGCATCGTTGCAACGGAGACCAGTCATTAGTCGTGAAAATGTGCTTCAGGATATTAAAGCAGAATTTGCAGAGACAATCATCATCTATGTCGTGTTGTGTTTACTCGGTGCAAATAAAGATGGCAACTAATTCCACAACATCAGGCGGGCGGAGTAGGCATGCAGTAGAGCAGGTTGAGATGTGATCGGACGGCACAGAGAGTGACGTCGCATGCACTACCAGCAATCGTGTGGTTCGCGGAGAATCTGCGATTGGAGAGAGGTGATGCACACGTCGAAGTTGAAGGGAGCTTGCGAAGCCACGCGAGCGCAGCACGCAAATGGCAGCTCAGAACCCACTTTTGGTTGTCTACGAAACGCCGTTAAAGGCGGGCGGCCGTGCGAGGACCGGTTTCAACCAGAAAGAAGGATACGCCAAAGGCGGACGCCAGAGGATCGTCTAGCCTGATCGCAGTTAGCCAACCAGAGAACGTGGCCAGTCATCCGCACGTATTCTTGTTCCTTGCGGAGAAGCAGCCATGACGCCAGGTGGATATATGAAGGAAGGGTCTACACATTGTTATGCCTTGATCAAGGCGTGATGTTGACGTATCCGCAACTTGACGATAAGATATCAAGGCAGGACGCGAGGGCCAGAATAGCTGGCCACGGGCGGCGAGTAAGGGTCGACAATGGGATTATTCGTTTGAGTTTGATGTTCGTATGCTGCGGCAAGGAGCAGTCGCGCTTTGTGGGCAGCAGGATGCGCGGATTGATTGATTGACAGAGATGCAGATGCCCTGTGAAGCAAATGGTGACACAAAATAGAAGCAGCATCTATTCCCGACTGGGTGGAGTTGCGACGGATGGTGCTTGGTCTGTGGGACGGACGGCTTCGGCGAGCGGCGGCCCTTGTCAGCGTCGAGCAAACCTTTGACAATCTACCGAGCAACGAGACAATAATCTGCGTTGTTGGTGTCGTGTTTTCGCGCCATATGCGAGTGCATCAGTGCGGTGGGTAGATGGATGGAGAAGGGTGGGAACGGCGGTACGAAGGCTGCAACCCGGGCAACTCTGATATTTGTGCACATGTGTTGAGTATCTACTCGTACCCCTCTCCCGCGATGCATGCGGCTCGACGAGATATTGCCAAAGAAGTGGGCTTGATCGAGCGTCCTCTGGATCGCAGCAGACAAGGCTCGACAAGGCTCGGGATAGGCAGTCGGTATCGACGATGGACGTGGATATTCACATAGAGTTTCGTGGATGCTATGCATGATCAGCTGCGTGCTGGAAGCGGCAGCGGCATATGATTTGTCCAACGGGAGGCCCGTTGCTCTGCGCGCTTGTCATGGCGTGCGGATTGGGCTAGGGCATGCTTGATGGATTCAGTCTCGCTAAACTGGGGCCCGGGTCTGCGAGTGTGACAGGGCGAGTGTTCAGAGTTCGTGGGGCTGTCCATGCTGGGTCCAGCGGTCGCTGGTGCTGGTGCTGGTGCTGGTGCTGATGCTTTGCTCGTCGCGGTCGTGCGTTCCTTGCCTTGGTTGGATTCTTGGCCTGGCCTGCCTGAGCTTGCTGCGACGAGCAATCTCCATGCCAACGCTCTTCCTTGCCGTGAGCCTTCTTTTATCAAGCCGCGCCCGCTCCAAGCTCCTCCTGCTCCCTCAGAGAAGGCAGTTGAGCCGTAGTCATCCCACCGTTACTGTTGCTAGGATTGTGCAGTCTGATTGTGAAGCATCAAAACCATTCTACCACCCACAATCAATCCCACCGACGCATCCACATTTCCATCCTGCCCAGCGTCTCTCCCGGCCAATCACCGCCCGCCAATCTGCTCCACCACCAATATAGCTATACCATCGATCAATTGCCATCACCCTCCGCTTGGATCATCACCATCAGCCATCACCATCACCATCCGCCATATCTATGCAGCTCTGCCTACAGCCACATAATTCATCTTCCGCCCAGCAGTGACTACGACGCCGTATCTTGACCGATACACCCCAAGGATATTCTAATCGACTCCATCCCTCACTCCCACACTATCTATCACAATGTCCATGATGGAATTCTCGTCTCCCCTGGCCGCCATGCACCCGCCGCCGTGCCCGCCATGGGGCAACCGCCGCGACCTGTCGGCCTCGAGAACCATGTACCAGTCACAGACAGTCGGATCTAACAGCTTCAACTTCAAGGAACTGAGCATGAAGAAGGCCACTCCTGACTACTTCACACTGCGCCCGGCACGTGGCTCGTCGCCCACGGCGAGTCTCGCAGCAGACCTGTCGTCCAACTTCCACATTGATCAGAGGTATGCACCACATTCCGCGCCAATTCTTCTAGACCGAGTGCCCAAAGCTTACAATCCACNNAGCCCGCAGATTCCTACCCCCAGACGCTCATTGTTCAACCAAAACCTCTTCCTGCCCCGTGACAGATCCGAGCAGCTCGCAACACCGCCGCTCATCGAGTACGACGGCCTCTGCACTCCTCCCATCCCCATGTCGTCGCCCGGTGACATGATGGACATCTCGCCCCTCCCTCACAAGCAGCCCTGCTTCGTCGCTCACATCACCCTCCCTTCACCCTCGCCCGAGCCTGCAGCGAACGACGACGATGACATGCTCTNNCGTGCCAGGAGGCTCTCTCTCTCCCCATGCCCGACAAGCCCTCGCCAATGCCTCTTCCCGAGCNGCAAGAAGTCCGCTTTCCTCAGACCTTCCCTGACTAGAAGCAAGGGCCACTCATACTCGACCACATCAGTCCCCACCCAAGAGCACAAGCTGCCTACATTTAAGTTTGGCGGTTCCGGCCTCAGCTGCACTTCGAGCCCTTCCTCGGATTGCGAATCATCGCCCTCCAAGTCATACCTCATCCCTCCCTCCCGTCGCACCTCGCTCTGCCGCAACAACGGCTCGCCTCTGGGCTCGCAAGTCCGCAAGTCGGCCGCCGTCCGCCCTCCTCCTAGGAAGCAGGTGCGCCGTTCGCTTAGCATGTTTCAGCACCCCGACGATGTCATCAATGGCCAACAGGACGACTACTCCCACATCAACTCGTCTCCTTCCGTCTCCATGGACCTCGACGA